CCATTTTTGCCGTAGGCTTTTCATCTTCGCATCTAGGGACACCCTCTGTGTCTTTCTCTTCGTGACACTCACTAGTCGCCCCGTTTGCACCCCAACCTCGATCATATTTCAAGAACCTCTCACGTTCTTCCCAGAGTTGCCTAATTGCTCTCGTCATCCGCATCCGACTTGAAAATAGCTTTCCCGCCTCAATAATCGACGCTGGGACATCACTCCCTTCCCACTTCTGGCCTACCAATGTGTCTTGTATGTCACTTGAACCCTTTCCACCAATATTGTTGCTAAGGCTATCCAGTGGGGGGTACATAAACGGGAAGTTCTGATTCGTTTGATAATTTTGCTTTTTACCTGCCTTTCCAGGTCCACCAGGTGAGGGCGGAGGAGAAGGCGCGGGAGTTGCAATGTGGACAGATTTGTGTAGAATAGAGCCGTTTCCAGTTCCAGAGGATGCCGACACGCCTGAAAACAGCGTCGACGTGTTAACTCGGTTAGATACCGTGGGAAGCGGTGGAAGAATGGAATTATGCCCCAGCTCCAAAGGAATTAGGGCAGGAGGAGGGTTATAAGAAGGATATTTTGATGTGATTTCTTGTCGGAATGTATGATAATCGAGGGGTGAGGCTGTTAGAGCTGGTAGTGAAGATTTCGAATTGCTGGCTTGCCCATCGTACTTCGGTTCTAATACGGTTTTTGCACGCTGTAGATCATCGGATCCACCGAATAGAAGTAGTATAGATTTCCAAAAAAGAAGGATAAGCTATGACTGTTAATGGAGGCTCCAGTTTGAGGAAAAAAAGACAGGAGCTCACCCTTGTTAACGGAAAATTGGTGACATCCTCCCATCGCAACCGAGCAATGATCTGGGCTACTATAACAAGGTAATTCGGGTCTAGCGCAGCTATTATTCCAAGTAGTGTTAAAATAGCTCGGAGGCACAGGAACCTGGACGTTACATACCGAACTCATCTTTCAGAAAAGGCCTATCAGGCTGCCGTGCTTGCTGTCTACGAGCAATTTCGACCAGGAAATAGAATATCGTAACGGTCAAATTCATTTCCCGGTCCCGGGCTGCACAGTATGCGGTTGCGCCAGTGTCGCCATCAAAACCTTTGATATCATCATAAGTGGCTGATCTAAACGAAAAATAAGTAAACTAGGCAAGAGTCACTGTTTAGCTGCCATCCGCTTACTGATTACTATCGAAGACTTCTTTCAGATAGTGGAAAAGCGGAACCAATGCTTTGGTGTGCCGGATAAGGTCCGCATTCTTCTCCATCCATTGAATCTGCAAGGACTTCTCTCCTGGGGTTTCTGCCGCCTCTTTTTCAGAAAGCTCGGTTGGGTAATCGTCCGCGGTCTTGCCTGCAGTAATCCCCCAGATACCGGTGATGAGGTAACATATACAGTTAAGAGCTTCAATTCGTGCCGAAATATCAGTGTTTCTTGTGAGGTTCGTTAATAGCCCCTCCAGGAAAGTCTTTTTCAAATTTTCTGCAGCATTAAGCCAGGTGATATCAGGAACATTTCCATGTAACGACTGGACAAACTGGGACCAATTTTGTTCGAATGACGCCTTTGATCCAAGCAACATCAGTCGATCAGCCTCATTACATTGAAACCATTCGTCCAATTCCTCTGGGAAAGGCTGGGAATCCGCATAAGAAAAAGCATACACAGGATGCTCTTCCGTTTTGGGAAGGTCTTGGACAATCTTTCGCAATTGAGCTAAGCTCAACGAATCAGTTGCGGGCTCTAGATTTCGTGGTGTCGGGGCCGGTGGAGGCGGCTGCAACGGGGGCGGGGGAGCGATAGTATTGCGTCGCAACTCAGGACGCGGAGGTTGTGCTGGATGGCGTTGTGGGTATTCTGAAAGTTTTTCATCCTGGCTTCGAGCTTGTTCTGCCTTGAGGTCACGGACTACATTGGGCATGAGCTGCTCGTCAGGCATAGGGGAGATATCCATCCCTGTTTGATCAACCTCATCCGCCCGTACAATATGCTGGCCAGTCTGGTTTCCTTCACCCGAAGCCATTGCAAATCAGACCACACAGTCAATAGAGATATAAATCGGAATCCTTTCATGTAGCCTTTAGAGAGGCTGGGGGACATAAATCTAAAGGTTTGCAGGGATATCAAATGGTGGAGTGTGAAAAGAGTGATAGCCAGCACCCAAACCTCAACAAGGACAAAATCAGGGAGAAGCATAACCAGCTATATGCCTCCTTCACACTTCAGTTCCCTTTCGTCTGTTGTTTGTGAAATGAAAACGGTGGAAACAAGTGCAAGTCCCAAAAAGGCATCTGATAACGGAGCCGGCGATACGATATTCCGAGGGCTCGAGTTACTTTGCGTTGATCCCAGGGTTACATTGAGCTAGAACGGTCTATTGTTGCTGTCTATTTTGAATCCAAAATCCATAAATTGCTGTCTAGTTGGTCTGAGGGTATCGCATCTAATGAAGTTTTTTCTCCATTCCGTATCTCTGTCTTAGTTTCCATCTCTGCCAGCCCGCCTCGGCCAAGTCCTCCCCTAGCAGCAAATCACGCATTCTCAATAGCTCGGAGATTTTCGTCTCTAGAAACCATTGAATCCAGCCGGACTGTCGCAGATAATTGCCAAACGAATACCAGCCTATTGAGAATATGATTCCCGCCGCAACCCCAGCCATAACTTGCTTCGGGGTGTGATAATTCAAGTAGACACGGCTTGAAGCCACCGCAGCGGCCCCAAGACAAGCCAGTAGGGATAGAGCAGCCCGTTGCGTAAGCGTGGAAGGAGAGTCGTTGGGCATAGCAGAGGAGCTAGCGGGTTTATGTCGCAGGAGAAGGAACAGGGTCACAGAGAAGGCGAAGAAAGCAACAAACTGGGAATGGGAGGATGGCATGCCATAGCCTTTGCCGTGGATTTCTACGTCGCAAGCAATAGAAGTTAGCCAGGGCAGACCAAGGATGAACAGGCATTGGGGGTCATACGTTGTGGCCGCTCCTGTCGGATCAGCCTCTTTAACCCGAAATTCAAGGCTTCACAGACCATCTGGCCTGCAAGCATCAACAATACTTCAACCTCCCGTGAAGACCATACTAAAGTGACATATATGACCACAAGTGCCTGTGGGACCAACGAAAGAAATGCGCAAAGATAAGATATAGGGTCCTCCGGGTTCTAAGGCGCCTGGTTAGTTGCTCAAACATGAGTTGAAAGTCCTGTGAACGGAGGACTCACATAGTGAACATGGGTTAACGAAAGGGAGGCCAAAGGGGAACCCATCTTGTTATTATCCATTGCTGATGGCCCTAAGGTTTGGAAGCCTGCACTCAGCGCGATGCAGTTGCTGATGGTGATAAGCAAGGCTCTCAGCTAGTTAGTTAGATGGTGATGCAACCAGTCATGAGTCTGGGGCTTGTGTACCAGCAGTATCAAGCCCAGCAACGGTGACGAGCGCAGTTGGTTCGCAACTGCAGACCAACCAGTGACCAGGCTGGGAGGAGATGCAGCAATGGGCAAGGATCGTACTTAAATGGTTGCCGCCATCGTGAATCCTTAAAGTCGAGAAGCGGAATCTGGAACCGGAATAGTTTAAAATGATTGCGTCAAAGTACCATCACTCATCTTTTGGCTGTGGCAATACATAATCAACTGCCTTCTAAGGCTCCAACCCTTCACTTTTTTCCTCTCCGAACAATCCCGCTGTCAATTATTTCAGTTCTCAGATATCTTCCGCCACAAAGGCCCTGCAATAGACGACAAAGGCTTGTGCACAGAGGTGGCGCTTCGCTCACTTTTGCCCTCATCTACCCCTCAGTTCGCTGCCATCCTACTATGATACTATCAGGCCGCAACTACTGGGCCCTACGAGCGAATGCTAATACTTTAGCAAACGCATACCTACTTTTAGACATGTTCCTTTGATGACCGGACGATATCAATACGCCGCGATTACGAATTCCCGAATCCTCCGCTTTGGAGTGGCGATATATTCACGGAAATGGATGCGGGTGCGGAATTTGCAGACGATGAGCGGGCAGTTGAACTCGCTTCTATCGCTGCTATCTACCCAGAAATCGTCATAGATCCTACATTGCCGTTTAAGGCATCCTTAACGGTACCTGTCTCTCCGGTATATCCAGTCACTGTGGCCTTCGAAAATGCACCGGCCGATGCCGCAGCTCCTTCGAGATCCGTGAATCTGAATGATGCAAATAATATGGAAAATGGCGTACAAAGTAATATTGCAGGAACGGAAAGAATTCAAACCTATTCGATCTCGCATTTTCCTCCGTTGCTCTTGAAGATAGAATTGCCGGAGCTATATCCCGCTCAGGATGCGCCCAAATTTACTATATCAACGAGCCCTGAATGGCTACCTGTGCCTACAATATTTAAGTTGGTGTCACAAGGCAAGAAACTTTGGGCGGAGTGTGGAAAGGATTTGGTCGTTTACTCCTATATCGATCATCTCCAACTCGAGGCAGAATCTGTTTTCGGACTCCTCCCTAAACAAAACTCTGCGTTGATATTTCCGGAGAAATTGAAAATTCCTCTACTAGACTTCGATTTTCGTGTTAAGCGAGAGAAGTTTGAGCAAGAAACGTTTGTTTGCGGTGTTTGCCTAGAGCCAAAGAAAGGGAAAGTTTGCCATCGGCTTCAGCAGTGTTCGCATGTTTTCTGCGTCGCATGCCTGCAGGACTTCTACAACGCCTGTATTGGTGAAGGAGATGTTGATAGTGTCAAATGCGTTGATCCAAGTTGTGGGAAGGAGATTAAACCCACCTTGCCAAATGATCAAGCTGACGCGCAAAGAATCCCAAGGCGTCATCGAAAGCCAGATCTGTGTCTTACACCTACCGAACTCCTTGAAATACCAATCGAACCCCAGGTCGTTCAACGTTATGCTCATCTGAAACGAAAGCTCAAATTGGAAGCTGATAAGTCTGTCGTATATTGCCCGCGGAAATGGTGTCAGGGTGCCGCGCGTTCAAAACGTTTCCCAAAGCCAACTGATCCGATGAATATCAGCAACTTGGAACTATCAGACGACGAAGATGAGGCAAAAACATTCGATCCTCTCGGTTCCGAAGACCAACTTCCACCTATGGAAAAACGCCTATCGATATGCGAGGACTGTGAATATGCGTTTTGTTCCGTGTGTAAAAGGGGTTGGCACGGACCCAGCGTGTACTGCTACCCTAGACGCACTGCCGAGCTTACCTTGGAGGAGAAAGCGACGGAAGATTATATGCAGCTCTACACCACACGTTGCCCAACCTGCGACTTCCGATGCCAAAAGTCCACGGGCTGCAACCACATGATCTGCTCCCGATGCAAAACGCATTTTTGCTACTTGTGCTCCAGCTGGCTATTTGGTGCCAACCCGTACCAGCATTTTAACGAACGATCTAGCGGTTGTTACATGAGACTGTGGGAACTTGAGAGAGGAGACGGAGCCGGCGGCCCGGATCAAGAGCAGCCGGCAAACGACTTTTGGGATGAAGCTTCAGATAACGAAGAAGACGAGGAACATGGAGCGTGGCAATTTGCCCTGGGATTGAACCATAACAACGTTCATCCTCCCGCCGCTCCCGATCCTCCACACGCCGGCCCACCACGAGCGATCCCCCCGGGCCCTGGCCCCGTCCAACGCCAGCAGCCAGAGCCGCGCATAGAGATTGTATTACCACACCGAGAACGTCCTGTCGTCGACCAAACTCCGGATCGTGCTGAACCACCTCCTGCTGCTGCCCGGAACGAGGCCGGTGGCCAAGGGCAAGCTCGAGCTCAGCACCCCCATGCACCGGCTCCAGAACAGCGACGTGGACTCCAAAGATTTTTATACTTGGTCCAACACGATCAAGAGGATGAATGGGACAGTGATGAATTGGACGACGACTTTTAGCAGCTTTTTAATTTTTAAAATCTTTTTGCAAAATTCATATATTTGTCTATTTCCAGCGCATAAGAGATGGATAACAAAGCAAGCGATCATTTTATGATACTTAGTCGCATAATTCAAAGTCTTTGAACTGTACAAACATTTTCCTTGTATTATGTACCCTACATGTAGGGGCTGTTGTTACAGGTGTGGATCATCAGTGAATGCTGAATATACTCACTTTTATCTGTGTATGTTCCTTAATCTTCCCCCTTAGGTAAACAGCGCGAAATCAAGAGTTCTAAAATACATACTCTCCCTTACTTTTAGGGATAGAATTGGACAGATCACCCAGGATAACTCCTCTTTCCATAGTTCCGTTCCTACCCCTAAGTTAGCAAGTTTGGTGCAGGATCTGGCCTTGCCTTTCTGTAGGCTCTTTTCATTCCCTCAGCTAGGCCTAAGGAGCTAGGTTGAAAGAGCTGATTTCCTCTTGCTTCACTCCAAGGGTTCCATTTGGCCAGTCGTAGTATAACTCGTAGCGAAACACAGTATGGTCCAGGTACATTAAAATAAGCCGGTATCTGCGTGAATACTGGGATCCATGCCACGATTCTCGAGGGGTTTGTTCAGTGAAGTCTAGATGCCGTTGGAATTCATATGTAGGTGTTCCCTTCTCGTCTAGAGAACCTTCCTCGGAACCTTCGTTATCACAAAACGGCTCATCAAATCCATCGTCTGACGATGAAGTAATAGGGATGAGGTTGCTTTCCACCGGTCCAACTGCTATACCAATCAACGGGACAAGTGGCCTCAACCCGCGATTCTCCTGCCTTTCAAAGGGCACGATGTGGTCAATTTTCATAAATCGCCCAACGTTTGGAACTTCTGTTAGTGTCAATATTGCAACGCGTCCTTTTTGGGAACCCGCGATGACGACACCTAACTCTGGAATTTCGTGAATCAGGTTAAGACGGTCACGATTTGTAATAGCTGGTGCCATTTCCCTTACTACCTGCCTGAGAGCCATGCGACAGATGACAGAGCCCCTTTCGCTGTACGGGCTTAGGATCATCCGAATGTCAGCTTCAGAGAAGTGAAGAATCGGGAACTCAGGGTATGGTATCCCGCTTGCGTTTGGGTTGACGGCAGCATATATAGACATTTCAGGGAATGCATCTGCATATTGCGAAGAGGTGTCTGTTGGCCCATAAAGACTCTCCAAAAGAGCATCAACAAGGAAGGAAGGGTCATCATCATCGTCCTCCATAGGTTGATCTTCGGTTTCGGTTTCGCCGAGGCTTTCATCATGTCCAAGATCGCCCGGACCATATAGACCCTGAACCTCAGTTCCAGCATGCTCAGGGGCAAAACTAGCTTCCGTGTTGGATCCCACCCCAGGTGGATCTGGAGATGTCTGAAAAGGAACTAGAGCTTGGCTATGCTCCCCATTAGGCTGATTGGTAGCTGCAGATACTTCGTTTTCATTCGGACCATCGGTCTCGTTACCGTCCGGCACCTGTTCTAAGTCGACATAACCTCCGAAGTTACCTTCTTCATCAGAACCCCCAAATTCAACTGACGCTGTATTAGCAGAACTGGGGTGTTGTGGTGCATTGTGATGCATTTGCGGAAGGACTGTGTAAATTGTAGAAGCACGGGGTACACGGTCCACGAGAGAGGTCAAATCATAGGCGGAGCAGTCATCAATCCAGACTGGCTGGCCGCCGCAAGCTTCCGCAACAGATAATTTTTTACGAAACATTCTCGGATCTAGAGCTAGCACACCCCATCCACGGTCATACCTGAGAGATATCAGTCAAACTCTAATTTCAAAAGCAAGACGACTGTTCACATACGAATCAGCAATATAATCATGGTCCCGATTTCGCAGAACAGGATTCAAATTCCACCCAACTGCTGGAGTTCGGGATTCCCAGATTCTCCACCCGAATACTCGATTCGAGATATCCGTACTTAGTAGCAGCTCCCCATGAGGATCCAACTCAGAATTTAGGAAACTGATACAGGGAATATTATTTTGGTGTCCCTGCAAAGTAAGGCGGAGATTGCAGCAGCGACGATGGTGGGGAGCTATGTTGCGAAGCCTTTCGAATTGTTCGTCCGTTGTGATGTTCGACCAGTCATTCAGGTACGAATGCTGATAGGGATGCGGTGCTTTGCGGCCGTTTGGCGGGCTATCGATAAGGGCAAATGCCCAGACTGTTATCTCCTCGGTGTTCGCACTAACTGCAATCAAGCGAGCTAGTTTATGAATGGCTAGACCCCAGGCACTTTCCCTAACCCAGTCACTGAAGAAACATGGCACGTTGGCCCCAAGATGCTCCGGCTTTTGGCGTTTGGAATCTGCAGACTGCTCAATTGCAGAGAAGATGTGCTCAGTTCGATATGCGGATACGTTGCCAGAGTCAGTTGCAAGGAGTAAAATTTCATCGTTGCCCAAATCGCCGACAACAATATTATTTAGAGCATGAGGGCGAGAGGGAGAAATACAACCACCAGCCGCTGGGTTCTTGAGTGTCGGCGTAAGAATGAGCTTAGGCGTAGTGCCAACAGAGAAAACAGTGGGCTGGTACACATATATCTGATGAAGGAACGCAACAAAGTAAAGGTTGCGATGCTGAGATAACGCGGTCTAGAGAATCAACTGTAAGCTAAATCTTCCAACCAGTCATGGGTTTACTTACGAGGTTGTTTCTCCACGTCGCTGGCTGAGGCGGCGGGACATCTGCACTGCTAAAACCAACTGTCAGTCATCGAGAAAGCGATGCATCGGTACATCGGTGGACATACCTCGGGAACTATAAACAAGAAATGTCAGTATCAACGTCTTTTCAAACCCAGCGAGACACATACTCTACGGTTCCCACACTCCACTCTATGCTCGTTTAAGCGAATGTTTTGGTCCTGCGCGCCGTCGCCCACAAAGACTTCCTCGTACTTGAATCTCATGGACGAGGCCTCCATGGTCGAGAGATGGTATAGTAGGAAAGAATGGCTCTCTCGATGGAGCTGATGGTGCCCAAGCCTCGTGCCCAGTTGGATTGTGCGTATCCTACTGAGCAGAGTGAGAGTGACAACAGAAGAAAAGACAACATCTCAAGATGAGCTGTCGTCAGGTCCCTGGGTCCCGCCGAGAGCCGCACAAGCCAGAACTAAGCGATCACCTGAACGCTGAGTCACCATCATATGGCTGGGGCCTCCTGATGTTCAAAAGGCCGTTGTGTCTTCAGAAATATCCAGAGTCTAGCATCCAAGCACATCGTCATTGGCATCTTTGCGTCGTTCAGCGATGATGCCAGATGGTGATGCCATCTTGTTCCGATGTTGATGCGGTGAACTCAATTCAAGCTTTTTTTCCCCAGAACGCACGGTCCAGCTCACGTTTTTTGCCTGCGCTAAATTAGCATCCACGTGATAGACATCCAGCTGCAGACCACCGGCCACCAATTCATCATTTCACTGGTGCAGAGAGACAGGACTGTAGCAGGAAAAAAAGGCACAGCAGGACTACCTTTCAGAATGGATTTGGTGGCAGGCGTTCGCAAAGAAGGCAGCCGGTAGGTGCTTCCACCCCTTGGGTCCGATTCATCATGCTCACAGTGTCCATGTTTGTCACAGCGGCGGCCGCGATAGCTTCAAATGGTCTGACGTTAAAGACTCCTCCCACCGCGAGAACTATCTCGGACACTCTCTTATGGCTCCTGTGGGACGCTGGCAGCAAGGTCGTGACTTATCTTGGTATGCCAAGGACGATGATGCCAAATCTGAGGAGGCGGCTCGAAAAGACGAGTTGCAGAAAATTAAAGAGGCGGAGCAAGAAGCTATGGCTCGGGCCCTAGGATTACCTGTCGCTCCCAAGACGGCCACCGGTGCCAATGCCACCGCTGTTGCTGGAAAGGAGTTTCAGAAGTTCATCAAGGATTCTATCGACGTTGCAGATGAGGGTAGAGTGGAAGGTGTCAAAGGCATCGGGTTTGGTGGATACGACGGCACAAAACATGCCTCCGATGTCGCAGACAAGCTCGAAGCATCGGGAATTTTCAATGATAGACGCCATGAACTCCGCAGTAGCAGCAAAGATGACACCCCCGTGCGCCGCAAGGATCGCAATAGGCAACGAGACAAACCAAGGGATCGCAGCCGTGAAAGGGAACGCCACCAGGACCGCAAAGAAAGGAGCAGACGCTATGATTATGACTACGATCGGCATGAACGGCGGAGACACCGCTCTCGATCACCAGGTCGTCCGCGCGACCGAAGACGCTCTCGGTCCGTATCCAGAGATAGAATCAGACGCCGCTGGGAAGATAAAAGATCTTCACGTCGTGATCGCAGCCGTTCCCACGAAGCACAGAGAGACGAACGCCGGCGGCCAGATGATCATGATCATAGGCGCCACCGCTAGCTCCTCGCGATCACTTACCTTTCATAAAAGCCTATTGATTTTGGCATTGGATATGGCATCGGCGTACTAATTTGGGAATATACGGGGGGAAAAGGCGCAGATTTATCGACACACATTGAGAGATACCCATTAGTTTACATTTACTGGCTAATCTAACTTCGAACAAGTATCAGCATCGAAAGCAAAATGAGATAAAGTTACAATTCATCACGGAGGCTTCCAGTGGATGCCGCGGAGAGGTCTGGCATGACCATCATTTTCACGACCAAACTGGTCCATCCTGTGAAATGCTGTGTTCGCTGGCCATGGCCCGTCTCTGGGTTGTATTGCTCCCAAGCGAAACCAGTTCGTTTCCACTCGTTGAATACGTTATCCACAACATTCTTGCGTAGTTTGCCGTAAATTTCACCGGCTTGTTTTTTATAGGGCCCAGAGCCATTTGCAAGGTCCTTAATTTACAGTTGTTAGACTCAAGCTAAAATGGAACACCAGGGGCACTTACAAGGAGATTCTTGAGGATCAAATAGTTCATATTGATCCAAATCGGGCTCTTCCAATAATTCTCACCAGTCCCATAGAGTTTATCCTTCTTGCTCAAACTTCGTATACCATAGTCGCTCCACAGCTCCTCTGGGTCGCTGATAAGGTCAAGAATATGGCCAAGGTGGGGGCTGTCCGGGTCCATCATTCCTGTCATGAAGGGGAACAGTGAAATGTACCCCTTGTGGCATACATGCACATCCTCTTCGAACTCGTCAATCGTGGCGTCGCAGTACGTCTTTTGAGTCTCATCCCAATGCAGATCGTCGATGTTCTTTTTGATAGCATTCTCGTTCTTGGCCAACGTTTCCATGTCGCTCTTCTCTTCCAAAACTCCTGCAATGCGTCGCAAAGATCTAGTCATCAAACCCATCCAACTTATCAAGTCCACATGGAGCTCTCCCGGATGGGGTGGCTGGGCACGTGGGTAGTCATCAAGTCCTGAAGTGAGAATATGCTCAACGGTACGGCCTCTCCAACGATACGCCTCTTTACTGGAATATGCCTCTCTGTCATATGTTTTGACATCGCCCCACTGCGTTCTCTTGAACCAAGAGTACTGACGCTGCAACAAAGGATATAGAGCGCGTAGGTATGACTTCGCGGCCTCCAGGTCCTTCGGACACATTGCAGAAATGTCATCTGAATCGGGTCTGGCCATGCTGGCTTCTATTTTGTTCACAAGGCCATCAAGAATCATGAACAATGTGGGTGGGTTAGCATAATGAGGATATTGGGTCTGAAATTCAGGCGGAACCTTGCTACGAGCTTCAGGTCCTAGAATCTGTTCACGCGCAATCCAGCCATCGTCATCCATAAGATTGAACCAACTTTTGACGATTTGCAGGCTACATTTAGTCAGTACCACTTCATTAAACCACTTTGAGTAGTTCATCTCACCTCAGATCAAGATCCCAATCAGCAACCGGAATCAAGTGAAATCCCTCATCCCAAAGGAATCCACGAGGGAAGAAGGGACGTGATGGAATGCTCGTAAATAGTTCTGCAGGATTTCCGGGTACAGGTAGCGCTCGCGCTCTTGCTTCGGCGGTTTCCTCCCAGAAACCTTCGTTCTCCTCCTCGTATTCTGGGGCATCTGAGCGGTCAACAATAGAGTCCCCGTAGAAATATCCAACACCCCCGACCAAGTTGGAGAGCATAGCTTGTGAAAAAGGCAAGTACTCGGGCGAGTCAAAAGGTTTCACGGGTGAATAGATCTCCTTGAATCGCTCTGCAAATGCTTGAGAAGAATCCTTGATCCCCTTACTGAGGACATCGGCTAAGAGTAATTAGTAAATCTGGAGGATCAGCTCGATCAAACAGGAAGACACTTACAAGTCAATGGCTGGCTGGCAGATCCCGAGGAGAATAGGACGTCGAACTGGCCAATTTGAGTCAAAATGGATCTTCATGCTGCACTGGGGACGTACCTCAAAGGGGCCCTGGAAAACTTTCTGAATTGCATGGAAATTTCCTTGTGCTGGTTTATTGGCAATGGTGAAGAGTCGGCTTGGAGGCGGAGGATTCTCTGTGCCGTATTTTTGGACCAGAGGGTCGATTTCCTGCTTCAGATGGGCAAAAAGGATGCCTAGCAACGTGTCCATTAGAACTGTGAAGGTAGATATATTGGTCAAACATACTTTTTGCTTGCCATAGTACTTCTGGTTGAAGTTGTAAACTTGCAACAAAAGTTCTATCCTGCGGTTTCTCGTCATAGCTGGGGTGCGTTTTTGGCGGATACTGATTGGTATCGGGGCCTCTGGTAATATCAATCGTAAAATCCCCCAAATCCGCCGTACTTCCAGAGAGTTTCACATCGCCTTTGAATCCAAGCGGATCGTCTTCATTTGCAACTCCCAGCTCCCCCAACCCCTCCATCGCGGCATAGAATACCACAGTAGTAGGTTGATTAGGCGGAGCGTCCGGACGCGGTTGGCCCTTGATCCGAAGCCCCCAGCTCCCTCCATGGCCCCCACCTGGTACCTTTATAAAATCGATAGTGAGGTCAAGCGTGTTTCCTGCGTCGTGGATCGTTTGCCGGCCGCCCTTTCGGATATCATACTCGTCCCAACCATACCCTGCCATGCCTTCATTTTGTTCACAAGTGTGCCTAAAGTCTGAAGAGCGAGAGTTAGTTTATTTGCCTAAAAACACGAGCTTCAACGAGGTATTATAGATATTTATAGAGATAAACTCGGCAGAGTCATAAACCTACTTACTCCCCTGCGCCGTGCGATAATCGTCTACCTTCGCCCATATCAGTCCTGCCACCAGGCTCTTGGGTATTCGCGGGCGAACACCGAAGTAAAGATTAGGCCGATATGGCCCCCATAGTAGTGATTCATTTGAAGCTTGATGAGTCCCATCTATCAGCGCTGGGGGCTCAAGTGTTGCGCATTTGGCTGAGACGTGAAAACGATCATTGACGGCGAGGGTAGCGAGAATGCCAACCCAGATACTTTTCATCTTTGAGATTGACACATCCAGGAATGATAATTACTGCACATTGATATCTCGTACAGTAAATAAATGGCCCTGAGGCAGCACTTCGCAAAAAGGAGGGCGTGGTTGTGAGTTGTTCGGGTCGACGCTCCCATCCGATGATGTTGCTACATTTCATCTCCAACAGAGCTCCAGTTTAGCAAACTATCAAACTACGTAATACAGTTTACTACCCTTAGGGATATAAAGCTAACCACAATGCGAAGGGACGGAAACAGGCCGGAATCAATATTTACACACTAGCTAGGAATGTTCATAACACTTGACGCGGGTCTAAGCTCGAAATTTTTGCACTCTTGGCCTCTCCATCAAATATGATCTCACTCATCAACTTTCCAGTCCCTGGAGCATTCTGGATTCCCCAGCAAGTATGGCCCGTCGCAAGGTAGACGCCTTTGATATCAGTCGGCCCAATCAGTGGGCCTGCTCCTCTCACTGACACATTCGGCAGATAGCAAGCCTGCCGGGCAACCACTTCACCCTCCCGCAGTTCAGTGGATATAGCACCGACAGAGTCAATGATTGTTTGACATCTGGAATCGTCCACTTCAACATCTGCCGTCGTCGCCGGAAGCGGGACTATCTTGTCACCTTCACCGCATGCGTACACAGTATCATCTGGTCTTGCATAGATTTCGGGCGCTGCCATCGTTGGACGGTGTTTGCTGGATCCTGGGGGAAGCGCAATGCTGGTGAACACTGCATATGCCGAAACGGTTCGTGTAGGGCGTATAACTACGCTGTGGGCACGGAGGGCTGAGATCGGCGCTCGTGGAAAGACTGCTTTGGTCCATGGCCCTGCGGATATGATAACGTCCGTGGCTGATATTGCCTCGGGCGCGCCGGTCTCCTTATTTGTATATTTGACGGAGCTTGTTCCGTTATCCAGCTGCTCAATCTCCGTGACAGATCCCAATTTTATCTCCGCTCCTTTATCTTCGGCCAATTTCGCTAGCGAAGTGGTAAACAGATAAGGATGAACCTGAGCAGTAGTTCCCGGGTCGCCCATCTCTTCATACCCGGACAGAGTAAACGGATCAAACCAGTCAAGATCCGCCGGTATACCTGCCGCCCGTAATAACCCTATAGCATCATCCGTTCGTTTTTCCAACGAAACCGCTTCTTTGCCGCCAGTTGCACTCGAGCCACTCGTACTATCCGGCCTTTTTGGAAGCACATGCGCCATCAGCTGCCCGCAATGGACCTTCCTGTATCCCCATTTTTCCTTTCCATTGTGCTCTTTAGCTAGCTCGGCATGGAGCCGGAAGCTAAGCGGGACGATACTGCTCGGGTACGCCCAGAGCGCAACGAGGCCGCCTGCCTTGCCTGATGCCCCGCCAGCGATTTGTGTGGCTTCAAGGAGTATGATTCTGTGCTTTGCAGGGTCGTATGAAGGGTGTCTAGTCAAGTAGTAGGCAGTCGAGCATCCGATGATTCCACCCCCTATCAAATTCAAGCCATCATTAGCTATCAAATTCCATATGAAATTTCATGACTTTGGTTAGTTGCTCACCCACGATGACAATTGTCCGCTCCATCTTTGGGATCGAAGTCGGTTGAACCGAACAGTTTAGTAGAGTTGTAGACAGGCAGGTTGTGAATGTAGATTGATAGTTAAACCGGCACCACTCCAGGCTGTTTTCACTGCTCCTCCGCACCTTGCATTCAGCTTCTTCAAAGCGTCTGCAACAGTCCCAAACGACCGAGTCTTTCCCTACAACACCTGCCTTTATACCCTCAACTTCAACGGAAAGAATCTGAGAATCTTCAAGCTCACCCAAACACCGCTCGTGAGCTCATCCAAGTTTAGGACGTCCAAAGGCAAAAATCCTCATCGCAGAACCATGGTACCAAGCTCTCCACTGAATCTCTGGGAAACGATTCGAAGTTGCCTTCTGGGCCCCGTTTCGCGGGGGCTTATGGGCGCCTGATCTCCATCCACGATGCAACCTTTCCCCACGTCTTAAGCTCCGGCCCTCGTTGATTAGTTTAGAATGCTTCTTGTTCTGCATGATAACTACTCAACGGGAGAAGCTCGGTATTAATGCGGTGGTCTATCACAAACCGTTGCTTCTTGAAATCACGGTGTGAGCAAGCTCAAGATTGAGGGCTGGAACAAGCGATAGACAATGTAGGAATCTTATTTTGATTTGGGACTTCCTGAGCATTTCAAGGGGCTTCATTGGTTCCAGGATGGCAGTGAAGTTGTCAGTCCTTTTATCCGAATAGGAAAAGGGGGAGGCTTCTCCCTTTTGCGCGAAGAGACAAGTGACTGGATGCAGTGAAGTAGACGATAAGGGAATATGAATATAAATGGTTAACTGAAAAGACTGAAAGTTCCATTTTTGCAACTGTACTAATTCAGCCGGGTAACAAACTATGTACAAGAGAAGTATATAAAAACGTCTATCGGCACTCGCTTGGAACCTCGGTGCTACCAACGCGGTTGGTGCGTCCATAGCGAGCACCAGTACCCAATTGACGCTTAGCGAAACCAGCCCAGATCTCGCACTTGTTCTGTCCACCAGTAAGAGCCTCATCGGCATCGATGATGGCATCACGGGCCTGGACAAAGTTGGGGTTGCATGGCATCCTACGGGTAGGAAACGTTAGGGCAAAATTCGGAAAGGGTATCAAAAGATCGGCTATTCAACTTACAAGGCCATACCGTCAATGACGAGCTTCATGGTCAGATACTTGCCATCAGTGGGAACACCGTTGCGGAATTCGGGGCGGGGGCCGTCATTCTTGCCGTGTTTGTCAATGAGATTCCATAGGACTTCGTAGAGCATGGTGGCCCAGACGGTTCCGATATCGTGGACTCTGTTGTATCGGTTGACAGTGGTGTAGACAAGAGGGTTGGTGGTGGTGCTGGTGGAGTAGGGGTATTGACGAATACCGCCTCGCTGGTTGGAGGCCCACTCGCCCATGGTGTAGGAAGTGCGGCGGGTGTCATTTGCCTTCAAGCGGATAGCAGTGGCAAGGAAGTCTCCCCATCCCTCACCCATACCACCGGATTCGAGGGCACTCAAGCATCGGGAGTTGGCAGGTCCACCGCAGAGACGGTTGGAGACTAGAAACCAGGTGAGCAGACGAGCATTGAGGAGACGGGCAGTCTCGGATTCAGAAATCAAAGCAGGAATAGGAGGACTTACGACCGTGGGCATATTCGTGGATGACAATACCGGCTTCAAAGCAGCCATCACGGTTGGGTTGAGATCTGTTCCAGGTGTACATACGCATGCGACCAGGCTGGCCATCAGGAGGAGTAGCGAAGTTGGCATTGTTAACACCAGAGCCATCTTGAGCGTTCAAGATGACAAAGTCATTTCCTCGGCCACCCTGGTTGTTGTTGTTGACCTCGAAGTTGCCAGCTCTCTCAGTGAAACCAAGCAAGTAGGTAAGGTCGTGGAAGGTGTTGGCGGTATAGAACAATTGAGTGATGGAAGCATCTTTGTAAGAGGTTGGCGGGCTCATGCTGGTGGAGTATGGGTACTCAAATCTGAGAGCGCTGCTCTGTGGGCGGTAGTTGTTGAGGTATCCGGTTCCACCGCTGGGATTGTCTTGGGCAATTCCGTTATTTCCACGGGTGGTTGGATATCGGGTATTGCCATCACTGTGCCAAGTGAACTCGGATGCATTTCGCTCCCAAGGATCCGTCAAGGTCTGGCGAGATCCTTCAGTTGGGTCGTTGAGTCCCCAAGGGCTGTGATTTGTATTAGCTACGGTTGTATTTGTGTTTGAGAATATAGGAGGCATACTAAACCTGGAAGGTCGCATCGGCAACGTAGTCAGTGACACCGTGGATCTTGCTGCTGTCCTTGGCATCAACATAAGAGGAAAGCCAGTTGTCACCAACGTCGGTTTCAACTCTCCAGGTCAAAGACAGCTTGCCATCTGGCTTAACGAAGTAGACAAGATCACCCTTAGGCTCAGATAGAGCACCAGATGTTCCCTTGAAAACAACAGATTCTTGTCCCTTGCCGGACTTAACGGAGACCTTGTTGGTCTTGATGGGGATCTTGAGAGCGTTGCAAGCTCCCTTCAAAGCGTGAACGGGATCGGAGAAGTCACGCTTGACCATTGGGTTCTCTTTTGGAATCTCTCCCTTGTAGAAGCCGTTGCCGAAGGAGAAAACCTTGCCGTCTTTGACCTATAATAAATGTAAGGCGGGGGTTCTGAAATGCCAAACGGAGTTCGTTGACTTACGTTAACGTTGAAATCAGCATTATCAACGTCCACTCCGTGGATGGTTTGGCGGAAGTGAACATGAGCAACGCCGTTGGTGCCAACGTAGTGGTCGTTAACGACACGGAAGGTAACCCCTGGGAGAGTGGTCTTGACGAGCTCAGTAGCGATATCGACGTAGCTGCCGGAGCTCATGAGTGACACGGCAGGTGGGTTCTCGGCAACATCATTGACGTTTGAGTACTCAGCCTTGGCAGAGACACGATAGGCATCAAGGTCAACAGCGCCTCGTCGGCTGAGGATGCTTGTTGATTGATGTCCCGGGTGCGCAAGAGCGCGAAGGGGCAGGGTGAGAAGCCCGGCGGCAAGTAAAAGTCCGTGCATGATGATGACCCAGAGAGTATACCCAAGAAGAAAACAGGAGTCCAATCTCTGAAAGGGCTGGAGAGATCAAGACTAGAAACAGCTCTGAGTGCTCATGGGAATCATCTTGAATTTATATCACGTTCGGACGATTTCCCATGCTCGCACCGCGACCACGCATACCCCGGCCTTCTCAAGGCCCTGGGCTAAAATGAATTCAGCGTCCCCCTCCATCTTCAGAATCAAAACCCTTTCCCATCCTTCTTGCAGGTCCCACATGACGTTTCCCACATGGACCCGCCTCCGCGTTGAGTTCACTCCGCGTCAAGCCTCTGGGCGTTAGGTTCCCGAGTTCCCCTTCTTGGACAGCCATGGGGTGACGAACTGTGATGGCCTGTCGGCTATGGCCGGGGAGGCAGTCGAAGGCTTTTCCAGAACAACGCAAACCGCACGCTTCGGCCTGCAAATTAAAGATAATTGCGGAGTGAACATGGTTGTTCCCTGAGAAGGAATGGTTGCAAGATCATTGCAGACAAGGGAGCCGAGTGTAACCTTCTAATTTGGCCACAAACTAATATCGAACGAGTAGATCAGCTTCAGCGAAGAGGTCCAGAGCCATCATAGTAGCATGAAACATAGAACGAGCGAGCGAGGACTTCACCTCCCTCGCGAACGGGTATTTGAGACAGTAGCACCTCCATCGCTGGCCAAAAACAAGCGTCATTACCAGAGCTCCATGGGCAGCCATGAAGGCTTCTTGTTCAAAAGCTGGGACACGGCTAAAAACATACCGTCAAAAGGTGAGGGTTCATGGAGTTCCCCTGTTGCAATCCATACCTAACAGTCTACAGCCTGCATCCACTCTTCGTCGTGCCTGCCAGAGGAATCTTTGCCAAAGGGGTACAAGCTGAGACGTGGCTTCACTAACGCAAAACTCTGCACGCTCGCTGGCCAATGAACTCCAGACTGCGAGATGCGGGCATCCCTGACCGATGCGACATGCGACACTCGTCCGTTTAAGTTACCTAGGCACATCTTGTCTGCTGCCAGGGACATGGTCCCCTGATGATCATCGTCGGATGGACAGCGCCAGACCCTCTTTCCAGGCACCCCGACTCCCTCCAAATCGGCCCGACGCAACCATCCAAAGGCGGGGGTCACCTTGACGATCTCCGCAACTCACCAGACGTGTCTGCTTTCGGGAACCTGACCCCGAGTCGACAGACAGTGGCACAGCTGAACGGGTGTGGTGGTTCAGCGGGAGGAGCGTCAATGGCGAGTGCGCTCACCGGCTACGGATGACCCCCGAGGCAGCTGGGAATGCTGGCTGACCGGAAGCTGCAAACGGTATTAGGATATGAGCCGGGCCGGGACTGAGGTTCTGGAAAATGGAGTTTAACGAGACACCATCGCTGGCGACAGTCGATCACCGGGGCTGACGAGTCAATTGCAAAAGTTTAGATATGGAATATCACCCCATAATCCCGGTGGCAAATACCCGCGTGGGACGGTGGAAAGTCTGAAGCTCACTATCAGGTTTGTTTTGTGCTATCATCCTTATTACACTGGATATTACTTGCTTCGCCGATATGTTTCGTGCTAAACACGCCTTGGTCCACTTCTGGCAGTGAAACTTGCTCTATTGTACATTATCTATCCTGATCTTCTAGAAGCTCCCGTTGTAAAGCAGACGGCTTGTGGTCTTCTCACCGGGGTTCTTGATCGCTCGTCGTGTCGCCAGCTGCTTAATGCGGTCGCATGCATGCTTTGCTCTGATTCCCTCCGAAGAAATAAGAAGGGCGGCTACTCCGCAGACATGAGGTGTAGCCATGGATGTTCCCGACATTGCCCCGTGGCGACCATTGGGCAGAGCCGATGTAATATTGGCCCCGGGAGCATAGATGTCAACTAATCCGGTGTTGAAATCGTTAGCAAGACGGCCACCACGGAAAACGAAGCGAGAGAGCAATGGGAGGATAACTCACGCCGAGCCCCAAAATTGGAAAAAGAAGCCTTCTCGTCATTAATCGTGCTTGCACCAACCGTGCATACTGATTTGACGGAAGCTGGGGATTCGTTGATGGCATCGCGCTGTAAATTTTCATGGTGAGCATTACGTCGCTCGAATTCTCAAAGTCTCTGGGGGCAATGGATTGATATGAGCCCTTCTTTTACGCACATTGTTGTTTCCGGCGGCCACACCAAGAAAGAAACCTGCCTCGACTGCCCTCTCCGCAGCTTCGTTCAGAGCCGTTGAAGTGTCTCCGGTCAAACTCAAGTTCATGATTGCCTTTCCAATTGTTCTTTTCTCCTTTGCATGCTTCACAGCCCAGTCCATCGCAGCGATAATCCCGCTGTCAGGGCCCCTGGAATTCTTTCCCAACGCCTTGACTGCGATGAGCTTTACCCCCTTCGCAACACCAAAGGTCTTGCCAGCTATAGTACCAGAGACATGGGTGCCATGGCCGTTCTCGTCTCCTTCTACTTCATCCACCACGTTAATGCCATATTCCGCGCGGCCTTCAAATTCTGGATGATGGATATCAATGCCAGTGTCCACTACGTATGCCACCACACCTTTGCCAGACGAGCGGTGGTAAATGTAATTGCGAAAGCCACGGAACCTGTGTGAAATTCTAGGAAGGCCCCAGGAGGGTGCAGCCTTTTGAAACTTCAAAATGCTTGCCTTAGCCATGCGGTCGGGTTCCACGAATTTGACCTAATACATGTTAGCAATAGTTTTCTCAGAGCAGCACTTTTTGACGTACATCAGGATGATTGGCAATATTGCTCAAGGTCTCATTGTCGAACCTCCCGCTGTACCCCCTCCAGCCTTCAATATCAAAGCTGAACTGCAGTCCATCAGAGCCTTGGATGCCCCGTTTTCCCTCATTTCCCTGAGGAACACTTGATAGATGGGTTCTGAAGTTCGATGAAGAGAGCCCATCTTTCATCACCACAATGTAGGCTCCGGGGATAACATCCCTTTCATTCTCAAAATTGAGGAGTTCTGCCGAGTTAACAGCCGATGCCACAGCCAGGGTGCTGGCAAAAAGTTTAAATAAAAAGCCCATCATGAACGACCAAGAAGATTGACCTGTGGGTGGTCACGAGAAACACAAGAATTGGGGAGATCTCTCGGGTCCTCATGGCTGAAGCGAGTCAAGGCGTGTATAAGTCGGGACTCATATAGTGTGGTCGATTCGGCTGTTGAGCCACCAAGACATGAAATGCAATGTTGTCCATTCTTCTGGTCTAGAAGCCTACATCCAAGATGATCCCTGACACTTCACCACAGCCCAAGACCAAAATGAGGGTAAAAAAGAAGAACCGAACCACTCACTCCACGAAGCCGGAGAAATAGGTGACATGGTGTTCAGTAGCCCAAGGAGCCATTATTCAAGTGGGGTCTCCGAGGGAAACAGATTGCACCGAAAATGGTTTCCTCGCTGCGATCGCCCAGCGGGAAACATAGGCGAAACAAGTTCAGCGCTTGTTTAATTGAGTGCAATGCAACGTTTCACCCAGGGCTTGCTGGAGCGGAAATACCCCTGGCGCACACTCGACTTGAGCTCATTTCAACGAATTGGAACCATTGCGAATCATGGCAGCTCCGTAGTCTCGTATGAAGCCATAACTAGCAGCCAGAGACCAAGAGACATCTCCAGCGTGTCGGATTCGGGAATTCCAAAAGTCCGCCATGTGATTCCGCCAAGGCCATGGGTTTTAGTCAGCGAGCGGAAACCCGGGATGGGCGGAAGCGGGATCATCACCCAATCAAAAGCAAGCGGAAGTGGCAGGGAAGCTGCCAAGCCGGAAAATGCTCGCCGCAAGGAAAAGGGGTGAAATCTCCGCTGTCGTTTATTAAAAGAGACGAAACTCCCGAATCATTCGACCCGAGGATTTTCAACCAAGCCTTATAAATTCAAGATGCCATCCCAAGTCTGGCTGGGATGTGAGTGAGACCATTGGACTTTCTCATATACTCTGATATATTTCTACCTCCCTTCAAGGTCGTCACCTTCAATCAAGTGTAATTTATTGGCAGCCGAAATCCTTTGCTCAATCCCTTTCGAAACGTCCTAAGTGAGTACTCTTCCAAGGATGCAATTCCTCGTTATCTAGCTAACCCTGTCTCATACCCCTGCCAGGCTCAATGGTGCGGGGCGGCTTTAATCTTCAGTCATGTGCGGGGACTGATTTATTGATCTCCAAATATCATCCATTTCCACAAGATTAGTGAACGAGCAGGTAGCTCCGACCACGGCCATTGTGAAACTATATAAAAAAGGTGAATGATAGGGATTGTCACGGGCTTCGATGCAAAATGGTACAGGCCGAATTCTAGGGACATGATAACAATTCGATTTAATCCGGACAAGAGCAATTGTCCTCTTTACAGGGACGATGGATCGTCAATATGTGAAGGATGCCTCGTCAAGATATCCGACAGCTAGGGTTATGTCCGCGTGTAACCTAGCAATAATTTCCGGTCTCTCGCGGTTGGAATCGTGGATATTGAGCAGCATTACGTGTGAGGTGATCGCTTCCTACTCCGTCCAGAGAAACCGAATATTCATTTTTCTATGAGGATTTCCCCTGACCATAAGGAAGCAACGATTTCATTTCTGTAAGCAAGGATACTCTGGGATGCTGAAATTGCATGGAATGATCACCAATCCACCACCAGTAATCTGTAGAACGCTGTAGAAGCGCAGAACAGAAACAGTGCATGATGCCTCGATAGTCTGACCTGATCATGGACCAAATACAAGAGTTACAAGAGTACTGCTCCCCACAAATTTGGCTTGTCTCAATACCAAGCTTGTGCACTAACAAAAGCTTGTTGATGGCTTGTTTTGAAGAATGCAATAATGTTCAATCCAGCTTGTTCAGCTGCTACAATCAGATGGGACTCTGTCCTACACAGCCTTATATCCACATATGGCGGCCGGGCTGCCGTTTATGCGAACCAATTATCACGGGACTGTACCGTATGTTTCTCTCAGCGAAATGTAGATCTTGCAGGTGTGGGCGTTTTCGCCTGTGACATAAAGGTTTTGCAATCAGAGCATCAGGAGGTATGAAATGATCATAATACCCACCTATACAGTAGATACCCTTTTAATTCAATTGTGGTAAGGAGGAGCGGTGGGCGAATCCACAAGCAGGGAGTTAGGGGCGTGATTGATTGAACGCATCTCTTGTGTACTCCGTAGCCGGCCGCGCCTAAAGTGTAGTCTGTAGTTTGTCTATAACCCTGAATGAGATGAAGAACATGGGGATGGGAACGTGTGTCTGTCATGTTTGTTTTGGCTGGGTGCGCAGTCGGATAATACGATGTTGATTTCAGGCATTTCGGAGTAAGAATCTAAAAGTGGCCATCGATTGCTTCTTCCACGATTTCATAACACCCAATGCGAGGGTTTCATGTGAATGGACAAACACCAGCATGGCGGCGGGGTGTTTTTCGGTCATTAGGGATGGTCGGATATGTAAAGCTGCCTCGATTTGCACTGCAAACCACAATGACAACCGCCGAGAGGCGTGGCAATTACTCGGGGTGTGCTAGATATCCTGGATGATAAAATTGAAGGGTTTAACAATCATGACTTGATGGGAGTCGAATATATCAGAGTAGCTTCCACGCAGCGGCGTCAGTAGGGCATCAGAACCGTCTTCGATAAGTTATGCCCCATGACGGAAACAGAATGTATTTGAAACAAGATGTGTCTTTCCTTAAGCCTCGGGTGCAGCAATGGGAAACGCCACCCGCCTGAAGAACAATAAGAAAGAGTAAGCAAAAAGTCGCTCAAAAAATGTAATATGATAAAGAGGGAGAAAGGCGGAATAGAATAAAAACTATCAGCCCAGGACATTATCTTGAAGGACTCAATGGCCTGTTGAAACCGCCCACCCGGTTCATGTACTGTCTATACTCCGTCTTCTTCTCCTTTCGAACTCCGTATATCTGGTTCCCGGGGACTTTAGTGTTTTGTGTAGATCGGAAATTCTTGAATCCCATTGTCTTCAACATCATTTCTTCCATCCCATCAGCTTCCATATCCACGTCCATATCCATGTTCGAAGCATCTTGAGGCCTTGAAGGTCGTTTTCTATCGGATCCATTAGGGCGTCTGTCGTCGTCTGGAGGTGCGCTCCGCCGTCCGGCGTCTTTGCGTTCCGACCTGGGACCGCGGGGCGGGGACCTTGTTCGCATTTTTGTGCCATTGCGAGTTGGAGAGCGGGAGCGAGATTTCGACCTAGTTCGAGGGACGTCCCAATATCGACTGGGCTTGGAATGATAATCTAAAATGTGGTAAGCAAATGTGGACAGTAGAATAGCTCGCCATCGATAACATTTACGAACCTCGTCGTGAATACTCCTTCTCACGGCTCCGATCCCGACTTCTGCTTCGATCTCTATCCCTTGGGCCACGTGCATCTCTGCCGTCGTCCCGCCGGCTATCTCTGGGTGCATCTCTAGCCCCGTCTCTGGGTCGCCTCTCCCGTGATCTGCTTCGGTCGCGTCTTCTATCATCCCTGCCATGAGATCGAGATCTCTGGCGTCGCTCCGCGCGTGATGAGGTTGTAGGTCGTTTCGCGTAGTCTTTGTCCCGCCTTCCCGGTCCATCCACTGCATCGGAAGCGTAGTCGGCTTGTTTTGAGTGTCTATCGGTCATGTCCCACATTGTCGAGCTGTCCATGCGCCTGGCGCGTTTGGCTGGGGGTTCCGTCATATTGGAGGATCAAATGTCATCCAGCTGGTTGCGGAACAGCGCAGGCAATTCGAGGTCCGGAAGAACTAAATGGATGAAGAGGGGTAACGGTATCCAGTCAAAAGCCTGCACTTGGTGAGCTATGCTCAATGAAATCCGTTGACAGATGCTGTAACGAGAACTTGTGCCTATTCACCAACAATTCCGATCCTTTGAAGCAACCTGCTGGTGGCTACGGCGCACACAAGGGACCAAGAGCGCAGTTTTTCACCAAAGCGCCGTTCGAGTCTATGATTGTCGGTGATCTCGGAGTAGAAATCATTTACCCTGTTAGTGATTCTCAGTATTTCAACCACTGGTTCATTGATTATAAGATGGCTCCCGGAAGTAACATATCTCGTCGTCGGGCGCATAACCTCCTACTACTATCGTCGCTCTTGAATCTGCGCGACACCACATCGCCCTTGACTTTGGTATTGGACTCTTTGGAGCAGCCAGCGACTCCGCTACTGAAAGAGTATATTCGACGGGCAAAGGTAAGGATATTTCGGACCCTTTTGCTTTATTCTCCTCAGCAGAACTACCACCGGCATGCACATTGTATAACACTCCATGTGCACACGTATTGACGTCCACATGGTTGCCGCGAATGAGAATATACCGCATGACTGATATTATGTATCTAATTTATCTGCAGCTATCTAAATCCCACATCACATTCGTGTCTTTTGAGACATTTGCACGTCCCGAAGGAGTAGATTCCTTCATTTCAGCCATCAGGAAGAATCCAAATGATGTGGCCAAAGAAGTGGTTTCGTCCTTTCCGCCTTGCGCAAATAAAGTAACTGATAAACGTAAGGCATGTCCCAGATTGAGATAATTTCTGCTTATATTAACTCGTCTACTATAGGATATGTTGTGATCATCGATTCGATACACTCTTTGGTTGCGGCAAGGCCATTGGCCAGGATGTCAATGTAGCTGAATTTCTGGGCAACTTGCTAAGCCCTACAAGTTCAAAGCTGCATATCTCTCTCATCGTGGTGTATCACCAGGATATTCCTGTGTCAGGCACTTCTCGTCCCTATACGCCGACGCTGCACTCTCTGTTGACGTACTTGGCAACCACCATCTTCACTGTCCATTCACTGCCACATGTCTTGGCCCGGAAAGCTGCAGCTGATAAAAGTATGGTCACGCCTGTGTTTGGTCTTGACGAAGAGAGAGAAGGCATTATTCTCGGACGACAAGATTCCGGGAAGAATCTCGGAAACCACGACGGAATTGTATTGGAAATGGAGCACAGACGAAAGAGCGGCAGAGGCATTGCTGAATGGTACTTTTTGCCTTTTCCGGCTTTCTATGCCCGAGGATCAGCGCGAGAAGTAGCTTCACTGCTTGACGATCATCCCCTTTACAAGCGAGAAGAGGAGCTGGGCCCAGGTGAAACAGAAGAAGAACCAGTGTCGACGTTTGAGCTTGGGCTTACAGAACGACAACGACGGGACAGAGAAAACGTGGTTCTGCCCTATTTTGACGCACAAAAGGGAGAGGGCCCCGGTGAAGGTGGGCGCATTCTATACGAGATGGGAGAAGAGGATGATTTTGACGAAGAAGAGGATGAAATATGAAACATCCTGTTTAGGGGAAGGGCAATAAAAGCTCGTTGTTGAGCCTGCGCTTCAAGAGCTATACGCATATCCGAAAGCATTCGAGAAGCGGACGGCAAAGGGATATTTGAAAAGCAAACTGCCGCTTGCTCCCCAGCCTGAAATATGACAGCGCTCTAACTGCGCCACGGTCCTCGGTCATCGAATATGAAGGTCATGAATGGGTATATTATTACAGGGCTATTCGAACTAGAAAAATCGCCACCAAAGCAGAATAATGATAAGCAGGCCAACAGCACCGAAGGGACCGTACTGCAAGAAGCGTGAGCAAAGATTCCGCGAGATTTCATGCGACACGACAGGAGATCGCCCACCTGTTTTATCAGTAATTCCCAGTTTATCCTCACAGCAGCCTTTCGATATTTGCGGCTATCTTCTCTTAATCTCCCGGACATTTCTCCCATGCGCTCCAAGCTATCACCTCGGTATAAGAGGTCTTCAATATTTTTTGTCATTACCTTCTTCACATCTTTGAGCTCATCGGTTATCCTATCAAGATTTGCCGAAGCTCGACTATCTTGGTACGCCTTCCTTTTACGCTGGAGATAGCTGTCAAATTCAACAAATGCGTATGGACGGAGGTTGGAAGATAGATATTGGGTAGGAGGGTATGTGGTGGTGAATTCGTTCGCGATATCTGTCAGGTACGCGAATGCGAGCTTTCGAGGGTACGAGCGGTCTGAGATGCAGAGGAAACAGATGTCATCCTTAATAATATAACTGTGAAGGAACGCCATGAGATATCGGTATCAATGCAGTTCGAAAATACTCTCGAGTCACCCACTGTAAATGGTATTGCCCAGATTCGATGCTTGCTTCTGGTTCGGAATTGCTATTCAATCGACGGAATATCATTTTCGCCTGCCCTTTGACTTCGGCCAATTGCGCCTCTGCCTAAAAGTTGTCAGCTGGAATGATTGAAAGCCCATTATGCGTAATCGTGTCGTGCAATGGGTGAATGGTATTCAGGGCTTCAGTGAATAGGGCCCTAACACACCTGTTCATCATCCACAGAGGCAGAAAGCATGAGACCTAAAAAATTTCATCTCGTCAGAAATTCCATCCTGCAATCCTTCTCTGTCCTCTTTCAACCTCAACCACCACCTCCGCTTCATGTTTCCAAGCTTGACACTCACCATCCAGTCTCGAGATCTGCGTTGATTTCACCATTTTTCCAAGCGTGGTTATTCCGCAAAATTGGACCTGCAAGTGACTTAACAAATTTCCCCCTATCTCTTTTACATCCGCGGTCTCAAGGAGAAAAGAAAAAAATAAGCAAGCTCTTCTTGATCAGCAACCGGACGTTCCCAAGCACTTGACAGCTGTGCAGCTGGGATTTGGGGAGTAGTTGTCATATTAGCTCCAGCAGCCAATCACAATGCCGCGTGGCGCCAAGAGAAAGGCGGCGGATGTGGGCAATACCGCACCTCCCAATCGGTCAGTTTGTCCCGGCTGAACAGTGGCCGTTGCACATCATAGCTGCCTGCGCACCTATTATTTCTCCGTTGGAGAGGGCCTAGCAATGCTGATATATATGTCTATATAGCCGCCCTCGCCGAGCTACTACTTCTTATAATGCCAAGGCCCCGAAGGCTCCGGCAGAGTCTTCAAAGAAGATGAACCCCAGTGGTGCTAGAAAGCCAGCTGGGAGGCGTTCAGGACCGGGGAGGCCGTCGAAGAAATGGAGTGAACCATTTGTGTTGACCAGCGACAAATCCCCGCTGATTGACATTGACTTGGTGGTATGTACTCTAGCTTCAAGTCAACCGTTTTGTTATAGGCTGCTGACAGGTGGCGTAGAAACTGCTCTCAGACCCGAGAGCTTGGAACTGTCTTGAGGAGGAAGAGAAGCGGGAGATACTCAGTTTGCTTCCTGACACCGCACATCCTGATCCCCATGGAAATCCCGAAGATCCTGACTCTAAAATACCGCCCCTACCACATGAATTTCTCCGCTATTCAATCCCATGGCGTGACGCGGTGCGTCAATTTCAAGTTGATTTACAAAACGGTAGATATGACCCGGAATGGCAGCGCCAAGCCCGTCAAGCGGTAAAAGAAAGGGCCGAGGGAAAATTCGATAACTGGAAAGAGGAGCAGTTTGAGCAATTCTGGGGCCAGAAGCAGAAAATTGATTGGGGTTTGATTGCAGGCGAAAGCTCGAAAATTAAGCTGGAAACCTTGGTCAAGAATCAGCTTGTTCAGGTGGGTGATGTTTGGAAATTTACCAGAGTGTTTGGGAGAGGTGATGATAAGATCCTTGTGGAGAAAGAAGTGATGGTAAGCTACGTTTTGCTCTACAACTAATTATTGGCAACGTGAATTGATTTTAATTTGGTAGGTCACTGGCTTCGATGGGTCATGCCTCACATTTGCAATTCCTTCTGGTCAAAATATCTTTCTTCGTGGACATGGATCTCACACTGGGGAATGTAAACCCCCAACAGTTCCCGAAAATCAAAATGAGGCCACCGATGGCTCGGACGGTGGTAAAGAGGCACCCTTACCATCCCGGTTTGCTGATACCGTGAACGTCAAAAGGGACGCTTCCCCTCGACTGTCTCACAATGGCAATCTTGTATCCACCCTACAACAATTTTTACTAGATATGGAACCCGACAGCCATTCCGGGAATTTGTCTAACGGGTTACAAACGGACGGAACATCAGGGTCACCAGTCCCCAAATTATCCACGGTTAACACTTCGCTTGACGAATGTGCCGATACTCCTGTTCACGATCTCAAGAAGAACCCCCTGGATTCTTTTCTGGATTCCGGGTCTGAACTTTCTGATTTGGAATCGGAATTCGAATATGGAGATATTGATGTCTCATGGGATGTTTACCGATTTCAACTAGACTCGAAAGCAAAAGAAGCCAAACACGCAGAACTTGAGACCGTTAAAACTTCAATAATTGATCCCTCTCAAGGCGAAGGCTCTATGGATGTGGAAATGGTTGAAATTAGGCCCAAAGACCCATCGGCCGATATCGCGGATCCAAATGCCTCCGTAAAAGTTGGGCCTTTGTCGGAGACTCCTGAGGCTACAACAACCAAAACGGATGTTTGCCTGGCTAGTACTGACGCAGAGCAAGAGGCAAATGGAACTCAAATGCTTCAGTCACCAGCCGAACTGACTCTCAAGAGCGCTCAGCCCGAGTCCAGTCCACTCGTGGCCCCAGACATTGTGTTTGGCGGCGTCCGAGGCCCAAACAGCTTACACACCAAAATCCTCAAGATTGACGGACGCATCACCAATCCACCCAATGGAAATGCTTGGAAAGACTTCCGCTGTTACAGAAACAACCAAGATATGGGCAGTCTTTGGGAAATAAGACAAGCTTGGTACCTTCGCACTCGCTCTTAATATGTGATTTCACTTGCAGGAATGCGGGGGTGGGCGTACTGGATTAGGCCTTGATATCATTTGCTTCTTCCTTGGCTACGGAGTAAGGGTTGGATCAACCAGGAACCTTGCGTGTTGTTGTATGTAGCTAACTAACTGCCCTGTACAACTAGCTGGATTATGTAACAACGCTCCTTAGTCAGTTCTATTCATCCACGGAGTATGTCTCCTAGGTTGTTATATATTTCATCTTCAACCTTTTACTTCCTCCAATACACAGTTGCTCAAGGGTGCACATTCCGTTGGCACACGGAGAGTGTTCTGTCGATGACCCAACCCTCGAAGCCAGCAGCCTGCGAGTCGCCTGACTCCTGATACGGCAAGGAGATGGAAAGAAGATGGGCATTAAGCTGAAGTCAAAGCCGAAAACAATATCCCAATCCATGTGCGGGGATGATGAACTTGGGTGTGTGGTGGCTTGAGCTATTGACGGCAATCACACCGATACTCCCAGACTTGAGAGATCGTCAGGCTCCTACAGCTAGCCACCGATCGGATCAACACGATGGCTTGACTTGAACTGAATTTTGTCAGATGAGATCTCTCTTCTTCAAGCTGCGGGTGAATTGCGATCGCCGTGGAGAATTTTTCCCACGCTTGTCCACAGGACCGGAACAAGGCAGCCCTGTATGCAAGGTGCAAATAGTCTTGCAGATTCACCTGTCAAACGGAGATCGAGAAACGAAAAACATAACTACCTCCATGGAGCATGAGGAGTGTCAGGGTCTTCAAGCGTGTATAAAAGGATGGATATTCCTGCCTTTATCCTGTTGTTTCAACCACTCCCACTTCTCCCTCATCGTCTATATCATTCTTTATCCTCCCGATATACAGCCGCTATCATAGCCCTTTAAGGGTCCTCGAACCATGCACGCTTCAGCGGCCATCTTCCTCACCTTTCTCGCAGGTGCGGCATTCGCCAAATTTCCCCCGCCCCCAGGCAAAATCTGCGACACCGACAAAGAGTGCTCCTTTGCTTGTTTCAAGGATGGGTGCATGCCAGTTGCATGTAATGGGCTGGAGTGTACTACCGAATCCGGCTTCCATTATAAATGGACCCAGGAAAAAAAGGACAAATTCATGAAGGAAGGCGTTTGCCGCACAGACCCTGCGACGGACGATCCCGATTTTACCAAGTGCTTCCGCCGCTGCGATTCCACTTCAGACTGCCTCAACGAGGAATACTGCAACTTGTCCAGAAACAGTTGTGAGCCAAAGGTCAAGGATGAGGAGGAATGCAAAGCCGATGAAGATTGCGAAACTCTATCATGTGTTAAGGGGAAATGCGGCTCCAATATTGGAAAGGACTGCAAAAGAGACGAGGATTGTCCTGCTGTCAATGGCGTACAAGGCACCAGGCTTTGCTCGAAGATCACAAAAAAGTGCCTTGAAGGAAATATACCAACAGACAAAGGCTGCACCGAAAATGCTCAGTGTGGGTCAGGATGCTGTAGCAAGGACGGCACATGCCAATATTGCAAGAAATGCAACTCGGACAGTGAATGTCCCTTTTCACTGGTATGTCGCAAGGGCAGCGACGCTGACGGACAGAAAACATGCCGTTCGCCCCCGCCGCCCCCGAAACCCAAATGCTATCGCCGTAAGGATTGCAGCGGCAAAGTGAGATGCTTCACAACCCCGACCCGAACCATCCCGTGCAACCCAGGAAACGGCTCTCGTGGTTCCCCCTGCACACACAGTGCGCATTGCCATGGACGGATGAATTGCTTTGACGGAAAGTGCGGCTACTTTGGCAAGAATTGCGGTAACAGACGCGACGGCTGTGGTTACCCCTGGCAAAAGAAGTGTTGCGAAGGACTTCAGTGTCGGCAAACTACTCCAGGCCGTATATCTGGCGAGTATTGGTGCATGTAAACTATCTATAAGTAATCTAATCATAATTTAATGAATTCATTCTCTTCGAGACTGCGCAAATTCTGCTCAGAGGGGGAATAACGGGTGAATATAAAAAAACGGTCTTGATAGCGGTCGTGTCGTTACGGCGGTACCTCGACCCTTTACATCTTCTCCTGTTAATAGTAGCCCTAGAACTCGTGTCTCTCATACTCAAAAGTTTAGGTTGCAAAAGAGGATTCTTCTTTTTATTCCAATGCAATTTCGGAACGGGGATTTTTTTCCAAGGAATATTCATCGAGAGGTTTTTTTCATTCGGATGCCTGATGCATAGAAACATGCACCAACACTATCTACGTCATATGTTCTAAGTTTCTTAGCCGTTTCAACCCATATTAGGGATTGAGGGAAGGTCTTAATGATATCTCTTACAAGCTAAGCCTCTCTGACCTCAGGAAGCCTCAAGAACTTGCTTGCGCAGTAGTCTCTTCGCTCACCACTCTCATGGCGTTTTCATCCGCTCCAATATCCACAGCGGAGCTACAAGCAATGAAATCTTCTAATTCTTCACTAACTGTCTTCAGCTTCTCTTTTACGCTTGCAACTGATTCTGCCCCAACTATATGCCGTGCCGGCGGGTTTTCATGGCCCCCAATTGCGGTTATAGCGTGTATCGTTTCTGCTGTGAGAACGTCTAAATGAGCCGGGCTTAACGGAGGATAAAGAGAAACTATATTTCCAGCGGAGAGAGGGTAGAGATCTGAGTCCACGCTGCTTCGCTCGTGGTGGGTTTCAGGATTGCCGGTGGATGTGGAAGATAAGGAGGCGGGAGATGGGCCGGACATAGGGGATTGAACGGGAGTTTCGACGTGTCCTGAGATGCCTGGTAAACGGGAGAGGATGTCATTCATGATCCCGCGGAATAGAGGCGCGTGGTTGATGGAGCGGGAATAGATGGGATATAGAGGGGGAACGCTGGTGACGAGGTTTGACAGGATGCCAATTTCGATATTGCATTGGAGAATAGTCACGCGAATGTTAAAAGGGGCGATTTCATATGCGATGCTCTACGTGAGAATTGCGGTTAGATAGACAATAAGACGCATTCGGGGTGAGGTTATCGTGATGCGGCCCCGCCTGGTGCAGTTTACTCACATCGCAAAACCCTTCGAGTGCCCACCCAGCAGCGCAATAAACCCCCAGTCCCGGCGTTCCTATGTGTCCCGCTATGCATGGTTAGCTAAGGCAGTAGATATAGTACAGATTATGGGGCATTTATCATACTGATTCCACCTAGAGCCATAATATGACCGGACTTTTGCTTGCGCATCTGGGGTAGTACGGCTTTAACCAGATTGACTGGGCCAAAGTAGTTCGTTTCGAATTGGTCTCTCACTAATGCTTGAGTGCGTTCGGAAACCGCGAGTTCTTCGACAGCTCCGATAATGGCTATTATACACACTTAGTACGAGCGTCCGCAGAACCGTGAAGCACGTTATAGAGAGGAGCAAGGACACTCACCTTGACTGGAGCAGCAAAATAAGATATCAACCTTGCCAAACTTAGCGACAGCCGTAGCAATGGCAACTTGGCAATCGCTCATCATTCTATTTTCAACGTAGCATGACCCGATCAGCCAACGTCCACTCGGGTAAAGGCCAGGCAAAAGCACACCTAATATCCAGCTCCACAGGCTCTAACCTCTCCCTGTACCCATTTTGGCCCTCCTCGGCACTTAGTTCCTCCAGGAATGCATCAAAATTCACTCGTCGCGGGTCCTCTCGCTCCGGGTTCGAAGGCGTGATGCCCGTGACTACATGGTCACCATGGGCCAGCAATTGACGCGTGAGCGATATGCCAATTGGAGAGTCGCCAGCAGAGAGAACCCAGACTCGAGGTCCATCATGGTTCGGAAATTGGGATGAAGGAGGCAGGGGCCCGGAGCCGGGTGCGAGGGGAGAAGGCGAGGGGTCGTCGGTCATCTGTTTGGATGGTGTGATGGTAGAAGAGATCGAGAGCCCATCGTGGTGGCAGAGGATATTTGGATCAGAGAGAAGCTGGCTAGGCTTCTCGACAATTGTTCATCTTGCGCAGACCTGCAGCTTGTTGGTGTTTGAAGCTTCAATCTAGGACGTCGATCCAGCCGATGCGTCAGTTTTGGTGGCGGCAACTAACCCGGAGCTAAAACGGTGCAAACAGCTTCCAGAATTCCTCCTCCAGCAAAACCGACCACCTCACCTTTCCAATTTCCCCCAGGGGTCGCTTTTCGACAACGCTCCCATTCAGACCACCAAGATGCCGGAGCAAAGGCAAGCAGGCAGAGAGCCGAGCTTCATGAATGTGAGTTCTTTTTATTGAAAAATCCCGAGCTGCGTGGCACGCGTCCGTGTTGGCTAACTGCTATCCGTCCACCAGTCTGTCTTCAAGACAGCTTTTCAGGGGTTCGCCATCTTCGGCCTCTCTCAGTTTGTGATGCAGAAGATCTTTCCGCCGAAACAAACCGGTGGACGCCTGGCTATCCCCACTTGGGAGGGGAGACCAGACCAGAGCACAATCGCCCACAGAGCAGAAGTGCCCCAGTTTGTTGCGCCGTTGTGGAATCAAGACAAATATGATTTGGATATCGAAATATTTCTTTCGCCATATGTGACCCTACCGGCGCTTGATAAGGTACCAAAGGATATGAAGGTTCTAGAAGTGACAAACTTCACTGTTGGCGATTGGAATGAACACAGGGAGGTTGCGACGGAAATCACTGTGCCAAAGGCAGTACAAAACAATGGGACACTCTGGGCTCACTTCTACGTCGCACGTTCAGGACACCAGATTGATCCCATGGAAAAAGATTACAACCCTGAAACTGCGTATCATTTCATTCGACCCCTAACCGAATACCTGCCTAAAAAGAAGATACCGAAATTGAGGAATCTTTTGGATACCACTGATGAAATGGAACCGGTGGACGAGTCCCCAAAAGCGGTCCAGGTTGGATCGTTCTATCACACCAATGTCACCCTCTCAGTGATTCCTGATAGTGGAAGTCTGAAATATCGGGCAATGCATCCTGGCGTCCGGCAGTTCATTCCATTGGAAAGAACCAGCGCAAGAGATGTTTCTGGGCAAAATGGATGGTACTATCCTATCATATTTGTCAATACATTTTGGCAGCTAAGGAGCCAAATGATTGAGCTTAACTCCACCGTTGAAACCTTACCCCTTCGTATTTCCTTGGATAATCTCAAGAATTGGAAGTTCAGTATCTATGCCAGCGTTGACGAGAACATGAAGCAGACGCAACGACAGGCGGCTTTCGGAGGCCCAGCTCCTCCCGGAAAGGACGGCACCGAATTTGAGATGGTCAAAGAGATTCTCCTGGACACGAACAGTTATCTCTTAGCGACAACTGGAATTGTCAGTATTTTGCACATGATCTTCGAGGGTCTTGCCTTTAAGAATGATATCGTAAGTCGCATCACCGCTGCTCACATTCGAATTAGTTCCGTGAAACTGTAATACTGAGCACCCCACGTTTCTATAGTCACACTGGCGTAAGAAGAAGGATGTCGTCGGCACGTCCCTGCGCACGATTCTTGCCAACATCTTCATGCAAGGTGTGATATTCTTGTATCTGCTAGATAACAGCGAGGGTACCTCCTGGATGATCCTTGCCGGTCAGGGATTGGGCGTCGCCCTTGAGGCATGGAAGATCACCAAGACCGTAAATGTCCGCGTGCGCCGCCCCAGCCCAGGTTCCCGCTTTGCGTTCCTACCATACCACGTTGTCTTCGAAGACAAACATGTGCTCAGTGAGACGGAGAAGAAGACCAAGGAGTATGACGAAATTGCATTCAAATGGCTGTACATCATTGCGGTCCCTTTATTGGTCGCATATGCGATTTATAGCCTCGTATATGAGACCCATAAATCATGGTACTCGTTCGTCATTGAAACCTTGGTCGGCAGCGTATATGCATATGGCTTTTTGATGATGGTCCCGAGCCTTTACATCAACTATCGACTCAAGGTAAGCAAAATTTCCTCACAGGCTTCAGGGAGGACTCGAGTTGCTAGGGCTTGGTACTAACGAGGCTTATAGTCCGTGGCACATATGCCGGGCAAGGCGCTGACGTATAAATTCTTGAACACATTTATTGACGACCTATTTGCATTCACCATCAAAATGCCGACACTTCACCGTCTAGCAACTTTGAGAGACGACGTGATTTTCTTCATCTGGTTGTATCAGAGTTGGAAGTACAAGGTCGATTACAAGCGCGTCAACGAATTTGGACAAGGTGGAGATGAGTCTGAGGAGACTGCGGGAGAGAAGAACCAGGCTGATGTTGCAAACATTGAGAAGGAGGATGAGGCTGCCGTCGCGGCTACTTCCTTGTCATCTCCATCCGGGTCATCGAAGAGTACGACCCGAAGACGAAAGTAGTTAAAAGATGAGCAAAATGCTGGGATGAAAGAATTGAGCCTTCCGAGATTGCAAGGGTATCTTCATGTACGTATTTTGAGATAGAGATAGAGCTGACTGGAGGCCATAACACGAGAATTCTGCGTCCTCTGTGGATCGGTTATTATGCAGCATGCACTCTGATATCAGGCCCGCTGGTAAGGGTTCAGAGAGATGGATGCCACGGTAACCTGGAGCTTTGGACTCCAGGGATGATGCTTTCGTTGGGGGTTCATCAACAGTTTCTAAATCCATTTGCAGTCAGTGATAGCTTCTCTGAGAAAAGAGCGCGCCAATGGACCTGAGTCAGATTAATAAGTTCGGTTTCCACTATCTGTAGCATTCATCTTGATCCCACAGGTACATTAAGGTTTCCCGAGCGTTCGTGATACCCCGCACTGTGTCAGTTCCGCTGGAGGAATCCTCTCGGGAGTTGATCAGAGGGCTTTGATCTTCAGGTTTAACCAGGTATCGAGATTCCATGGAATGCTTTCCCGAGCACGTGGAAATGACAACCGGACAGCATCTGCTGATGTATTCCGTTGGTCAAAGCTGAATACAGTTCAAAGAGCAAGGTGTTGAGATAGATGGGGGCCCCTTTCACACAGGGAACCCTTGAACTTTGGAAGTCAAGGTACTCCGTACAAAGCCCAACACGAGAGATCGAGAGGACTTTCTGAAAAAGGGCGACGGGGTTCTCCGTGGAAAGTTCATCTTCGCGGATGGTCCACCGTCTCGGTTCGACTTCTAAAAGGTTGGATGTGCCTGCTGATCAGTGTGGCACGACGTTCGTACAGTTGTAGCCGGATGTGGCCCGTGAGTACATTTATGTCATCGCGGCGTAATGTAACACTGTCCCAATGCCGGCATGCAGAATCAATTCCGGAATTCTGAGGTTGTTGGAGGAGAGTACCAGAGGGCGTATGATTGCGTATTCCTAGAATCAGTTTCCTCAGTTTTGTGAGTTGATTCTTGTATGACAGCCACTAGTTATTCAAGACCAATGACTAGGGAAGTGAAAGTAATTCAAAGTGGTAGGATACAATCGGGCGAAAGCACCGAGTCCACAGCAATTGAAACAGATTCCAAGACCCGGTTCTGCAGAGCCAATGGGCTATGCCAAGGTAAAGAATGTGGTAACAGAACCCATGAGAGGTAATTTTGATATTTAATTGCTGAGAGAGAACTGAATGGCCAGATTATGGAGCCGAGACATGTCGCAATATTACGGAAAGAATTCAGCAAAGGGAATTTAGTAGTGGTGTACGGACGGTTCCGTATCCCGATTTTTCATCGATACACCAGAGCAAAGGTATATGGAATGGCTATGAAGGTTTGCCAGGATACAGCCAGCAGCAAAACTGGGACACGAAATACATGGCTCCAGGAGGAGCACGGTCAGGCCCCAAAGGTCTGTAATAATAAACGATGAAAATAATAGACTGCAATTACCACGTTCGGGTTATCCGTAGAAACCAGTGGCAGAGAGAACAGGCGCATCCATTGGTCATGTGGGAGTCATCGTTGATGATAGGAAGTTGTATTATAGTGGGCTCAAGGGACGGTAACACGTTTTGTCACCACAATATCGGTTCCTCGAGAATCGAACGAGGAGCAGCTGGAAGCGGGAAGGAGCCCAGTGCAAAAAACATACTATCTCAAGGGTATGGCTCCAGCGAAGGGGTAAACCCGGATGAATAACACAGGGATGGTCAGAGGGGAGGAGCATTATGGGGCCCCGCGGAACCATCAAGGCCACTCAAGTCGGTCTACGGACATAAAGCAGCAAATAAAATGGGATGCCAGAAGCAAAATAGATAGACACAAGAGGTTCCCCAGTCAGGATGATGCTTTTCTGGCACCGCTGGCATCAAACAAGGATCGAGCAGAAAGCAAGCGACGACCCAGAAGCGCCTGTATTTTTGGCAGAGCCAGCTCTTATCTGGGGAGAAACGAAACTCTGGCATCTCGAAACCCTTGCATTGGCGGTACTCAAGGGATCCCGTCGAAGCGAGGTAGACAGGGACTGGGATTGCAGTTTGACGGATCGATGAAGTCGAGCGGTTGCGGTGTCACAAGGGAGCGCTTGGCGGCGATGGCGTTTCCTGCAGCTTACATAAGATCCCAGCCACAAGGGCGCCTGACTAAGCGCAAATAAGCTTACTGGGGGATCGACGTGGCTTAATCCCAGTGCAGATCCTGGACACCGCAGGTCAACCTCATCTCCCCAAGACTCCAACCCCCGACCGCACCGGGCGTGCAGATGCGTGGTGATGCAGAGGCTTGTGTCGAAGGCGTGCTGGTTCTCGATAGCAGACTCCATTCTGCTATGTTTCTCTTGGGCTGCTGCGTGTCTTCAGGTCTATAACCAAACATTGAGACATGGCGCTCGACGGGGCCTTTCTCTCTGCTGATCTGCTTGCTTCCCGCTGTCACAGCTCTGAGGCTTGGTGGTGTGACGGCTTGCTGTGATGATGATGGCTGGGCATTCCTGTTGAGAAGCCCAGTAATATTATACGACTTTACCCCAGGTTTTGCAACCTTCATATGCCCCTGTTCCTGGCTGGCTTAGTCTAGATCTTGAAGGTTTGAATTAGCAGAATCTGATAATTGGGGTTAAACCACATTGATTCAGACTGAGAGATGCGGTGCGGGAGACCCTCATGTTGCCCCTCCTGCTCAACGATGGGAAATGAACGTCGGCTCCATACTCCGGATCCTCTAGGAGAATATTTTCCCTTCGCAGAACCGGGGCTCAGGTGGTGTTAATTATACTCTACTCTGATCGAAATCAGTCCAGTTTTACTAGAATCCTGCCCGGATTTATGAGCTTGGCCCTCATGGTTGGGACCTGCCTTTGATCGATGTGCTGCGAACGGGCGGAGATTCCAAAACGACGTTTTGATATCGGCTCCGCGGCACAGCGTGCCCGTGGCAAATAATTTAAATCGAGTTTTGCGTATCGGACTTTCTGAAACTACCTTGGGTATGATCAGCTGGACCGAGAGGGTATTTTAAGGCCTCCCCATGCAACCCTACTGTGAACGGTGTGTCCCTTGGTGGCGGCAAACGAGGAGTTCGCATACGTCCGGGTGGAAATGCATGCTTTCAATATCGTATAGCTGTTCAGGGATGTACATCGTTTCTACTTACCAGGGTTGACCGGGAATCTCTCCGGGCTCATCTATATAAACCCTCATGACCCCAGGGTTTCCTCCCATATTCTTTTCCTTCACCAGTCAATAATTGGCATCTAGTCCGATAGTCACTCTTCTATAAAGACCAAATCTTTACTCTCTCCCCTCGAACGTTCGACAAAATGAAGTCTGCTCTCATTCTCGGCTTGGTGAGCTCTGCGCTCGGTGCGGCAATCCCCGAGGATGTCCCTACCCGAACTTTGGAATTCCCTCAATTCCCCGGCAGCGGACCCGCTGGCCCAACCCGTCATGCGGAGGCCCGCGGTGAGGTCGAATGGGGAGGCGCTGCTCCCGACCCAGACAAGGTCCAAATTGTTGGTCTCACGTACGGCGGTTCTGGATGCCCCTCCAACACTGTCAGCCACATCCTCTCCGATGACCGCCAGGTGATGACTCTCATCTTCGACGAATACGTTGCCGCCATTGGTCCAGATGTTCCAATCACCCAAAGCCGCAAGAACTGCCAGTTGAACATCAACCTCCGCTACCCAGGTGGCTTCCAGTTCTCCATCTTCTCCGCCGACTACCGTGGCTACGCTAGCCTTGAAAGAGGCGTCACTGGTACCCAGAAGAGTACCTACTACTTCTCTGGCCAGACCCAACAGGTACAATCATCGTCCCCCATCGTGAAACAGCATGACTAACATTGCTTTCCTTTTCTGCTAGACCCACACCGAGACCAACTGGAAGGGTCCATTCGACGACGATTTCCTCCTGCACGATGAGGCTGAGAATTCCTCCACTGTCTGGTCTCCTTGCGGCACGAACGGCGCTCTCAACATCAACTCCCAAATCCGCCTTAACAGCTCTAACCGCCAGGCTCGCGGTATCATGACCAACGACTCTTTGGATGCCAGCTTCAAGCAGATCGTCCACTTCCGCTGGCAAGAGTGCACCAAATAAGCGAGCTAAGCAAATCGGGCGTATGAACTCTGTTCGTTCAACCCATGTTGCTAGGTTTGGCTTATTTTAGCCCTACCGCAGGTCAAGGTTTGGTTGTGTGCTGTCAGGAGAAGAGTGTTCAGTGGTTGGCTGATGAGTGTCGACGAATTTCCGTTTTCCTTGGTGGTCGCTGTTCCCAATGTATCCTATCCTTCATGTATCTACTTTTATGTACCCCATCCTAGGTATCGCGGGTGTCATCTTGATTACCTGCATACCGGTTCAATTCTCAGTACATATTTGAAACAAACCCCTTTTTTTGCGCATAGCTTATTCCACTTCTTCCATGGCATATAAACTTTACCCGCATCGGTTAGATATCTTTGAGTATACCTTGCTTGAAGCTATTCACCTGCGCCGGGCTACGAATCCCATCGATCGACATTGATCGACCAACTGATGCCAGCGCAATGGAAAGTTACGATTTAATCTCCGGCTGCCTGTCCCTGCCCTGAGCACAAGAAGATCTTGCTTTGCGGAACCAAGCAACCGATTGTTCTTGACTTCATTTGGGCGCGCTAATATTGACCACAATTTGGAGTTTCGACCGGCAAAGCGCCTTTACAGGAACATGTAGCTATGTACCGGATATCGTTTTGTATCAATCTGTCCTCCGTTCACCTCCATAACCCCTAATTTCGGCACAGAAATGACGGAAAGCCATGAGGTACGACGTGTGTATGCCATTCCCTCGCGTGTTGACAGAGTTTCCTGAGGGGTAATGTTGCAAAATCCGGGAGAGTTACATGGTCGAAATCCGCCTGTAGGGATTCCTTGCCACTTGGGAATGAAGGCACATGGATCCCGCCCCGAATTCAGAGACCTCTTGGCAGTACTGGCATTCGTATTCTTCAGGAAAGGTCAGAAGGAACGTTCTAGAGGTGCGAAAGTCATTTGAACTTGCTAGTCGCTTCTTTTGATTGTGTTGAGGTTTCAGATTTAGTTGCCCACTCGCTGGAGGAGGATCCGGTGATAGCGGTGATGGTGTCGTTTTCTGTATCATCTCGCCACCACTCAGCGAGCTTGGGGGTGAACATGGAGCCGTTCTCCGCAGGTCGCCTGCAGGGATGAGATGGTCTGTCCGCCATTCCACGAACCTGGGCTTGGATTTCGGATTCGAAGGTGGAAGGTTTGCACTGTTTGCATGGGTGCAAGCTCGGAATCGGAGTAACATTGATCCAGCTCGACCTCGACGACATGAGTGCCGTCAAGGGATGCGGTAAGGGGCATCTAGAGTAGGGGACCGTGATGTTTGAGTTACAATGGAGAGAGGTGATTCACCTATTGGATTAAGCTGTCTGCCATCCGCTTGCTCACAGCTCACCAGCCAGTGGTCTCCGGAGTATTCAGTTCGCAACTCAGGATCGCCAGGAGTTACATTCGACGAGGTGTCTTACAAACTATTATCGTGTCTCTTCATTTCAAATTTATCCCGGTAATTGCTGGATATCGGCCTTGTTACAGGTCACATTGACTGGGATTTGCCATTGTTTAAGAGCTCCCCAAATCGCTGCTCATCCTAGTGGCCCTGTAGTGACAGTACATAATGCAAGCTACTACCTCTCCAAAAGAGGATTCCGGTGAGATTGGGTGAACCTGACTGATTTAATTGTCCTATATTGATATCTAACGCCAGAATGCTCTAGGACTAGCCTCGAGATCTTGGACTCTCGAAGAAGCCATCGCCCAGCTAGAAGATGGTAAGGGATAATCTGCCTCGCCTTGGGTCCTAGCAGATTGTATCATCGGTTGTTATCATAGTGCTTACGGACCATCATAGTCGCGTTTCTCCCAAAAGCCCAGAGACATGTCAATGTCACAGACGTTGCAAAGACTATCGCGTCTTTGGCGTACGAATCTGGCATAGGCACAGATCTCCTAGATAGGCTAGTGACGGTCATTGTGAAATCAAAGAACTTGGACCAGACCACGACTACCAACCTTGTTAAAAATCTATACCCGTCAGAAAGGGTACAGCTGGGAATTGTTGCAAAAATCGCCTGTGCTTTGGGCCCCACCAAGACTAAGCCATCGCCAGCGACCCAGAATTTACTGCTGCGGTGGTTGATCCTAGTTTACGATGGGCTGGAGGATCAATCTTACATCTCAAAGCTCTATGCGGTACTTTTTGACAACCTAGATATGATCAGTTTAAGACGCTCGCTTTGTCACATCTTATCGCTCGCAACACGCAGGAAACACGTCAAGCCGTTTCGCATCCAGGCACTCATGGAACTTATTCGAAATACTGGCGATGAAGAAAAAGAACTTATGGGATTATTACGTGTCTTTAAAAGTTATTATCCAGAAATAATTGTCGGGGAAACTGGCTCTTTGAGGAGACGAGCAACATACATCTTCAAGCATCCGGATACAGAGTGGACTGCTCATATGCGGGCGCTCCAGGAAAACGCAGCAAAGGCTGCAGCAAACTCCGCGCAAAGGACTTTTCAGGTTGTCAGGCGTGAAGGCGTGAAAAGAAGTCGCATAGAGGTCGTTATACCTTCGGTGCAGACATCCAAAGTACATCAAGGCTATGCTTCGTTGGAAGAGCTTCGGAGCGTAAGAGACTTTGTGCAAAAGTTAGATAAAGTCCAGCTCCCGAATCAAATCGCATCGGCACTTGCGGACCCTTTGGTACAGAAATACCTATTATTGGTTGAAAACACACAAGCCACTCAACGAATGGAAAGTTGGCTTGCGAGTTTTTTTGAAGACGAGCTCGATATCATATCTTCTGGGGACATGGATACTTCCGAGCATTTGGAATACGTTCTTTACTTACTTGTCGGTTATGCTCGGTTTACCAAGGTAGGCTCGTCGGATTCTCAATTAATCGTCATCTAGTGATACTGATAGCCAAGTATAGACGTTGCCTCGTGCTGCGGTTGACTTCCTACGCACCTATATTACACTTTGGAATGGCAAGGATTACCAGGTTCTCATCCTCTCGCTTTTGGAATATTTGCCATTCGAAAAATACGATAACCTTTTTCTCAACTATTTATCTCATATTGAGACGGCAATCTTGAATGGTTCGGCTCTAGGGAAAAGCTCGCTTCTTCGCTATTATACGAACCTTATCCATCACTGGGGCACTTTTGTCCGTTCCAATATTGGCCTTATGGCAACACCTCCCCTTTCAGAACTTATTTTGAGAGCAGAACTCCTCTGTTTAGCGTTACTCGAGACACCTTCTGACCACAACCCAGGCGATAAATCGATTTTCCCATCGGCGAACCTGGCTGTGCTTCATTTTTACACAGAACTCGCGCTGCTATTTAGCCACGCACCGAAATATCCCGACATCCCATTGACAATACCCCTTCCACAAACAGTTTACCTACTTACACTAACCCCGGCTATCTCCAACATTTCCCTTTTGGGTACAACATTGGCTAGGTATAAGGCCGCATTAGAGATCTTGAACAATACTCTACCGTCTAACCGAGTTTCACAAGAGGAAATCGTCCAGTTCAATGGATATGTGCTCGACACCTGCAACCTCCTTTGGAGAAATCGGGCGCTTAATGCTACCGACCCTAATGCATTAGGATGCCTCGTTCCCGTGGAGACCGTCACGGCGCTAACAAATTATATCCAGGAGCTCAACAACCTTTTGGGCAGCAGGAGCAATGGCCGTTATAAACTCAAGTTGAGACTAGTCTCGACGTTTTCCTTGAGTCATAACCTAGCCTTGGTTCGAATCTCTGATGCTTGTATCAAAGACTTGGAAAATCAAGCAGAAAAAGATGGCCAAGCCTTATCTGCAAGTCTCCCATGTCCAGTGACGCAGGATGTCCTGACGAAACTTGGGAAAGAGGGTGGCATCACCCTGAGTTGGCAGGATTACAGGCTGAAAATGCTTGATTGGTTGGACAACCACGGAAGTAAAGGTATCGGAGCGTTGATGAGAAGTGCTATGATTAATCTGAGAAAGGCCTAAGTATTTGGCCCCTAGGTTGGAGTGTTGATAGTTCGAGAAATAGCATACAAGCTTAATCTGGTATCACGTCCTAGCCAAATTCATATATATTTCTTGGACGGTTGGTTCGTCATGAATCCTCTCGAGAAACACGTCCACTTCGTTCATCGCCTCTTCTGTTTGAAGTGTAGCCATTGTGTCTTTGTTCGGGTCCCAGATAATATCCGAGCTTTCAATTTTCAGTCCTGCGGTAGCGGACATCGCTTCACCCACTGATTTAGTCATTGTCGGCTCCGTGTACAAAATCAATCTCCCCTCAGAGTCAGCACTGATGTCTGCTGCACCGGCGTCAATGGCGTCTTCGAGATAATCGTCCGCGCTCTTTCCTTGAGGATCCTTCTCAAACACAACCTTCCCTTTCTTTTCGAATAGAAAAGTAACGGGAGAGATGGTACCGCCTGATTTCTTAAGAATAGTGCGAACATCCTGCATTGTTCTGGCCTTCTGGTCAGTCAGGCATACGATCACCACAGCCACGGAACCGGGAAGCATGGCCTCAATGGTCAACTGTTCTAAGGGTGCTCCGGAGCTAGAAATTCCCTGGCCCCTTGCAATCGCGGCATCTATAGTCGCTTTTGACATTCCGCTCCGTTTAGCATTACTGATAAGGGCGGCGAGCTTGGTATTGAATTGCGGATTGGGGCCGTACACTTTGAGATATCAAGACATAAGGTCATCAGTGAAAGGGGATCCACGAAGTTTCGGGGGAGTGAAGTGCGCCAGTCATACATTTCGAAGCTTGCCTGATATCCTCACTGATGATTTGCCTCTCGCTGCTCTTTGCGGCGTCATTTCTGCCCTTCATGTGTTTTATGCTAGACCATTTGTTGTGACCGGACTGAAGGACGGAGCTGTTGCTGATGCGGCGGCAGTTTGAGCAAACCCATGGCCGCAGCGCAATGCGAGGGCTGAGGACGGAGCCCCTCCCCAGAACAGTAGCCATATAGTTATCGAAGACTCTGGGCGTAAGCTGTTACGATGTGGTCAACGGATTCGACGTGTAGTTCACACGGATCGAAGAATCATCGGCCCGCAAGTTTATCCGGCCCCTGATCTGGCTGGAGTCCATTGACCAGTGTTTTGGCGGGTGAAGCGACGACACGCAATCCCACTCGGTCGAAGCGAGAAGAACGAGAAGCTGAATCTCATTGCATATTTTTAGAAACTCTTACTTCGATGTCAGCGCCGGGAGCCTCTGCGTCGCAAGCTGCTAGCTCCGAGAATGTGATCCCCCGTGCCGAACTCGATGTCTCGAAGCTCCATGCCCTACCATCGGAACAACAAGACCTCTACCTCCTAACCTTCACGGCCGACCTGGTTCAGTATACCGCGAAGCTTGACAAAGATGAGATATCCTCTCAGCAAGGATTTATTAAGCAGGAATTGTTTAAAATTATAAAACTCCCCTCGCCTGTCCCTTCACGAGTAATACGGAATAATATTGGGAGATGCTTTGGCGCTATATTTACTAGGGGAAACCGAGCTATACTCTACGACACTGTCAACGAGCTGATAGGGATTTTGAATGCTGGGAAAAATGAACTGGATTTGAAGGCAAAATTTGCTGCTGCAGTTGCGCTGGGAGATATTTTTGTTGCAGCCGGAGATGGCATCATTAATCAATCCAGCGTGACGGTCTCGGCTCTGTTTAAGCTTCTCAAATCCTCTCAGAATCATGCTGGACTCAGGGGCTGCATTTACTCCGCCGTGAGGAAAGTTGTGTCCGGAATAGGCATACCGATCGACGAATCGACTGCTAAGGATATCTGGAAACATGCTCGAAATGCAGCCGTGGGCGATAAGGCCTATTCGGTCCAAGCTAGCGCTTGTTTGTGCTTGGGACAACTTATTAGGAACACGCCATATTTCAACAACGCGAATGACTTTGAGAACCTAAAATCAACCATATGGAAAGTTATGGATAGCCCAATAACTTCAGTGAGACATGCGTCCGCCGCTTGCCTTGCAGAAATGCTGGTCAAATGTCATTCGGCTCGGGGTCATATTGAAGTGCCTATCGTCAAACGACCCAAAAAGCCTTTAAAAAAGGCAGGTCCTACTACAGTTGAGGATGAAGTCCCAGAGCGCCCTCAATCCCCGTCAGGACGGAAAGCAGAAACTATCCTGGCATTTAAACTTCCAGACCTTCTTCGGCAACTATCTCTTCAGTACTGTCGAATGTCAACTGGAAACAGAGCAAGAGCTGGCATTGCGGTATGCTACAAACTAGTCTTGCGTGCTTTGGGCGAAAAGCTAGTTGAAGAGCGCTACGCCGAGATTGCTGGTCATCTCCTGGTCACTCTTTTGAACCACGCCACCATAGTAAACAACCGATATCGCTTACTCATGACCAGGAAATTCATTAAACACATCTTGGAAGATGTAGTGGGATCAGAGATTTTGAGTGAAAACGGGCAGCTTAATGCTGCCAGATGGTTAGTCAATGACCTTTTGAAAGACTATCCGCAAGTATTGCAGGAACGTCGAGAGCCAAGCAAACATACTTTGACTTGTGCCGTCAGCGCTCTATCTTCTTTGATATGCTCTCTAGGCTCTGCGGTCGGTTCGATTGCGGATAGTTGTCGAGAAGCACTCTTGCAGGATTTGCAGCACTCAAGTTATACTGTCCAGATATATGTCGCTCATTGCCTGCAAAATTTTGTTTTGGCATGCCCTCAGCAACTACTTTCGTGTATAACGATATGTATGAATAGCCTGCACAGAGAGATCGGACAGCTATCGACGCCTAGACAATCAAGTCGGCGCTGTCTCGGTTATGCCCATGGCTTAGCTTCGATGTTAAGCACATCAAGGCTCCAGCCGCTTTACGGATCTGTGGACATTTACTCACAAGTATTGTCCCAAGCCACTGATTTGCTTAAAACGAGCGGCAGCTCTGAGCTACGGATAGCTAGCACACAGATCCAGGTGGCCTGGATACTAATTGGCGGCCTTCTGCCTTTGGGCCCAAATTTCACCAAAATACACCTCTCGCAGTTGCTACTGTTATGGAAAAATGCGCTTCCTAAGGCTTTACCGAAAGACGATTTATCCAAACGGAGTCCCTTAGAGCTGGGCTTTTTAGCTCATGTTAGAGAATGTGCCCTGAGCTCCATTCTCGTTTTTCTCGAGTTCAATAGCAAGCTTGTTACCTCCGATGGTGCGAAGAGAATTGCGACAATGCTCCAAAATACAATAATATTCCTTGAAAACCTGCCTCGCATCAAGTCTACAGAAGATATCTCACAACGTTTGTCGCCTTCTTTACACCTCAAAGACTTTCCGATCCTGGTCCGGCGACGAGTCTTGCAGTGTTTCGCGAAACTGGTTAATTTAAGTCATACCAATGTTGCAGACCTCCTATCGCTTTCCAATGTCTTAGGACTCGCGATATCTTCCTTTGCAGATCCAGATTTTATGTCGATAAACCCTCTGGATTCTTCCGTTGCCAGTGTTGCTACGAGTTTTGAGAATTTGTGGGATCTTGATGATAATTTCGGGTTTGGCGTAACCGGGCTCGCAACAGCATTCTCTCGCGATAGTGACCACAGGAACGAAAGTTTGGGCGCTAGACAACTGCCTACCAACACCGACAAGGCAATAGACAGCATGGTGAGCACCCTTGGACAATATTCAGTTCTGTTTCTAATATTCGGCAGTTGATCTCCCCAATATGCCAAGGGAGAGAACATGATTCAGTACTTCTATATTGTACACCGGATATCAAACACAGCTCGCTTCCCGATCCGCCAGCCACTGAAGTAGTCAATGCTGCTATCAAGCTGTTTGCGACCACCCTTCCGTTGCAGGCACCCAAAGTTCAGGAAAGTAGTGTTGAGCAAATAGCTACTCTTTTAGCTTCGCAAAGCCTTGCTCGAAACCCCGGCAGAAAAGCGGCTATGACAGTTAATATTGCGGTGGCTTTATTGTACACTCTTCGAGTCGCAGTGAAGGAAACAGATTTCTTCCCCGGTAGTCTAAAAAACCCTGGGACGGAGAAGATTGTGGGAGAGCTTCTCCAGGTGAGAACTCACGCGATGTCTGCAAATACTCGCTGACGAGAACTTTTATAGACGTTTATCACAGACCCTGATTACATCGTACGCACTATAGCTTTTGAAGCTCTCGGGCGACTATGTAATAGCGCGGGAAATTCGTACACGAATTCGCAAATCAATTCCGTCATCGATACAATTGTAGAAAATCGTGACCCAAATGCTCGTGCCGGGTGCGCCGCTGCGTTGGGCTCTATCCATGCCCAGGTCGGTGGCATGGCTGCGGGTTTTCATTTGAAGACTATCATCGGTGTCCTAATGTCACTCTGCAGTGACCCCCACCCCGTTGTCCACTTTTGGGCTCTAGAAGGATTGCTACGGGTTGTCGACTCCGCTGGGTTAACCTTTTCCGCCTATGTTTCCGGCACTCTTGGAATGCTGGCGCGGCTTTATGCCACCGATACACACAACGAAGAGTCCTCATTAATTGCAACATCTAATTACGAAACCGTCTTCTCTACGCCTCTAGCTATAAGCCGATGTGTTGATGCTCTTATTAATGTCATAGGTCCCGACCTCCGCGATATAACGAAGACAAGAGAGCTCGTTTTTACCCTAGTTAAGGAATTTCAACTGGAAACGGACATATCAATGGTGGCAGTGAGCTCTAGATGCTTGGATCATCTGTCACTGTACGCTTCAGATCATATGGACTTTCCCGGATATGTCCACTGGCTTCAGCAGGAACTGAATTCCAAGGAAACACCGGTCCGTGAAGCTGCAGTACGAGGCCTAAATAACATCATGAAACGAGATCCGGAGAGAGTGATACGTACTGCCTCCTCTACTTTCGAGGACGAGCTATGGATGGCTTTTGATTCTATTCCGGATAATGAACCACTCAAAGACCTCGTCCGTAACTGGCTGCACCGAACAGGACTTACAGATACAGTTGCTTGGGTGCAACGCTGCCATAAAGTTCTCACAAAAGCCCGTCCGAAAGCCGAGGAGGCGTCAAGCCCGGTTACCGCAGTCAATACTACCGCTCCCGATGTTCCGGATGACGAAGTGGCCGGTTTCGCCTCTGCAGCTGCGACGGAAAACCGAGATTCTGGTGAACCCGATTCTCCAACCGGTCAAGAATTACTTAAATGGCAAACACGGAATTTCGCCATGTGCTGCTTGAGCGAGCTTTTGAGCATGGTTAGCGCAGAGATACAACCCGATCAAACAATTCCATCGGAAGCGGCACTTCAGGAGAAGATAGGAGAGATTGTTCGAATGGCGTTCTCCGCTTCTACTGCAAATGTTGTTGAATTGAGGATCTGGGGTCTAAAGATCCTCGATCGTGTTTTGAAAGTCAGTTTGTCAGTCACTGTATTTATGGTTTCCAACTAACGTGTCATTAGATGTTTGGAAAAACCCCAGATCCCGATTTTGCGGAAGCTTCTCTGCTAGAGCAATATCAGGCGCAAATAGGCTCCGCTTTAACGCCGGCTTTCGCTACCGATTCTTCCCCTGAGCTGGCCTCGGAGGCAATAAACGTCTGTGCTACTTTTGTTGGAACTGGAATTGTTACGAGCGTAGAGAGGATGGGCCGTATTTTCAAGCTCCTTGTTGTCGGCCTAGAAAATTTTGCAAGTAAGCGCTACCCCCCATTCCAGAGCTCTAATTCTCATATCATACATAGATAATCCTGAGACCACCGACATTGGAGATCTCAAGGGGCTTAATTCGAACGCTCGGGTTATGATAAAGCTAGCACTGTATTCTGCATGGGCCCGATTACAGATTGCTAGCGCAGAGCAAAACTACTTAGTCAAAGTTATCCAGCCTTACACTGCAATGCTTACTCCACTCTGGCTCTCATCTCTTCAAGAGTACGCTCGTCTTCGATTTGAGCCAGACATATCAAGTACACTCGGATCGATTGGCGTGCCTGATAACCTGGATGATACATACGCCGCTTTGAACCGTGAGATTCTTCTTAATGTAAGCCAGGCGAGTTATTATCACTTGCGTATCTGGTGCTGACGATTCAATAGTTCTATCAAGACTCATGGTTGAATTTCGTGGACGCCATCGCCAGTTTAGTCGAAAAGGACAGTGCTTTTGTTTTCGATGCGTTGGACAATAAGGAGAAAGCTAAACCTGACCAAACCTCGGGATCCGAGCCCGTTATGAATGGAACGAGCGGGAAAGGGAACAATATCAATTACCGTGACGAGCCTGTTGCTTTTTTCTTTGTTCTCTTTGGTCTCGCATTTGAAGCTCTTGTCGGCCAATCGAGTGCGCCATCTTCTCAAATCCTCGAGATTCTGCAAGCTTTGCAGAAGATCCTACGGCCTTCAGTCGCCGGAAACGCGGTTTATCAAGATGCTGTGTTTTCGGAAACCATCGATGCGCTTGACAGGCTAGTGATGACAGAAGGGCACAATATCCAATCTGTGATCGTGGAGATTTCTCGAAACCTGGCACTGCATCATCAAGCCGCAATGCGGACTGAGCTACGCACTGACAGCCTCTCGGATGATATCGAACAACTTTTTGAGCTCACTCGCAACATTATCTTGGTTCTCGCGGGCATCCTCCCTAACCTTAGCGATTCCTCTCCCAAGGCCCGTTCCGCTATATCTGAGGACTCTATTCCGCTTATTCAACTCGCTCTATCATCTCTAGTCGACATCACCTCCGTTTTCCCTTCAATCATTCGCTCCGATCTTCACGCCTGTATACTTCACATATTTGGCACTATTCTTGCAACTGGCAGCTGCCAGACAAGCATCGTACCACCAGCGCTCCCTATTTTTCGACGATTCATCCTTGACCTTGCTGCTCCCTCGCGCCATTCGAACGAAGAAACAACAATCATATCTCACCAAATTCGTGGCTGTATAACCCGTTTTCTATCAATCCTCCGTGTAGCACAACAGCGAGAGTCAGAAGCGTCATTGCCTTGTGCTAAAAACACTCTATTAGCGCTAACTATTCTCTTCACCGGCAGCAGCCATGTGATCCCTTCTCAAGATCCTTTAATCCCAGAGGTGTTACAAGAAATGCTTGACTGCCTCCAGGACCTTGGCCTCGCTAGTGTTGCGGCTGGGTGTATAAGATCCCTCCTTCTTTCTACTCCCCGTTCGCCCACCGATGATTTTATTGCCCGGTTCATATTTCCCCGCCTAATCGCGTTTATCGCTGGAATTCCAACGGGAATAGATGGAGGCCCACCCAACGACCCTGAACATGTCAAAGCATCGATCGCACATATTCTCGTATCCTGCGTGGACTCTGCTACCATTCCTGCCAGCGCCGTGCCAAATGCAATGGCACTCTTGATCCCTGCATTGTTGCAACGAGCGCAAAACGACGGCCCGGACGTATACAAAGACACGGCTGCAAGACTGTTGGAATTAGCACAGGTTGATCAAATCTCGTTTAGAAATTTCGCGTCAAGTATGGAGCCCAGCTTGAGGACGCTTACTGAGGACATTCTACGAAGTACCGGGTCGGGTGGAAGCGCTGGACGCGCGAGGAGGGATATGAATGATGACGGTGCTGCTGCACCTAGCATTACATTGCGGATGGACTTTTAGACATGGTTATGTCCTTCGAGCTCGGGGCCTGGGTGTGCCATTTTTGAACATATCTTTTTATCATTCCTAAATTCATGTGAGCTTTAAGATTAGGTATTGCTTACATAGTTAGCCTAGTCAGTTAATAAAGTTATTAATGTTCTGATCACAGTGTAACGCGTGTCGTCGCTGTGCTCTTGGGAGAAAATACAACTGTGGTAGAAGTTCTGAAGTCTATATATTTGTGCAGTGCAATTATATCTAAACTCTCCCCAACTGTTGAGGGTTTCATTAACTTCCACAATCTGATGGCGAAAGCTACGTTGCGGCTATAGCCAAAGAATAATAACGCAACGTAGGTAAACATGACAAAAAGGCTATCATCAAAAGCTTAACCCATGGATTCTGCGACTGGAGAATCTAGGGGGGGATTTGGGGGTATCTCATTACTAAAAGATGTCTCTGGTGGCGGGACGGCGGCGGCGGCAGCAGCTTTTTCCTTTTCACTCTTTTGTTGTTTGTAGGAATGGAGTCGGAGCGCGAGGATTATCATACCTAGACAGTGGGATATATATTAGCCACCTGGTTCTCAAGATTAGTTGAATGATTGACTTACTCGCACTAGTCGCAATGGCAACAGCGGCTCTACGCGTCAAGATCCATCTTAGACTCTCCACCACTCGTTTCCCGTCGCTGTTAAGCGAAACCGTGATTTGGTAATTCAACTCCTGAATTCCTGTATCCTGAGACCGCTGCAACTCCTTCGTCGATATCTTTTGGTTGTTGAACATCTCCTTTAAATCATCTTTGAGTCCCGATAGCTCCTGGGTCATCTTCTGCGTCAAAATGTCCACTTCATGCTGTAACTGGGCGCGCTGGGCGCGCTGCGCCTGAATTTCTGCGTTCCGCGACGCTTGTATAGAGTTTCTCAATTCAGAGCATGCCGCACGGAAAAGGTACGTCTCATTTTCAAAATCCGACTTCGAGATTAACCCGTTTCGGGCTACTTGAAGGTTGTCTGCTAGTAGCCCCCGGATAGCTTTCATTATTGATATAGACTGCTCCTCGGTGAAACCGCCTTTATTGAGATCTTTCACTAGACTATAACTGTCGAAGTGGTGTACGTATGGGGGAGGAGAAAGATGGGGGTGCCTATGCGATTCTGAGGCAGGAGAAGGCATTAGTGACATCGACTCGGGTTGTGGAGACGATGACGATGGTGAAGACGCCATACTAGCATCTGACATCTGGAATACAGATCCCAGGTTATCAGTCGCGGAATTATGATTGGTATCCTTGCTTTCCGAGGGGCCGTCCGCCGCTTTCGGGTCCACTGAACCTGGGCCAGCGTCAACATTTCCTTGGGGAGACAATTCGCTCGCAAGAACCGTAGAAGAAGCAGAGATCGAGTTTTCAGGCGAGGGGGGAGATTGACAAGAATCTGGAGTTCCGGTGGCAGATGAGGCAGTTTGCTTACTCGAATCTTTCGAGTTCTGCATCTGATCGTCCTTATTGAGGGCTTTCTCTGTGCCCTTGGAGATGCTATCCGGCGGAAGAATGTCACCTTTACCGGTAGACCACGGAGGCGGGCGTAAATGTGGCTCCGCCGCTGGCCCGTACCGCTGGTGATAGGAGGTTTCTTGCTCGCATCGCGGACATGAGTGGAAGGCAGCTGCAGGGTGCTGAGCGGGCGGGAATCGAATTGACCGGTAGGTTGTAGGCTCACAGGACCTCACCGAGCGCAAAAGGTTTGGGTAGAGAAACGGAAGTCTTGAGGTCGCCATCTGGACTGAAAGAGCGCACTGTGTGTCAGTTCTGTTGTCGTCGTCTCCCGCTTGTTCTTCACCTGAAGCTCCCCTCGTGCGTCACACGTCATGTGATCCGTTGCTCCAGCCCTCGGCTTAGTCAGAACCATCCTCGTTGCCATGGCCATTGTTGTGTCATCCGAGTCCGTACATGCACAGAGTATCTTCCTACAGATGTTCTCAAATTCTCACATGACGAGGTAAAACAGATTGTATCTGAGGCACAGAGCAGGGAAGGAAATTGAGGGCACTTGAAAGATATCTGCAGGAGAGGCGTATTGAGTGATGGCGCTGCCCTGGTCGATTTACTTTTTGCAGAAGAATATCAAGACTCGAGTTGATCTCAGACAGGGCTTGTCCGTCCAAAGAGAACTATTTGCCATTTTCTCCAATTCATCCTGACTCCAAGTTCTACGACTGCCAGACAGGCCCTTGAAGACCTTGGCCAATGAATCGGACACAACTTGACCATCAGTAGTATTTCGTATTCTTCGGCAGGCCCTGCCTCTGATCCTGTTCCTAAATAGATGTGAGTGAGTACACACAGAATATAAGTGCCAAACTCACCAGCAACATCCCATAGCCCTCCACAAGTCTTTCCTCAAACGCAGCCTCCGTGCTTTCATCATACTGCAACTTCCCACCAACCTTCAGAGACCCGAAATTAAGGGCAATATCAAAATCAATCCATACAACCCGGTCATCACTTCCATTGCTTGCTATTCCCGGAAGGATCAACACATTCTTTGGGTAAGGGTCATTGTGCACAACTCGTGCGCGATGTATCGCTTGGATACCCATGATGGCCTTTTTGATCCTATCTTGAGTGTAATTTTCGCAGTTCAAAGGCTCCGCATGGGGAAGATACTCAAGTAATATAGCACAGGGATGGTGTAGATCGCTGAGGAAGCTGTTGAGATGCGGTGTCAATGTGGGTGTGAGCGGGTCAATATCTTCAAATAATGCATAGAATTTAGGTACAAAGCCTTGTCTGCATATTTCTGCTGCTGAGAGGAGTTTATATGCCTCAATCTCACAACGATAACGACAGAGATCTCGGCCTTTGGAGGTAAATTTCGGGTCCTTGTTGACGTGAAACTAGAAATCCATTCTGTGAATTATGGTCCAGACCAGAATGTTGCATTCGGTTCTTGACATACCACTTTCAGGCAATATTTCGCACCTTCATATTTGACTAGAAAGATATCCGAGCTGTCTGATGAATGGATAAGTCGGATGATGGAGAGCTCAGAGAGGAGAAACTGTTTCGCCATGGGTTGCTCCTGACAGGTGAATCAAGTAGTAACAACACAACAACAGTGCGTCGGCGCTAGGTGATCCGACAAGAATGAAGAGTCCGTACTTATAGGAGTTTGAAGATCTTCGGATTGAAAACTCGTGTTGCTATGATATTATTTAAAGACCGGACCAAGCAATCGAAGCAAGCTTCTCATGACTTGTCACGTTAGGTCTGATGAGGGACTGGCGTTGGCCAATACCATCGTCAAGGTGCTATTGACCTTAGTCCACAAATGGAAACACACCTGATATTTAAGTCCAAGGCATGGAAATTTCCCAATGTACAATTGTAGGATCTCAACACTAGATTACCAGATGGAATACATGGGAATTAGTGAATGGAATAATAGGAATGGCAATCATTTGTTTAGTTTGTCTGACTGATTCTAGCCTCGGGGCACAGGAGAAGGCGAAAAAGGTTGGATATTCATGTTATCAGCATGCAATAAAGCGAAAAGCGGACTTTCGTGCGTAATCTCGGATTATGTCTCTGGCCTTTGCTGAAGGGGGTTCGCAAAACCCAAAGTTCCGGCCAATGTTAAAATAGCCTTAGGAGCTTTTTGCATCTTTGCTCGCTTCTCCTGCCTGCTGCTTCGTCTTTTCGTCTTCTTTTTTCTTTTCCGCCTCCTCTTTTCTCTTTCTCCTTGCTTCCCTATCTTGTTGTACAGCATAGCCTGAACTAGATAGTTGTTGAATAGTGGTTTGGTCCGTCAAAGCCGCGGTAAGACGCTTGGTATCTTCAGACATGGTTGCGAAAACCGTGTTCAAGGTCGGTGAAGATTAACTACTCCATAAACATTGGAAATCAGTATCGCTAAAGAGGAGAGAAGTCAACGAACTGTTGGACGCTCCAACTATTGGCAGAAGTAGCTCTTGATGTCTGATTCTGGCGTAGTAGCCGGACGTGAGGCACACGTCGGAGTGATGTGCTGGGTTGGGGAGGATATCAACTTGATCTGATGATGAAAAGACGATGAATGCATCGCTCTTGATACTTCGAGCCTTTGGCTCATTTATAGTTCGTTAAGAGAGCGGGGAGGCGATGCTCCAGGCTCTTTACTGACAAGTAGGGTATCAATATTGAACTGGACCAGATTTTAGGCACCCATATGCAGCATGCACTGAGATGAATCCTTGCAGCGTACCATCTCCCATAAGACAGCGAATGCGCCAAGAAAGCTTTGCTGACTAAGTAGTTAACTAGTTAACTGGCTAGTGTGACTCGTTACCTCCTAGTGCAAGTTCTGCTTTCAACTGACTCCCATGAGCTGAAGCTCCTCCATCTCTCAATTTTTGATCCTCTGTTCAAGGGAGATAGCACGGTCCCGTGCGTGTTTATTTGTGTTCTTTCATTGAGAAGTTGAGATTAAATGTTTCTGAGCAGCCTTATGCTAACCAAGAAACTAATCAAGAAACGCAATGCCAGAGTCTCTTCCCCTCCTCAATGGAAGTATCACATTATCCACCGCCCTGCGCAAAGACGATGATTATCTTCTCCTTCTCTCATACCCGAAAAAGCGCTTAGAATTTTATCTCTATCTGTATCAGCGGCGCAGCACAATTAAAACGATTGCGGCACGTCATTTAGGTCTTCCGGAAGATGGCTGCAGACTCGGAGAAGTCGAAGAGTGGATTCACGGCAGTTTTAATCTCTGCATACCTGTTTACATCGACGATTCTATCAAGTTTCGCGCCAGGCGGGTGATTATTCGAATTCCTCTGCCATATAAACTAGGCGAGACCCAATATCCAGGGAACGTAGAGGAAAAACTTCGTTGCGAGGTTGCTACGTATATTTGGATTCGAAACAATTGCCCTGCGGTCCCCATCCCGAGGCTTTTTGGATTTGCATTTTCAGAAAATCAGAGCGTACGTGGGTGCACTATCTCATCCTTCAATTCTGTCTGACACTACATTATGCAGTTTGTGGCCCTTGAGCATGCATCACTTTTGACGCAAATTCAGTGGTATTTTCGGAAAGCGATATCTTGGGTGATGGGATCGGTATCCCCTTCTCCCTATATTAGATGCAAAACCAGTAATCCTCTGAAGACTGGGTATATCGTTGTCGAGTATGTGGATGAAGGTGAGATGCTATCGAATTCCTGGGAGACACAGCGTCACGACCAACACCGGCGAGCCAATCTTTTTCGAGACCTATCACGAATTATACTCTCGCTATCACAAACGCCCCTCCCCTACATTGCTTCTTTGACGATTGATGATGATTGCATGCTAAGTCCTACAAATCGTCCTCTAAGCCTTGTGCTCCAGAAGTTGGAGAACGAGAGCATTCCCACCGGTATCCCGAGGAAGCTCACTTATAATGCTACAGACCCATACTACCTTGATCTTCTAGCATGTCATGATAATATTATTCGACATAAAAAGAATGCGGTTCACGACAAGGAGGATGGTGAAACACAATTGTCAGCACTCATGATGATGAGAGCTTTATTACCATATTTTGCAGACCGCGATTTTCGTTCTGGCCCATTTGTTCTCACACTTACCGATCTTCATCAAAGTAACATCTTTGTTGATAAGGATTGGAACATCACCAAGCTAATCGATCTTGAATGGGCATGCTCTCTACCCATGGAGATGTTGCATCCTCCTCACTGGCTAACTAGCCAGTATATCGATACGCTGACGGATGAGCGACTTGACGAATACAACAAGGTACACAAGGAGTTTATGAGTATTTTCGAATCTGAGGAGAAATCTCTGGCCAACGGAAATACCCCAATCACAAACATTATGTGGAATGGGTGGAAACTTGGAAAATTCTGGTACTTTTCCGCATTGAACTGGCCAAAAGGACTGTGCAATCTGTTCTTTGAAAAAATACAGCCGAAGTTTGCCCAACACGGCGACAAAGCCTATGATGATTTCGAAGAGGTTGTTGCGCCCTACTGGGCTGCCGATACTGATAAACTGATCCGTTCGAAAGTCACGGAAAAGGAAGCATACAGTGAGGAGCTACGTAAGCTTTTTGCACATTCCGCAGAGTCAAGCGCTTCAAATTCAGGAGACGAAAAAGCGAAGAAAACAGATGTAGCCGCTACGATGGACTCTAAAGATGGGCCTACGGACGAGTTGGAGGACGACCAGGCAACTTCTGATTTGAGTTAAAGACGTTTAAGGATTGCAATACGGCTTGAACCCGAAATAGATTGCCTTGCAGGCTTTTTATACACGACTTAGGGGGTATATTCTATGGACATGACGGATTTTTGGCAGTGACATTGTAAAAGCACTCCCAAGTACACTACAGAGAAGTCCTCCATACAATGGAGGATGGGTATGATGGATGAGCTGGTTATTACGGCGTGATAACGTATAGCTTTATATGCAATTGAGAGGGATAACAGATACCAAGTCAGGCCAAAGAGCACAGGCAGGTCGTCTCCCAGGTCAATTTTTACATGAAGCAGAACGGCACCAGATATGGCTTGATCAGTTTGAGTGATCTCTTATGTTATAAGTAACTGGTGTAACTATGGATTATAGTTGGGTATCTATCTATCTCAAAACAACAGGCTCGGCAGAATTCTCAGGCCAGCAAGCCAAACAGCATCCGAGTACGATTCCAGTATTCCTCTGAACGCTTCTTCACGGTAACCATGGACTCCTCAGAAAAGTCCAGCTCCTTCAGCAAAACGTCAATCAATGGGCTCAATCCACTTTGGGTGTTTGAATCTGTCGTTTGCAAAGCCTGGTCTAGGAATTGGAGGTCAAAAAGTAGTTGAATTTGGTGGTCACGGGTATTCTCAAGCCGTTTATCTTGATTCTCCTCTGCGCCTTCTTCCGTGCCGTTTGGAGAGTCTTGCTCCGTCCCACCACATGTAGGCGGCTGCTCAAGTTTCGGATTGTTGGCTGAGACCACCTGGCCCATGAAACGCGATTTCAATTCGTCCACGGCTGCCATGGTCCACAAATCGGGTCCCTCTTGCTCCATCTCCATGACCAATGTGCGTAGCAACATAAAAAGCACTTGAGAAGGCTGAGTTGGAAGCGAAGGATTACCTTCCCAAAGTGTCCGTCCTGCACACCTCGATCCGAGACGATTAATTGATTTGGTCAATATTGAGGGTGAAGTCCTAGAAACAACCTCTTCCGCGAGAGCGCTGTGAAGTCTCGATATAAGGTCTTGGGCGAATATGTAGTCTTGGTGCGCCACTTCTTTCGGAACATTGCTTCTGATACCCCGGATTATTCGGAGGAGAAACGCGGTCTTCATTGCGCAATGTGATCCACTTATGCCTTTTACAGCTTCTTCCAATGAAGTCTCTAATAACTTATACCCCTTGATCAGAGCGTTTGTATGCTCCGTGATCAGGAGATGAGGGTCATCGGTATTCAGCAAGTCCGGAATTGCTTCAAGAAGCTCTTCGTCAACATCATCTTCCATCATATCCTCCCATCTCAAGCTCCTAAGCTCCTGTACCATTGTACAACGGTTCGTAACGGTCGCAAGCCAGCTGCGATAAATGTCCAGAACCTGCCCTACATGAGCACCATGGCCTTGGCACCTTCTCATCAGTTCGCGCTTGAAAGTTGTAGCGCCATCCGAAAAGTCTGCAAAAACGAGCTCCGAGTCCCATAACGACAATTCCCGGTCCTGGTCTTGAGTATCATGCCAATCGGAGATGATTCTTGATGCCTCAATCCCTACAACAGTGATTCCCTCGCTTTGCGCTCGAATAATAGAAATAAGTTGATCATTGGCCATTGTGCGAATGGCCTCTAATATCCCCATGGGGTTGTGGCACGGGGTAGAATTCAAACCTGGTAGCCATTCCTTTAAGAGGCGGTTTCGTGTTGAGAGTACTTCTTGGAAGTTTTCACAACTAGATAGCTTGCTGTTTGCCCTGGCGGATAAATCATCGAAAGCCTCTTTGGACCAGGATTTGATTATTGTCCCCGCAGCCTCTTTGGGTATTTGCTCGTGTTTTATCCAGGGGGTAAAATTTCGGATCTCTTTCGGAATATACGATTGGACCATTTCGATTCCCAGTTCGCTCATGCATTGAATGGCTGAGTCTCCAAGAAGAGGGTGAATGCACAGCTTCTTAATCGCATCAAAAAGCGGGCCAGATAGCATATCAGTGGTTCTGTGCAAAGTATTACTAAAAAGCATTAGAGCACCAAGTGCAGCATCACATATAGCACCAGGTTGTTCAAATTTGGATGCAATGGCATCCAATCGAATCTTATGGAAATGGCCGAAGGCATCGTGAGTGGAAGAGCTCGTGGCTAGACAGAAGGCAGACAAGGCTTCTATTATATCCTGGACAGATGAGTCTATGGATGCGAGACGAACTTTGATACGGTTCAAAAGGGTACGTCGAAAGTGCGCTAGTTGGTTCCGGAGCTCGTCCGCAAAACTCGTTGCTCGTGCACACTGTGAGAGCCTGTTATGAAGTAGTCGTGAGATCACGAGGAGCTTTGCAGCGACAACACTCGAACCATGCTCACGGAGTATTCTCGCGATAGCCGATGCGCAATTGAAAAGCAGAGTCAATTGTGCGGCGAACGTCCGGTCTGACGAGACTATTCAAGTGTTAAGACAGAATACAACTTCGCACGCCTGGGAAGCCCTTCTGCGAACCTTTGCAAAGATTATCTTCCCGTAATTTATGCAAGCCGTCGGATTTTCGGGAAATCGTAGCAGGATTGCAGAGCCTCCCGACTTCAGACAAATTGCGTTCAACTTGCTTCATCTCCTCATTCATCTCCATGATAGTCTGGGCCGTATCCAGAAGGTCTCGGTATCGCACCCTGATAAAAAGAGTAAAAGTTAGAGAAGTGACATCGCTTTCATCCCGCCGCATAGGACAACAAGGCTACCTTACCCAACAAGAGATCGCAGCTTCTCTTTGTTGCTGACAATGTCACGGCGAAGTTCGTGCTCGATCCGGCGCACCGTGGGGATCGGATACTGGAACGCCTCCTGCCATGATTTGAGCGCGTGCGCATCCGGTACATCAGCAGCCATGACTCCTTGTGCCGTCAATTGAATGAAAGCAACGCCCCGAATTCCACCTCAACGTCCAAACTACAGCCAATCTGTCGTCCTCCGTCCATGTTGCCTTTGCCCGCAGACAAGGTTCATTAGTCATTATAATCTAATCTTATCTCATCTTTACACTAACTAACTAGTAAAGTACGCTAGTTTGTTTAGAGTCTAGACCTGCTTAGGTAAGGTGAAATATTTCAGTGCGTCATCAAAAGCCATGGAGGGGAAATCGGTGCAGACGAGGTTGTGCTCTCAGAACGATCCAGAACATATCAAAAGGTGTCTGCTGTAAATATGGAACTCGACCGGCAGAATCATGATAGCCACGACGCTGATCAGGGCATAGTGCAGCAACAACGATCCCCTCCAATGTCAGCGAGCTCAGGAATGCCGCCACTGACCAGGACAAAGATCTTACACTGTTCCTATCATTACTGGCACCCCCTGTAGGGCTTCTTGTTTTCCACCTTCCCATGAACCCCGGGCTAACCCGTAATAACTTCCATCCATAGGTATCGATCTATCACACCCAAAGCTCGGCTGATTGCTTTGTCGGATACCTTTCTCCAATATCTCCGTGCTGATGGCATAGTTCTCCCTCCTGACAACACGCTAGCCGCGCCCGAAGACGACAGCTGGGTGGTGTCAGGTGGATATGATGACGAGGACGAAGGTCTTCCAGATCCCTCCAAGGAATGGCCCGAAATCCATGCTCGAGTTAAGGCAGCCATTGCTGAATTAGGGGGCAGCGTGTCGCCAAAATTGAACTGGAATGCGCCAAGAGACGCAACACATATGATCCTGTCAAATCGTTTAGAGTGTAGAACACCCGGTGACGTGTACTTGGTCCTGAAAAGCAGCCGCTTCATAGCCAACAATCTAGACCGTGCATTTGAGGGCTGTATTCCCGAGTCTGGAAAGCAAGGTGATTTGGCCGGCGCTGTTGAAAAGGAAGCTGGGATCTACCACGACGAAAATCAAATACCCTACCATTTGGTACTCCGGAAATATGTGAATGTTAACCCGGCGTTGGAATTCCGATGTTTTGTTCGGTCACGACGTCTTGTTTGTCTTTGCCAAAGGAGTTTCAAATACTACGAATGGCTGTATGAAATCAAGGATAAATTACTGCGAGACATCCAGAAATTCTTCGACAAACATCTGCGAGATACGTTCCCCGACCCGGACTTTGTGTTTGACGTCTATGTGCCACGAGACAGGGTCTGGTTGATAGATTTCAGTGCTTTCTCGCAAAACATAGATCCATTACACTTTTCTTGGGAAGAGATTCTGAATATGGATAGACCGGACGAAGGGGATTCCCGCACCATACCCGAAGAACACATGATGAGAGCGCAATCGCAACATCGTCGCCAGTCTAGCGTTGACGATGACGGTAGGCCGAATCGATATTTCCCTGAAGAATGGCCATCGGTGGAACCGCCCATTTCCTCCTTTCAGCCGCAGTTTATACTAGCCGGCAATACCGACTCAGCACAGTTGGATTTTGGTTTAGAAGGCAATAGCGCACCAACGAGCTACTCGTTAATAAAAGAGGACAGAGTGCCTCAGGATGTTCTTGATGCGGCAGAGACGCCCGGAGGAACGGCAGAGCTCTTGAGCAATTGGAGGGAAACTCTCGCGAGAACTATCAAGGCAGACCAAGAGTACCAAAGTGACAGTGAAAGCTGAGTTCGGGTCGCAAACTCCCAGATGAAGCAGACGATAGCCAGGTTCAGCCATCATCTGGGCTGTAGAGTCCTGTTATTGTTAGAATCGGAAACTTTGCATCTGCGGATATGGGGGTTGGTTACAATGGCGCCACGGATTATGGAGTACAAAATTACAAACATAGCTGGGCGGACTATCAGTTTTTGTAAAAGTATGGGAAAGCGGGTTGGCCTTTTTTTAAAAAAAATAAAAAATAACATCATAATAGAAGTTACTTCGATCTTCTGTGATTCTGGTATATTCATGAAGAAATCATTATATAGCTCCAATCGGTATGTACAGCACATAACCACAATGTAGACGGCGATATATGGGAGTATATATACCTGTAAATTTCCAATCAACACAAGCGTAATCATAAAACAAGCAACAGCTGGGATTCACAGCTTGTGCTTCTTCTCTCCAGACGCAAGCTTTCTGAACTCCTCCTGCGGAATTCCGCTCAAAAACCTCTCCATTCCCATAAAGACTTCATGCACATTCTGACGATCCAGAATCTCCCGCTCATGCATCCGAATCAAACTCTTCATCTTCACCATGCTGTCCTGATTCAAATGCGCGCCCAAGCGCTCCTCCACCTCTTCTAACACCAACTTTAGGAACCCCTCAGAATCGTCGGGTCTCCCACTCGCAGGCTTAATCACCTTATTAACGTATCCTGTCGACACCAAATCCTCTATCGGAATGCGCTTGCTCATAATCAGCGCCTCGTTGGCTTTGGAGATACCGAGACGCTCGACCAGCGCTCTGCTAGCGCCGCCTTCGGCAACGAGGCCAAGGGATGAGAACGGGGTGAGAAGGAACGTGTGCGGAGCGGCGTAGATGAAGTCTCCGAATGCTGTTAGGGCAGCTGAAAGACCGACGGTGGGACCATTGAGGGCCACGACGAGGATCTTGGGGTGGTTGTAAAAGGTGCGGGTTATGTCGAGGTTGTTGATGGCGAAATTGCGGGCGAGCTGGCGACGGACATCGTCGTTGCCAATAGCGGGGCGGGTGGTGTGGACATCGGCGCCTCTAAAGGAAGGATAGCTGTTAGTTTGGACCCCTTTTGTGTTAATGGCGGTGAAGGGGGTGTTACGCAGAAAAGAAGCGGCCGTTTCCGGTGAGGACGGTGATGAAGATGTCATCGCGCTCGGCGACTTCGCGCATCTTCTGGCCAAGCTCATAGTACAGGTCTCCGGTTAATGAATTGAGCTTTGATGGCCTGTTGAGGGTGATGATGGCGATCCGCCCTTTGTAGGCAAGCTGAATGTCGTTTGAGCTGGACATTTTTGTCTCGATGAACTGTGTCTGATACGGATGTAACTGGCTTTAGGACAACTAAGGACGGGAGACGAAGGAGTGGACCAAAATGATATATAAACTAGATAGCCCTCTCCATTACCATCGACAGGCAAATACAATACAAAGCTGGCTGACTTCCCGCGGTTAAATCATCTCCTCACTTCGTGAACATGGAGCCTTAGCCGAAACCACAATGCTGGGTCGCAAGGCTCTGAGCATTGAGCAACCACTCCAGAGGATAAGTATCGCTCGGGAGTCTATATTCAGGCCGAGACGATCGAATGCCCTTCTCTTGGCCTTCCGAGCAAGTGACGATGCCTCGAGCTCCCCTTGACTTGCTGTCTGCCAGTTGAAGAGGCTCTCCGGCTGATGTCCAGCTGACAAGAGATGCCGAGGTCCAACAGACTGTCGGATTACATAATACGACTTAGCTGCTTGGCGCCGCTACTCTGGACTCTAACCGCATGAGGAAAGGGTACTGACTAAACAGCCTTGGCATGCTTACATCAGGAGCTTTGGTGGGTTCGAGTGAAAAGCAACTAGGTTGACGACCGGAAGAGAGGCAGTGGTGAACAGCAAGATTCCAGATATTCGCATCGCACTCAAGAGATACGAGCACGGAAAAAGAGTCAATTTATCTCTCCAGAGAAGTCTCCCCGACGAAGATTCGACCCCATCAAAGATAGCCACAACAGGCCGAAAAACCAGAGATCATGCTCAACTCCGTCCTCCGCAGACTTCAAGGCGGAAACCTTGAAGTTTTCAAGGTAGCACCTACATCTTCCTCCCCTCTCCCTGTTAAAAGCTAACAGACTTCTCCTAGTTTGGTCTATATGTCCTTTTTCCTATCGGCTGGATGTACTACTTTGGCACCAACCTTGAAGAACGCTTCTCGATTCCCGACTTTTGGCCCAAGTCTGAACACTCGCATAAAATCCCGCTAGAAAAGAGCGATATTGAAGCCGAGCTGGCGAGAATGAACCGGGAAAAAGAGAGGAAGAGGCTAAGACGATTGGAGCTGGAGGCCGCAGCAGCGACTGCGGGGAACGAGGGGTCACAAGCTGAGAGACAATGAATCGATGGACCCGGCGACACCAAGGATGAGGAACAGATGGATGAAAGGCTGGATCCTTGTATTATAGGCTCAGGCGTTTTTTTCTGCGTTGGGGTATTTGTTGAATTGTTTGTGGGAATAGAGCATACCTTTAGGCGCTTTGGGAACATGACGGCAGGAGTGTCTTTCCTCGATAATATAGCCTTATCTCAACTCTTGTATATATCTAGTTGAATATTAACGGCAAACATCATCAACGCTATGTCAGCTCTGCCGGAAGCCGCCAATAGAACAATTATAAGAGCAGTATTGAGGAAAACCGAGCATGTTGTATTCGAAGACCACTAATGCTATTAAGCTGGCTCAACAGCAAGATATTAAATTGAATTCAATTCGCCAGCGTTTATCGGCGATCTCAATCCCAAGAAGATACCAAAAAAAAGCCCATCATTAAGTATTAAAACCTATAAGTTAGATGTCTTTCCGCCGCATAAAAAGGTATCATCAATACCCGACAGGTGAAGAAATAACAACCCGTGTCAGGTATAAGTAGAAATGGAGCAACCAGTCCAACACCCATCGCAAACGTAAATTCCATCTATTCCGGGGAACTCCAACCAACGAGAGAGAGAAATGAAACGAAATTAGCAGCTTATAACTCGCCAAGCCGCTTCCCTGTGGCTTCAGCAATTATGCTCGCAGTCTCCATAATAACGTTCTGCTGCCCGAGCTTTTCCGCGTTGGACATCAATGACAGGTTACTGTCCGCCATGAATTTGGGGCACGAACGCTCCGGTGACCGGATCGCCTCCGGCCCAGTAGTACCAGACGTGCTGGCATACAGTGATTATATGGTTTGGCAGGTAAATGTATGCGGCGGCGAGGAACATCGAGACTACTAGGAGGAGGAGGGAGTCTAAACAATCCCAAAAAGTTAGAAATGCCCCGAGCAAAAGGGCCAGGCGCGGAGATTCAGGGGTTCACGTACTGAAGATAAATTTCTCCATGGGAGTAAGCATGTACAGGGCAAATGTGACTTCATATTGGTAGTTCTTGAGTCGAAGCCAGCGGATAAATGACGTGAGGATCGAGGGAGACGAGGACTGAGAGCGAGCCATGATTGCAAAGCAAAAGGTAGCGGGAATGGCTCAGAGATCGGTCGGGGAGCCAGCGGAGTAAGAAAGCAGGTAGATCGAAGATCCCAATAGGCGTAGAGGACGATAAATGTATATATATATTATATCACCGGTTGGTATGCTATGATTCAACGCGCGTCCGCCCAGGCAGCTGGGGAATTAGGCAGTCAAACTTGATGTCAAAGTATTTGTTAACGGAGGCGGGATAGGTCTGGAAATAAGTATTATTGATTGCTTTTGAAATCTAAGTCGAAACCAGAGATTAATTAAATAAAAAGAAGCAACCCTGAGCAAGCTCTCCAGCCTGCAACCAAGTCCGCGATGATGGATGTTTCGGGTTTCTGCCTATGCGCCAAGGTCGTCAGGGGCTTTATCGGGCCAATCACGGAGAACAACCGGAGCCTGGCATGAGTCAGCATGCGCTATCCCGAATCAGAACATATATTAGGGTTAGGGCACATATCTTGGCGGTTTTGTCTTGATTGCAGCATTAGAGAGGGAGGTTGTAACTGATATTTGATGTTGATTCGCAAAATGCTGGATCTAGTGATGATAGCCCGGAATTATCTACTTTACTGCTATGCTATATCCTCCAGGATCATATCGGCCGCCTTCTCCGCAATCGCATAGACAGTTGCCTGGGGGTGAGCGCTGATATGGAGCGGCATGATGCTGGCATCCACCACGCGCAGGCTCTTGACGCCGTAAACACGCAGTCGATCATCCACCACTCCAGCCTTCTGGCCCTCGAATCCGCCCATGGCACATGTTCCGATTGCTACAATCTGCACGTTAACATCCATATGTGAAAAAGAGCTTGTTAGCTTCACTTACGATGAAAGACCGTGCCCAAGTCATGCCGGAGGAAATCGTCAAATCGACCAGGGTTGTTGTCGGTCTTGGGTGGAAACACCCGCGAGACTATGAAACGGGATAATGGTTCCGTAGAGCATATCTTATCAGCGAATATCTGGCCCGGCCTTCATCACCTCAAAATCGATTTTGCCATCTCCCGCAAAGTATCGCGGATCAATCGTTGGTTTGTCATCGATCGTGGTTGCCTTCGAGCCTCGCATGGGTTGAATGTGTACCGAGCCCCTTGAGAATGGATACTGTAGCATCTGCAACAGGGTGCCGTACCGTTTACCAGGCTCTCCTTTGAAATCTGGGTTCCAGTTCGCCTCGCCATCCCAGACGAACTCTACGGCTCCGAGCATTTTGCCTGGCAAGAACGACTGGCGTAATTTTGCCTCGCGAACATCCTTGGATTCCATTATTTTCTGGCGAATATGAGCTGTGAGTCCTGCAAGTTCTTGGCTTGTAACCATCTTGAATATAGGGCAATATGCCACAGGGCACGGTAAGTAAGCTTTGGCCGGTGCTTTGATGTTGGAAATCTCAACAGGACTACCCACGGTTTGTGATGGAGGTAAATCTGAGCCCTCGCTATCCGGAGGTGTCTGAACCTCATATACTGTTTTAGTCACTATAGCATTTGTCAGTTATTTGAAGACGCCCCCAGTAGCGAAGGGAATGCTTACTAAAATGATCCTGCAGGTTCTCTCCTACATTTGGGTTGCACACTTTCGCTTCAATCCCAGCAGCTTTTAGAATCTCAGGATTCCCAATACCCGATAGTTCCAGAAGCTGGGGAGACTGTATGCTTCCAGCTGATAGGACAACCTCCCTAGAGGCTCTCACGATGAAGTCCTCTCCATCACATCTAACCAGAACTCCCCGTGCAGCGCATTTTTCTCCCTCGTATTCGATGACGATCTCTTTCACAGTTGCCTCCGTTAGCAAGAATAAATTAGGTCGCTTGCATACAGGAAGGTAGTAACAATTGGCGGAGAAGCTTCTGGTATAAGTAAAAGGATTGAAAGCGCAGAGCATGTTCCAGGCACCTGCATTAGCGCCCGAAAAGCTATCAAGACTCGTCTCAACGCCGAGATTTTCCAGTGTCTTATGCCAGTACTTTTGCGATAGTGCATATTTTGGAACATGCGATGTCTTCACAGGGCCGTCGGTGCCATGTAAGCTAGTATCGAAAAAGGAGCAATGCTCGTTTTGCTCTGAGAGACTCGGCTCAATGAAGGTTTCAGACTTCTTGAAGTAAGGTCTAACGCCTTGTTACCAAAAGACCCATCTCGCAAATAATCAATAGTGAGAGACGAACAATAAATCCGCCCATCCCCATCCCCGATTCCCCATCTCAGCCCAGACATCGTAATCCTCCTTGTGCCCGCGGGTCCAGGACATAAAATTGAGCGCGCTCGAGCCCCCAAGGACTTTGCCTCGCGGCCACGACACCTTTCGTCCACCCAGTTCCGGCTGCGGCTCTGTTTCAAACTGCCAGTCGTACTGAGTTCCGATAGCCTGGCCAAAGCAGCCGGGGTCATTGATTATCGGCTCATCGAAGACCGCTGGTCCCGCCTCGATGACAGCGACTTTGAGGTCCGGTCTTTTCACTAAGCCGTGCTGCGAGTGCTAGGCCAGCAGTCCCTCCACCGACGATTACATAGTCGTACTCTCGCGCGCTAAAGTCCCGAAGATTGCTCTGGGGAATAGACATGTTTTCGCAGGGAAGCACGTAAAGTAACCGCGTTTTGGTCCAGAATGTAAACGTTGAGTATCAGTCCGGTAGCGCCAAAGGTTCATAATCATCTTGCGAAGCGGCGGATCAGCCCCCAGGCCTGGTCGGCTGGTCCCATTTAAACGGGGAAGACATCCATGTATTCCCGCTGCTATCCATCTAACATGCTGCAAGGTTCCACGACAGGTCTCTCGACGGCCAGTTCGAAATGCCATGCTTAATGAGCCAAATAAAAACAGAGCTCATGGTCATTCAGCCCACTTCTGCAGGGAAAAGATCGCTGCAGCACCCGCCATCAATGATCGCCATCAGAGGTTGGTGGATTTGTATGATAGCAAAATCTATGACGATAGTACGGGAATCTCGGATGGGTAACTAAACTTATCATGGCACGCCACATTTCGAGTAAATTCGAGATCGTCACTTAAGCAAATGGAATAAGAAAATCAATTGGAAAGTAGGCTGCCGTTTGCAGTTGTTCAGCATGGTCACATTCAGTGAAAGCTCAGGAAGGATGAAGCCAAAAAGATATTTGGAACTTGGTTGACAACAGCTGGCCCTCATCACAATCAATTTTCTATTAGGTGAGGAACCACGACGAGCTGCCTCCAAATAACACCAACCACTTCGCTGCCTCTGAGTTACTCAGTTATCCGCTAGCTATCCACTAGTTAGATATCCTTCTCCCCGCTCCGCCGATCAATCTGCACTCTGCGCCCATTTCCATCCTGTGCAGAATCATGGCTCTCCCCAGCTTGATACGAGCCGCTCCTCGATCGCGCTGTTTTATCCCTCATTTCGACACACGGCTCTTTTCAACATTCGCGGCGTTGAACGTCAAGCAAATGCCCGCACGGCCTACTATTGATGAATCGGAGATCACAGGTAGCTACCTGAAAGGATCCGGTCCAGGTGGCCAAAAGATCGTGAGTGGCTTGTGTTCCTATCATCGATTTTTCCCTTTTATACCCAGGTCGCTATGGCACTACGAGCCATATGCCTAGTAAACATATCACTTTTCATCTCATGGAAGAATCAAATACCCATCCTCAAGCCCTCTCCCAAATAAAAGCCCCCCATCTAGTTAACACTTTTCTTCCCCTCTACCCAACCCCCAGAACAAAACCTCCTCCGCCGTGCAACTCATCCATCTCCCCACCAACACCGTCGTCAAATCCCAAGCCACCCGCTCCCGCTCCCAAAACCGTAAAATCGCCCTCCAGATCCTTGCCGAGAAGGTCGAACTACTACAGAAAGGCGGCCAGAGCCGCGCCGCAATCGTAGCTCAGACGAAGCAGAAAAGAAAGGCGAGCAAGACGAAAAAGAGCAAGAGAAAGTACCGGGCGTTGGAGGAGGAAAAGAGAAGGCGGTCAGAGGACGCGGAGCAGGCTGGGGAAGAAGTGAGTGAGGGAAAGGAGTAGAGACACGGAGCTTTTGTATCATTAGGAACGATTTAGCGTGCATTATGTATATTATTTATTCTTGCCTGAGGTCGTGTTCAAGTTTGTTTCTTCTAGTCTGCACTACTTAAATGATTCTTGTTTTGCATCCTTCGCATTAGAACCCCAACGTATTTGGTCGTGTCCAGCTGCCCAATTCAATCAGTACCTTTTAGCCGCTCAGGTAGTTTGCCAACCCAGCTTTGGCCTCTGGGCTCAGCCTTTCCTGTGCAAAACTACTAATTCTTCCACCATGTCTTGTATCGGCCTCCTTTAGATATGTAGCGACCCAGGCGCCGAGATTGGGACCAATCTGAGGCCATGGGTCACGGGCAGCTTTCTTGATGGTGTTCAGTTGGGTGTATCCAACACCAAACGTCATATCCTCAACATCGTTCTCTCTGATGATGTCGTCCTTGGCGGCAGGCAGAGGAGGCTGACTGACAAGATTAAGGAGGGCCTCACAGGTAAACCCCCATCCTTTCTTATATCGATTAGCGAACGCATCGGAGTTTGCAAGCGTTTTGGTGAACGATATCAAAGCCACTTTTCGGTCTAACGGACGTGCGAGTTTCCGCGATTCTGGGAGGATGATATTCAAATAGATAGGGGTGAATACGCTAAATCAAAGTTAGTTATATGGCTTATCACGAGGTCTTCTCGGGTCTTCGGGGAAGTAAAATGAGCATACCCAGACTGAATATGTTCCGTGACTTGGATGAAGAAATCACAACCGTAACCATTCTCATTGAGGGCGGAGATAAAATGATAGAATCGAACAAATCGGAGCGTGAAGTTCTCCGTTTTAGATTTTTCAAGTCGGGTCAAGATAATTTGGGTGATAGTCGCAAAGTATTTCTCCAAAATGGCCCTAACCAGATGGTCGTTAGATTTCAGCTCATATCGGCGTCAGAATTCTCAGCACATACGAAGGGAATGCTGATATGACATTTTCAAGTAGATCAAACCCGTAACTCTCGTTGAGTTTGGATGACACTAGTTTCTGGAAGATACCCAAGATTGGCTCTATCTGATTATTCTGTGTAATCATGCCGGCGCCCCGAGGAAGAATAGATGACAATAAGCGCACAAGCGCGGGTATATTCCCTCTGGTTTCCCACATGGTTGGTATCAGAATTGGAGCGATCAGGCTTTGATAGTTTTCAGGGAGGGTGTTCGACGGTTGGGCTTCCAATAGCGCGGACAAGAGTTGGAAGACATAGGGCATAAATTCTACATGAATATCTGAGTATTGTCAAGTTTGATTGGATGAACAGAACTTCGCTTACCTTGCACGTCACTCTGCAAGATATTAACAAACGGGGTATAAAGGGCATTCTCAACCTTGGAAGGCTGGCTGGGAGCCCCAAACCTACGTCAAGAGTAAATATATCGATCAAGTGGCTATGTGTAAAGGTGTTCATACCTAATCAGAGCACCAAGGGCCTCGAAATGATAATAGTAGAACCGAGGGTTGCTGGGATTTGTGCTGATTATTTTTGTGATATTAACGAGATGTTGTAAAATGGGGTCGATGATTGGGACGACACTGTCCTTGATAACTAGGAGCACCCTCATGATGCATCGCATAAGAAACTCATTTTCCTGGACCTTGGGGGGCGATGGATCCTTTTCTATTAGTTGAAAGATATGCTCAAGGAGCTGTGGGGCCAAAGGCGTGATTTCGCTGGCAGGGATGACGGGTTGATTTTGGTTATCAGCAAGACAGAGTGCTTTCTCAAGGGCAACAGCTGCGTAGGTGTACACAACGTAGACTGAAGACCCGAGATGTTGCACCAAAAGAGGAAGGGCTTCACGCCATTGCTCTTTTGTGATGAGACTTCGGAACGAGTACAAAAACTTGATGGCGTCCACCTTCAAGAGCGGCTGAACTCCTGTTGTCGCAACTAAATCGGAGGCTAAATGTTTTTGGAAGAAATCGGTAATGCTGACCAGCGGATTTGTAGTTGTCACTCCATGGGTTGCTGTCGCGACACCCTTTCGCAGCGATGGCTGAAAACAGATATATCGCAGTATCTTTAGACTTCCATTGCTCTGCAGGAGATTGGGATACTCTGCAAGATAATGCCGGTGTATTTTAAGACAATGTTCGTTACCGAATGTTCGAAGTTTTCAAGGCACTGTCTGAGGAAATCAGTTGGCCGCGCGTCTCTCGTTTCGCTATCGCCTCCTTCGAGATCTCGGCGAATGAACTCGATGGGTTCATCTTCAAACATTTCAATGTCCGACTCTCGTAGGGATATATTTGGCAAAATGACCTTTTCTGTCACTTGACTGAGCACTGCGTCATCCTTGAAACGCATTTGCATGACTAGGTAGGCGAGCGACGGATGTCAAGAACTGCAAAGCCCGGCTCACAAGAATGTCATATTTGGTGTCCTGCCCAATCGTGGTGAGTAAATTCCAAGAACTGCTAATAAACTGATGGACATGATCTCCAAAGATATCGATGTATTTCTGTACGTAAAGCACCAGAGCTTCGAAAATCCCGGCTTTAACAAACTCCAGTTGGCCAGCCTCTGATTCATCGGCAGTATGAAGCAACGGGTTGTCATATGTCAGATACTTCAAAAGCAGGGACGCTATGGCTCCTACGTGGTCTTCAAACATCGGCGGAAGATCATGGCACGAGAGGTCGTAAAACAATTTGATCATCAAATTTAATTGGGAGAAGGCTTGGGTGATTTTCTCCTTATCGTTTCTGTTCTGATCGATAAACGAATCCAGGCTCTAGAAAAAGAAGGAATTCTTGTTAGATGCCCGCAGGGGAGGATGCCGGGACGTAACGGCGACATACCTCAAAAAGAGCAAGATACGGCTGGCCAAACCGCTCCAAAACATGGTTGATTTCCTCGTAGAGTTCGTCTGAGCGGAAAAGGGGCCTCCATCTTTTGAAAATGGAGTGTGCAACCTGTAAGACACCAATGTTCACAATAATGTTATCTGGCGACAACCGTGAAACAAGATCCTGAAGGAGAAGTTAGCTGAAAAGAACCGTTGGTAGCCAAAGACAAAAGGTTCCACTCACGCCAACAAGTGTATCCCATCGCCGCCAGAAATCGCTGTCCGCTATCACGCTGACAGCTTCTCCTAGTTGGGTCTGAATGCCCGGAGGCATGGAAATCATCAGGCTTATGAGCTCTTGCTTGATTGTTTTGACATCTTTCTCTTCCAACTTGTAATTGCCATCCTCGTCGGTCCAATTCCATTTGATAAAGTTCTTGAAGTAGAGGGCGCTCGACAGGCGAGTGTTGTATGGCAGTGCATTGTTGGCGGTGATGTGCAAGAGCTGCAACGAGTATCCCGGTTTCTTCTCTGCTTGACGGAGGGCAGCTTCGGCTGGAAATCAACAAAGTGAGCACTCCACTCCCAAAGACCAGGTTCCAATAAGAATCCAAACCTTGTTTGTGCTGTCTAGGGTCCAATGTAGCCTGAAGGAGCTGGACAATGGGTGCAAGGTTGTCCGCCATCGCTTCCCAGTGAGCTTGCTGCAACGCGCGGGGTTTGAGATGTGCAGAGCAAAAGGGGCTGAAATGCAATTCACAGTGAAAAGGAAGACAGGAACCCCAGTCAAGCAGCTGGCAAATGCTTGAAATAGAGTGCTATCAGAAATGATACCTTTTGTGCTTTCAAGCTTGTGTCTGGTTGCTGCCCACCTTTTTTTGGCAGTTTGTTTAGCTGCTTATGTAACATCTAGCATTGAAGTGGGGGGTCTGGCGCTAGTCCCTCTTTGGCCCGGAACGGGGTTACTTTCCATTTTGGAGCATTCCTGTCATGTGACCCAGGCACCGGCCGGAGAAACAGATAATCCAGCGTCTCGCTAGTCCCGAAGCCGCCTAGCGTGCTTCCCCGGATTTGCCCTGATGATCCATTTTGCTTGCTTTTTGGCAGAAAAAGCCCAAAAAAAGCTTTTTTGGACTCCAAACCAACACCACCACCGCCCGCTAAAAGCGACCAACCTGCTGGCTGCTCGCCCACTCCCTCTTCCTTCACGTCCTTCCATCAAGAGCACACCACATATCCTTGGATCCGTCCAGCCTATATATATATATATATATCCCTCTGCAAGATCGCTCAATACTACACTCTACCTTGCTTTCCTCTTCTCGTCCATCTGTCTAGAGTTTCAAGATCTTGTATAGCTACTGCTGTATCCTGGTAGCAGGGGTTCTCCTCTGGCCCTATATACTATCCCACGTGTTGCTATAATCCTCAGCTGTGGTGCCTCTGCACGCAGAGACCTTGAAATAGCAGCGTCCTCACCAGCAAAGTCGTTCTGAGGCTGTATAATATACTGCATATCCACGATCAGTATTGCTCTCCCTCTGAGCCTGTTTGTCCGGGCTTGCTATTCTGCGGTCATTCAACCGTTCTTGCTTTGCTGCATCTATATAGACTTTGTTAGTATCGAATGCTTTGTGAAACAAGATGCCAGTTGTCATGATCGTACTTGCTTTGCTTCACTCCATTGTTGCTGGACAATAGAGCTAATCAGCAGAATTGTATAAGGTCCCACCGCTCATTCACAAGTCGATTAGTCGACAAGTTCTGCCTGTTCATCCACCCAGCCCTGGGTGCATGGATCCGAATGATGTTTCTTCACATTCTCACAAAAGCACCTCTTCCACTTTGGTTCTGCGTATTCAGGACAGCGACAGCACTCCAACACCCATCCGCCCTTGTTCTTTCGGACGTTTAGCCAGCGTCGACTATGGAAGGCCGTCGTGGGAGCCGTTTTGGGCTTGACTCGCTGCATCGGAGCAGCGTGGCCGCGGAGTCTCTGGAGCCTCCGAATTTCGAGGTCGTGCTTCGAAATCTCAGCCACGACCAGCCCGTCTCCGTTGCCGCCGAAGAAGCAGAACGGGCAGCTCGCCACTTGCATAGCTTCAGTGCTGACCAGGCAGTAGCTATTTGGGACGCAGGAAGTCATCTTCTTGATGTCTCGAGTTCTACTGATGCGAAGAAATCTGGTTCAAGTCTGCTTGAAGCCATTTCAGGTCGCCAGGACCTACCCCTCCTATCTCGCCGCGCCCTATACACTTTTCTTTCTCGTCCCTGCTCCCCTGATCTCATCCCCGCGCGAGTCAATTCGCTGGTTGCGTTATCCGACCACGGCAGAAAAATCGACTTCTCTGACAATTCAGTCCTTCCTACTGTCGTGTCGTGGATTGTACCGCTTTATGACGTTCTTGCCTTGATTCGAGCCAAGAATAAAAAGCTAGGAAGACCCTACAACTCGTCAGCCCTAGAGGAAACAGCTTTTAGCGACTTGTTTCAACTAATTATCGATATAATCACTTTACAACGCCAGTCCCCAGCTATAGCTGATGTCGAATCACTTCTTAACAACCTTTTTGTTGTTTGCCGGAGCACTCATGTGACCGGAGACATAAAACATTCCCTCGCCATTTTCGACGCGGTTATCTCAAGTCTAACCATCCCACCATCAACCTTTAGCCCATTACTCGACGTCCTGTGCAGCATTCACGCTTCGATCAAGACTTTGGCAGGACCGACATCGCGAGTTGTTCGCAACATGGCCAAGTCGAAGAGTCAAGAAGAGATGGTGGGGCTATTACACGCCTTCCTCGACAATACTCCTGCAGGTCCAGACCGAAATCTAAACGTCACTCGAGGAGCAGTGGATATTTTCAGAGATCTGGTCGCAGCATATGGCCAAGAAGGCATGCCCAGCCTCTCTTTTGATCTTCTCATCAGCTCCTTAAAGCACGCAACCGACAAAAATGACGGCCGCATCGACACCGATATTCTTGAAGTTTGCTTAAATATGCTGCAAGGTGATTACCTGGATGTAGCACTTGAGAATAGATGGACAAACCTGATCCAAGTGATCCTCACTTGCTCCAGACGGGTTATTAGCCCTCGCCCCCAATCCGCGGAACCATCCATACCTTCCAATATCAACACCTCCGACGACGTGAAATCCAATATATCTGCTCACATCGCCCGCATCGCCTCGTCTATAGAGGCCACCTGGCCTAGCCTCAACGAAAACCACAAAACTGACGTTTTACATTTATTTATGAAGGTCCATATGCTACTAAGTCCCAGCCAGTCGGATCTAGCGTTGCAACTACTCGATTCGCAAAAACTCTGTCATGTTGGGTGTGATGATTGGATTTCAACCTCCTGGGAGTTAGTACATAACTTCATTCAAGCCCGTGATAAAGCACCCGAAGTTCGCATACTAGCTCTTAATACGTTCGAGAACGCTTACCTTACCGGAGGCGCCTCCTCAGCGTTTGATTCAGAAGGCTTTATTGACGCCCTCTTACATGGCTTCGAAGACGAAGGATCAGCAATGTATCTTGAGAAGCTAGTTGCATTTCTTGTGACGGTAGCTCTCCGCTCAGACGACCAACTCTTCAAGCGTTTGATCGACGCTTTGAGCTTGCCCATGAAGGCTGATGAAGTTAAAGAGGACCTTTCTCCGACATCTGTGTCGTCACATCCGGTATCCCAATCAATTTCGTTTACCAACGTGCTTTTACCTTCGCTGTCAAACCTCGCTTGCGTCGGCTTGGTGCAAATATTTTTAAGGTCATTGCTCAAACGCCCTTTAATCGACTTATCCCTCCTATTTGAGAGATTAATTGATATTGCACGGTCACCACAACGGCCCTCCGATGCGCGACTAACAGCTCTCAAACTGCTTTTCAGCATTCGTTGCGATTCCACCGGGTCGATATATGTGGTCCCTACAATTGACAGCAGTTTTTTGTTCACGGTTTTGTCTCGCACTATCGACGTAACTTCTCGTTCAAGCGTCACCGAAGATTCGTCAAGTGATCGGAAATGGAGAAATGACAGTCAAAGCGGTAGGTTGTCGCTTAAAGATCCGTCCTCCGGCCCTTTAATGTCGGAAAGCCCCCATAGAACGACGGAGAATCGTACCTTGAAGTGGAACTCGCCAGTATGGATTACGGACGAAGGCAAGACGTTGCCGGAAGAGCCACCTGTGAATCCAAGCAGCTATGTGTGTGCATTTCGAGCTCACTCTACCGAGGAGCAGCATGGACAAGAACCACATGTCCTACTCCCAATCAATTTTTGGGTGGAGACCGTGATCGCCCTTTTGCAAAGAGAGAAGAACTGGGACATCTACAGCTATGTACTCGCACACTTGGAGCCACAGCTCATGAATAGGGAGCTTTTACGCAACTCCATGCCACAAATCAAACTGCTTCGAAGCGTGTTGTGTGAACAAATCAAGAATGAAAGTTTCCATGAACCTCTCGGCTGGACTGGTGTAAAGAAAGGAGATATTGCCGTTTGCATATTTGCAGCTCTCACCAGCCTTGTTAGTTTCCACCAGAGTTTTGCAAAAAGCGAGCAAGATGAGACGGTCCGTACATTCATGCTTGGTATCGGGTCTTGGGAAGCCACATCCCGTGGTTGCATCCACGCACTTTCGGTTTGTTGTCACGAGATTCCGTTGTCGGTGACTAAATCGCTGCATGCCATACTCGATAAAATGTCCAAAGTCATGACTCGGACTCATATTGCAGTTCATATTCTGGAGTTTCTTGCTCTGCTTGCTCGACTACCAGACGTCTATGTAAACTTACGAGATGAGGAAATCCGCACGATTTTTGGAATTTGTCTTCGTTATATTGAATCTTCAAGGGAGCAACGGTATAGAGCAATTGATTCTACGGGTTCTCGATCCGCCTCCCTACCGACACGGTTTAGCGGTGGTCCGAAAGATACCGCTTCGACTCCAGGAGTGCCAACTGCAGATGCAAATACTTCCGACGATTTATCAAGATATGTCTACCATCTGACATATCATGTGATGGTCTTTTGGTTCCTCTCACTTAAACTTCAGGATAGATCCAACCATATCAGCTGGATCACAAAACGTCTTGTATTCACGGATGAGATGGGAAAGGAAGTCATTGAGGAGCAGAGTCAAGTTTTTATGGATTTCATGCAGAGAGTAGCTTTTTCTGACTTGGGCGATACGATTCCATTTGAACGATTCCCCCCAGCAGAAAGCGATGGACCAACTTCGAAGAAAACATGGATCGTCGGAATGAGTATTGTTACCGTTGAAACTGCTGGTGCTACCGGTCTCAGTCAAATAACGAAGAGACAGGCCTCTGGCACAACATACGCTACTTATCGGCAACTCACAGCTCCCGTTTTACCACATCAAATCCCAGTTAGTCCGTCTCCACATTCTATTGCAGATGAGCAGTTCAGCCGGATTTTGCCTTCCCACATTCTCATTCAATTGACAACTTCCGCATTCCCAACTCCCGTGGTTACGCAGCCGCTCCCGCTTCCCGAAGACGATTTCACTCGTAGAGCAATCAGTACTTTCGATAGGAATGATATTGTTGACGGACACAAAATTGGCGTCATTTTCATTGGTGAAGGACAAACCGATGAGACTCAAATCCTTGCAAACTCGCATGGAAGCAACGATTACGAGTTTTTCCTCAGTGGCCTAGGCACAAAGGTCTCCCTCGAGAATGCGAAATTCAATACTCAAGGTTTACGGTACGGAGATGACGGTGAATATACATACGCATGGCGCGATAGGGTCTCTGAAATCGTCTATCATATACCAACGATGATGCCTACGAATCTAGAAACCGACCCGCAAAGCGTAAAAAAGAAGATGCACATTGGCAACGATTTCGTCAACATCATCTTCAATCGTTCTAATAAGGATGTTGCACCCGACACTATTCGAACGCAGTTCAATTTCGTTAATATCGTGGTATCTCCGGTTTGCCGTGTGTCGGCAGAAGAAACACCCGTAAATTCAATTGAGGATTTCCACAACTGTTTCTACACTGTCAACGTCGTAAGCAAACCCGGCTTTCCAGACCTCTCCTCCGCTGCGAACCGGAAAGTCATATCAGGCAAAAACCTTGCCGCCTTCGTTCGGCTCATCGCACTCAACGCCTCTGCTTTCTCCCTTGTTTCGAGCCGCGGCGGCGAACACGTGTCATCCTGGCAAAACCGCCTTCGCGAGATCCGTCGTCTCCGCGATCGGGCCTTTGCCGCGTCTGTTGGAAGCTCAGACGTGACTACTGAAACCGTCTATCTTCCGCAGCGCCGGCACACCAAAGCGGTCAACGTCCAGTCCGAAGAAGCGACGCCAACGCAGGGACTCAGAGCCAATTTCGGCACAGAACGGAACCTTTATATCGATAATAATATCTTCCAGAATTTGGACTTTTCGCGTTGGAGCAATAGTCGTACTTAAAAAGAGGTTTCCTTCATCTTTTTTTGTTTTTTGAGATTTCCACAAGATCAATTCTGTCCTCTTTTTCGATCCCCAGCTCCAGTTGCGTTATCTCATGAATGTCCATGGCCTTCCAATTATCTATTTGTTTTCTTTTCTTTCTTTTTTTTCTTTTTTTGAAAAAGTTTCGCAAATTTAATGGCTTGTACTTACACACATCCCTTTCGTTGAGCGTATTCCTTTCTCCCTAGAAAAGAGAGAGAGAGAAGGTGATCTCAAAGGGACTTCGAAGTAGCGTTATAGCTTTCTTCCATGCATCTGCCCTCATGATCATGCAATATGAAGAATCATCTTTGGCTTTCTCTTTGGTCTTTTAAAGCGTGCCGAGGAATGGATGGGTTAGAAAAAAAAAATAAAAAATGGAACCATTACTCTTGATATCTTTGTGGTTACCTACAATGTGCCTTGATAGTCAAGTAAATCCGAGACAGATCTGCTGTCGCGCTTTGCCCACTTTTGACTGGGTATTATGAATGTAAAATCTTTAGAAATATTGAAAGTTGATAAAGCAGGGTGGTGATCATACGAATGAATCCATTCTATATAAGCTTGAAATCAAATACACAGACTCCATTTGAACGTCGCTATCCTTGTTACCGAACGAAGGTTGCCTGGGACAAAGAATGAAAATGGCCCTTTATTTAAAAATAGAACGTAATGGACACGCGAATACAAATAGTGGTAACTGTCATCGCACTCAACCCCAGCGCCAAAATGAAGACATAAAAAAAGAAAACAACTCTCTTTTCCCTGTCCGTACCCAGCCGTGTATCTTGCAGAATGGGAGCCCTCTGAAAAAGAAAAGAAAAGAGAAAATAATAATGATGGAAAGGGCTCCCTCAGTATCGTGTGAAGAGCTTAGAAAAAAGCGAACAAAGCAAACAAGATACAAATGTGCAAGGGAAGTTGGCTAAATAACAATGGGTGGATGAGACACATATTCTGCATGTCTCAACACCATAAAAGGACACACGTAGGCTCTTTTGTCTCTGCAATCCAGGAAAAAACGAGAAGATATTAAAAATAATATAATCACAGTTTTAGATATTAAGAAGGAGGGAGGGGGGTTTGGATGACCTGCAGTCAGACCATTTGTAGAATAAAGGTTAGGCGATCAAATGTGAAAGTTGGGGGAAAGGTTACGGCTCCCATGGGCAATAATATGTGCGTGGCGCAAAGACACCCGGGGGGCGCGATTGGTTTGATAGATTCGAATATCAAGAGGATATATACCCAATTGCCAGACAAATTGGATCTTACGCCAAGACTTTTGGATACATATGTGAGGCGAAGGGTTGAAACCAAGAGACTTGGCCTAGGCATGGTGTTATTGATCCAATTTGGCTGCATGTAGATTCATCCGACGGATTGAACGTCCGAGCCTGAACTTATTTATTGTCGGCCGTATCCACCAAGTCAATGCTGGTACTACTGCTTGGAGCAGTACTTCCACGAGAGCTCGGGATACCACCAGTGAAGCTGCCGATATCCTCGCAAGAAGAGTCGACGTCATTTGCAGGGCACATAGTGTTACTGTTTGGTGCTGTCGAAGAAACGGATGGGGTTTGTTTGCCCAAATGCTTTTCAATAGCAGCGATCTGCTTGCCGAAGCTGAACTTTTTGAGTTGGCATAATAACGGGAGAATATGATCGACAAGTGTTTGGTATTCATCGCCTTTTAAGACCTGGAGTACTTTCTCTGTGGCATTATTAGCACCAGTTGAACCTAAATCACTCAAACGACAATACATACGGACAACATAATTTCCAAATTGATCTCTCATGAGATCGAGAAGAGGGTCTCCTCGCTCATCAAGGGTGGTAAAGATCCGAAGGATGTCGAGACGATCACTATTTCGACCAAATTCAATCGTCTTTTCCACGACATTGCTGGCAAATTTGTGCTTCGAGTAGGTAACGAGGTCCGAAATCACAACAGCAATCATCTGCGCTCTGTCTTTCTCCTTTCCGTTCTCGATGACATGCTGAATCACATAGTTCCCAAATTGATCCGAGATAAGGTTACCGCTGCATACATGGAGCTCAGCCAAAATGGCCTCGCGATCCTCTTCATCACAATGCTCAAGCATACGCTGAATAACGCGGCAACCGTAGGAATGGACCGCCCAGCGTTGGATTTGGCCTTTGAAGTCGTTGATGATGAATTGTATATGAGCTTGAGGCACCCGTTCGATGGCCTTTTGGATCACATGGTTACCGTTTTGATCCTTGACGCATTTGATAACATGATGCTCCAATTCTTTGACTATTGCGGCTTGTTGGTCTAGGAGAACGTGTTCCAGTGCCTACCAAAGGTCAGTGTTGTTGAATAAATTTTAACACCCAGTTTTGACTTTACCTTCTGCACAACCCTACAACCGTACATCTGGGTTGAGAGGTTAAGAATATGGCCCATCATCTGCTGGGCAAGTGCCTTCTTTTGCGCCTGGTTGCCGTGTTCAAAAAGCTTTTGAATGACATAATTCCCAAACACATCCATCATGAGTTGTATAGCATTTGGTTTTATCTCTTGAAAAACGCGCTCCTTTTCATCGCTATTTGCGGTCTCTAGCTTTTGTTGGATGAACCTAGAACCGTGTTGATCGCCACTGAACTCGACAATATGATTGTAGATATCCTAAAAAATTGATTAGCGGGGTTAATTCGTTCAAAAGGCATCTTTATGTTCCCTTTTCTACTTACCTTGAGCTCGTATCGCTTGTTTCCCTTACTATTAGCCCTGAAATCGTCCAGCAGAGGACTGCGCATCGACTGGGAAGCATCTGGCTCGCGATACTGGCTGCGTGTGGTAACTGCAGTTGATATTCCAGACAACGGCGTCATCCCGTATAGATTAGCGAATTGACTCATTTGACCGGTGTGATAATTTGTGTATCCGAACGCCTGAGGCTGTTGCAAACCCCGCCTGTTGGGCATTGGACTGGAATGAAGGTACTCTTGCTGTTCACTTTGTAGGCTCCGCAGCTTCCGATCTAGAAGTTCTGCTGCCTGGCTATCAGAATAGTGGCCGGGAAGACGAGTCGGTGACATCACGAGTCGAGAAGGGGCTGGAGGTGTTCCGTGAGTGGAATAAAATCCAGGGTTCTTACCTCTAGAGTAGTCATTCTGGGAAGGGGATCCCATGATTCTTTCGCCATGGCGGGAGGTAATGGAGCGTTGATACATTGGGATTTCTGAGAAAGGCTCCAGGGTAAAGTCTTTGATAGCGGGAACCGAGAGTTCATCTGCAATAAATGGTGGTTGGAGTGATGTGAAGGTTCCATCGAACGAGGAGCGCGCAACATACGCTGGGCGCTGCGAGGCTGATTGGGATTGAATAACGTAGCCGTTGGCTTCCAAATCGAGCTTAGAAAATCTCTGTGCAAGGTCGTGGTGCGAGCGTGAGCCCACAGTCTCGTTGCCATCCGAATTGGAATGGAACGAAGAATGTGGTGAATGTGTTGGCCGTTGTGAAAATGTACTCAAGGAGTTACTCGAGAGATGCGAGTAGAGACCACCCATGGACTTCCCGGGTTGGCCAACGTTTGAAGTGAGGTTGCAAAGCCCCCAGCGAGCTGTTGACATTATTGTGCCCGTTGCTATCGCCCGCCCGGCACAGGAAATGTTGACCTGCTCGAAAATTTGGCACCAGCATTTAGGATGATTAAACGTCATATTAGTATCTCGTGGCGGGGTATTATTATTAATGAATCCGTTTGGGGTAGGCGTGCCAATCGTGCTCGCGGCCACGGATTGAGGATCAGAGTGAATATAAAGAGGTCGTTGTGTGGAGGTCTTGGCCGCTGTTCCAATGGCAGCGGGCTGAGAACTAGCAAAGTAGGAAGGGGAAGAGTCTCTGGATTGGGCTTTGGCACCCGGTGGAGTGAGAGAATGCCCATGGGAGCCGTTCACATTCCAAGGCAAGCTCGCCCGCGAATCCCAGCCATCCGATTCGGAGGTAGCTAACAGGCAACCGGAGCCTGATTTGCCTTCGATCACGTCGTGGCTCGAGCCTTTTGAGGTGTTGTCTGGGAAAGCGTCTGTAAGACGGGGGTTGCTCCAAAGATCGCCCTTCCAGTTTGGCTTGGTCATCCCAAATGCCGGGCCAATATTTGACGAATCGGTGTCATGGGGACGTTGAGACTGGCCTCGAACCTAGCAACCACAATGTGAGCCTCTTGTAACTCCAATGAGAACTGGGAATTAAGGAGAATTGTGGACGTACCGAGTGTACGCCCATCCCATTGCTTAGTCCCGACGCCATAATAGGTATTGCAGCAGAAAGATAATGAGATTGTATACGCCGGAATCAATATGCAAGGTATATTAACAGGAATATCGCTCTGGGGTATTTGCAAAAGATTTTGAGAAATATATTGTTATGAAATGCACAAGGGTTGATCACAGAGTAGGGTTCGAAATATGTTTTACGTGACTTAAGCCATATGCAGGAACGGAGGTGTGACCGGGAGCTGATAGAATTTGCCGTAGGGGAAACTAAGTGGTTCTTATCGTTAGTGTATGAGGTCAACAAACTGTCAAACAACGCAACGCAATTAGAAGGCGTGATTGAGCATAAGCTGAAAGAAGCGGGCTTGGAGCCGTGCGAGAGACGATTTCCGGAAGGCCTCACACGCTCGAAGTCGGCAGGATCCAATGTACAGCAGTGTAGAATATACTTGAGGCGACCGGAAGAGAGGAAGAAGAGAGACAGAAAGAAGGAACAAGTGAAAGAGAAGAGAAGATAACAAAGACTGGGGGGAGGGAGAAGTGAAGAGAGAAAAAGAGCCGAAAAAGAGTGAGGGTCGACCAGGGTATAAAGAAGAATAACATGGGGCCAGGAAGGTGGAAGGAGGAGTGACGAAGGCGGCTAAGGGGAGAATGCGTGTGCAGCCGAATGCAGGTCAGATAATCAGGCAAAGGCCGGTTCCGTTTTGGAAACGCGACCACGGCTGCCTACCGTGAACAGGACAGGAAGCTGGAAATCAATCGAGCGAAGCCAACAACTCACCTTCCGTGCATGACCTGGAAGCCGGGCGACTAGGCTTGATGCGTACTCAAGGAGCAGTTCGTTTGGGAGAAGGAAGTCGTCGCGAGAACGAGGCGATTATTGGTTGGACTGGCTGACAAGCTCTGCTTTGGCCTGCGGCGTGGTCGGGAGAGCAACAGAAAAAAAAATTATTGAAAAAAACGGGCAGTCGGCCGTGGCTGCGAGCAGCAGTGCGCGGCTGGTTTCAAGGGGGTGGGATCGAGAATTGGAGAGGAATTTGGAGTCGAAATGGAAGCTCGAAATTCCGTGGCGAGCGTTTCTGGGGTGAATCGAAGATGGGCGAATGACAGGGTCGATGAGGATCCGGGACGGTGAAGTCCAAAGGGCCGGAGGACAGGAACAAAGAGGGGCGGAGGGAGGAGAAAGGCACGAAACTGGTCACACCGACGGAAGCTTCATGACACGGCAGGAGGGCTGTGAGAGGGCAAAAAGAGCTTTTGTAGCTATCCTGATCTCCTTGACGACAGACGAGTTAGCAGGAGGGTTCAGTGGACAGGCAGCAAGTGGGTAGCGGAGGGTGTCAAAGGGATTTGGATGACGACGGAGTGGGAGACTAGTTCGGGCCATGGACAGCTCAGAAAGAGTGGTACAGAAGCAAGAGATGAGGGCGTACAAAGAGATTCGGCGAGTGACAAGTCGGGCGGCATTCCCTGGATCATTGGGCTCCAGCTCCAGAATCCGTGGGATGGCTGTACCGCAGAATCTGCGGGTGCGGCGAGGCCTGAGTCTGTGTGCGGTGGAGGAGAGGGGCGACGAGCAGAGTGAATGAAGACGGGGTGCAAGGTTCAGAGCATGAAGACGAGTGCAGCGGGCCGGGGTGGTGAAGACGACCAGCAGCTCACGAAGACGAGATGGTTGAGCAGCGAGGACAAGAGAGCGGCCGTCGTTGTTGGATTTTGCTCTTTTTTATGTTTGCTTTTTTCGCCCGGCTTCACGCTGTCGTCGTGCTGGCCGCCATGACTGGAGGTTCAGTTGCCTTCGAAAGATCAAACGGTTGAATTGCCGCTTTGGGACTGGAAGCAAAACACAAAACTGGGGCCCGGCTGAGGTAAGCGCACTAGCCAGCCACCAGGCTGGAAACTTTGCGGTTCGTCCCTGGGGGGGTGGCACCGATGGGGGCAGCGGGCAGGCAGCAGATGGTAGAGCAAAAGACCGCGTCTGGCTCTGGTGCCAGGCTGCGGGGTCGCGAGGGTCCTTGGGGCCATGTCCTCGACGGCTCATCGTCTGCGTCTTGGGGTGCGAGCAGGCTCCGACTGCTGCTGGCCGGGACTGACACACAACCGCCATCCCCAGACAAAACAGACAAGCAACAAGCAACAGCAAGAGATCGTGTTTTGAAACTTACCAAAATCGCCCGCACTAGCGTCAGACACTAGCGTATCCCGGCCGGAGCTGTGTCGCGCCGCCAATCAGAGCCGCCGCCCAGCAGCCACAATCTTACGACGCCCGCTAAACCTCCGTTTCCTTGGCGGTAATAAGCTTCATCAATACCACGGCGCTAGGCCCGACCCAGACAAGGCTCCAGCTCCACGGCGGCAGATCATTTTAAGGCGTCATCGACCTCCACCCGGCCCAGCTGTGACCTGTCCAGCGTGAGACTCTCCCCAAACCTGCCCATCACAGCAACCGCATCAGATCTTCTTGCCCCTCTCGAACAGCGTGTCTGTTGTAAGATGCCGGACAATGTCTGGGAAAAAGCCCCGGTGGCCACACGCGGGGCGCTCTAGATTCGACCTGTCATCGCTAATCTGCGACCTCAACTTTATTGAATCTTAAATGCCTCGCGGCGCTAAAAGAATCTTGATTGATCTGAATGCTAATAATACTCTCGAAGCTTTTTTCCTTCGCTCGGAGCCGGGCCGGACTTCAAGTCCAATCCTATACGTGCGCGGCGGCGCTTACCTTACCCTCAACCAGGAACCTGTCGGCCCGTTCCTCCCGCGCCAGCAGCCTACCAGGATCTCGAGCAGAGCTCACCCGTATCTTCTTCCGAGGCACGCTCCCCCCACGAGATGGCCCTGCTGAGCGAACGGCCATACGGGTGGGATCAGATGGTGACCAGCCAGCCGAGGCGTGTGCAGGAGTCACGGCCATCGTGAACTTACCGGGATCGTGGGTGTTGAATGCCTTTTGGGCGAATGTAACGGGGAGAACCACTGTACCACTTTCCGGCTCACACAAGCTGCCTAACGTCGTTAAGGGAACTCGTCCCCGTGGACAGCTTGGATACTTGGCCCTGCTAATACGGGTGATGCCAAAGACGTGACCGTTGCCTTGATCTTGATCCGTGGAGCGCCATGAGTTTGAAGAACCGCCTGTGAGCGGAAATCAAGGCCTTTAGACTTTCAACTGCAAAGTTTTGTCTTTAACAGACTTCGTCGTTTTTCCCTGTATGCATTGACACCATCGCGCTCTCTGGACCGGAGGATATGCGTCCCAGTGACACTAAGAGCATGGGTTCCTCGGCTAAATCGCAAGTGACGATGTAGGCACTGAGCCGACCCTGCAGCCGCCGCCAGCGCACCAATCCATGCGATACCACTAGACCCCCAAAAAGCCTCAGCAGGCAAGTACTCTCACCAAAGTCAAAGACAGGAGTCCGATTTCTAGAATCACGATGTACGGCTATGTGTAAAACGACAGGACCCAAAAAGACCTCAAGAGTTAGCTTGCAGAGGTAGTGCGACTCCGGGGCCTCTAGAGTACTTGTTAGGTGAAATGTACTGCAAACAACCGTTTTGCGTCACACAACAGGCAATGTCTCTTATTCCGCGCCAACTTTTGCATTGCTTTAGCTTGTACTTCTTTTCCCTCTTTTTAGATCAGTAATCATTGGACACGCGACGTTTCTCGAGACCCCCGACTTTCGGCACAACTTGTTGGGGATTCTGAGACACTCCACAACCTCTACGGAGGCCAAACCTATAAAATTGCACGTAGATAGAACAGTCCAGGGTGGTCAGCTGTGGTACAGCATTGCCGCCGCGGTCTTGCAACATCGAAGAAAAGAAACGAGACGCCCGGATCTGCGATGTTTGATCGTCACTGACGACCGACTCGGTACTATTTCTCCGTTGCACTTCCGTACCCGATGCCTCAGCGCGAACCTGCGTGCCGCCTGCGTCCCCCAGAAAAGGCCTTCTGTTGCCCTTTTCCGCACGGGTACGCATAGAATCACAGAGCATGCGGTGACTGTACCTCTGTAATCAAGAAACCAAGGTAACAAAAGGGTCTGGACAGCCGCCCGTGCGAGGACCAAGTCCATGGCAGCCGGGCGTGCCGCAGAGTCCATAATGGAGTAACTTCCTCAGCAAAAGCGCAAACAAGTTTGGTCTTTCCCTTCTGGAGGAATAACGTTGGTCTTGTGTGGCCGATTTAGGATATCCCTCAATGCCGTCCATAAGTTCGAATGACCCGAAACCACTTCCCGAGACTCTGGCGACGTGATGTCTTGTACATAACGTATGCCCATTCATACACAGGTACTCTTCACAAAGGAGGTTAACACCGAAAAGCGGCACACATCAATGGAAACATCGTCGTCTGTTGATGCAGGCTGCGCCAAAACCAGCCCCCATCACGTGCAGCACGACTGATCCTTTGTCTGGACATGCAGGAAATCGAAGCTCCGCCGGGATCGCGCAGTGACAACTCAGTGTTTTATGTACCACATTATTTTGGCGTTTCCTGAGATCAAAAGGCCGTTTGCGAACCTGCTAAAGTGAAGATATAAATAAAACCAAAGACTCGTCAACAACTCAATCCATCAACAAGAAGAAGAAGCGGAGGATGGGAAGGAACCATGACCGGCCTTTCAGGCTAATAATAGTTCATCGGATGGACCCCTTTTGTGGCCTCGCCAGGCGTCCTGAGCGTGTGAGCCTTGGATTAGTCAAGCAGAAAACAGTCGCTCCTTCTCTCCTTTTTGTGGTGACATGGCAAGGGACCCGCTGCTATCCAGGCACACAATGACGCTGATTGGCTGGGAGTCAAGATTTCTGGCAGGAGTGGGTAACCAATCAGGCCTCTTAGAAGAAAAGATTTCTGAATATGATTGGTTCACGGGGTAGTAAACTAACTAAAGAAGGCATGGTGCTGTTTACTCAAGCGATCATCCCAGCGCGACCTTACCCAGTCTGGCAAGGACAACACACGCCAGTCCTGTTCTGGGCGGCTGTGTGCTCGCTCCTTCCTGCCCTCACCCTTGCCCTTTCCTTCCTTCTCCTCTTTTTCCCATCTTTTCCTTCCTCATCCATCATCACCACCGCGAAAACCATCAACACCTCCGTCGCTCTCTCCAAAAGCAGGTATCGGCTCCATTCTTTTAGCTGTTTACCCTGCGGTCCATTCTTTCCATCCTCGTCCAGCAGCCCCTTCGCTCTTTCGAAACCCGCCCCTGCCCATCTCGCGCTTTGTGAACGAGACTCATCTACATCTTCCCAAACGAACTCATTCTCCGAGCTGCATATGCACGCTTGACGTGACCCGGCCTGGTCGTGCTGCCGTTCGCTTCGACACGCTCCCTCTACGCCTAATCTGTTTCCGCCAAACAAACTATACTCTTTATTTGGAAATCTTTAACCTTTAGTTATCTTCGACAATGGAATCTTTACGCAAGCTCGTTCGACGCGAAGATGATATGGAAGAACTCAGCTCCACCACAGTTAATCTGTTGATATCTTTGTTGGTGTTGATCTTGTTGGCGATCACCCTGACTGCCTCACTCCTCATCCTGCGCCGCAAACGCCGTGCCGCCAAGAAGGCGAACCTACCTATGTACAACGACCATGCGGCCGGCTCTGGACATCACCGTCGACTGACCATCACGACCACGCCCTATAACGGTAATGAATCGGTCTATGTTATTGACGAAAAGAGGAATCTCGTCGAGAACTCGTCTAGCCCCCCTTCCAGCCCGGTTCCAGAGATTCGTATCACGTTCCCCGAAGAGGAAGATACGCATGGCAAACGCAAGCCAGGCAGCGTTGTCGTTGTTCGCATTTCTGAGAAGGGAGGAATTGGATTGGAGCCTTATTCGGAGTCTTTGCCGCCCTATCAGGCAAATACCGCTGATAGGTTCCAGTCGCTTGATCTCGAACGCATAGGAGGATTGAAGGACAAGGACGACATGAAGCGCTATTCCTAAATCGCTCTGGGGGCTTCTTTTTAATTCCAAATCTCCGACCTGATCGAGCCTATCCTTGGTGCACTCTCCTCACGCACTTGTATCCCGAGGCGACCGTCTCCGGCACGCATCGCAACTACCGAAACCACCATACACACGCTTTATTATTCACAGCAAAAACATCGAATAATACCTGTTCCATCCAACTCTTCCCTGGCCTCGATGTCTGCTTGAAGTCGTCGCACTTCCTGTACCCTGCTATGTCCCTAGGGCTTGGAAGGCAAAGTGACGCATTTTCTTTTCTTGTATTCCCTTTTATTTTGGCTTTTTTCGAAGTGCGTTGTTGATAATGGAATCTCCTTGATTTTCACGAAACCGCGGCTTCGGAACCACCCCTGGTACTCGTGTCCGCTTTTTTATTCTGTCAAACGGTTATACGCACTTTCAATTCGCGCATGTAAAATCTTTTTCGGATACAGATCGATCTGCATTCTCAACTGGACTTTGGAACCGATTTGAGATAACTTCTGCCCTCGTGGTGGCACTATGTTCTGGAGAGTACATACTAAATCCTGATAGCTGAATTGGTAAACTTAGTCTAAATCGTCACGTGTTTATATCTTTTGAAGGCAGCTCTTTTCTTGGTAGCCAGCTGAAGTAGACTTGAGAATGCGACTGACAATTCCAATTTCCTTCGTATCGGAGATTTTCCACTATCCTCAGGCCGGCGACCCTGGGTTTGCACGTCCCGGGGAGCTTGCAGGACACATTTCGCAAAACCACCACCAGAAAACCCTCACCTCCGCCGGCATGCGCAACCAGTTCCGCAACAACAACTTCCCGTTTTCTATTGAAAAGAAACTGTTTTCGATGGGCAAATCTACTTGGTCCCTTCATCTGGCATTTTCCTTTGTGTAAACATCCCCGACCCGCGGGGGTTCCATCCTTAGTTAGCGACCCGTTCCCTGCAAAACCCCCTAATACGAAACGAAAGAAAAAAAAAGGCAACAGGCCCCGAGAAGCCCAACGATGAAACCCCCCAACCCCAAGGATCCCAGCGGCAGTGCCGGATCCCGACCGGCCGCAGCCGCTCAGCCGTCGAGCTCTGAGTACCGGCAGATCAAAGCACAGTGGGCCAATGCGCAATTGCTTGCGGAGGAAGAGGAGCGGAACGCGGCGCGGGCGCGGATGCTGGAGGCCCGGCGGAAGACGAGGCATGGCGCGGCGAGTGAGGAGGAATTGATAAAGGCTGTGAGACAGAGGGATGTGCAGCGGAATAAGGCGAAGGAGAAGGGGTTTAAGACTGTGCATGGTGGGGTGTTGGGCTTGTTCGGCTGGTTGATGTGAGTCTGCTTGCTATGGGCCCATTTTATCTTCGGGCAGGGGTTTTGTTTGGGGAGGCTCTTCTTGCTGACTTGGATGTTAATATAGGTTTATTCATCTGGTTGGGATATTCTTTTTCACGAAAGGGTTCTTGCTCACTCGATTGGTATTGGACACCAAGTCTGAGTGTTCGGTGCTCCCGTTTGACACCGCTGATTCTAGCATACGTTCCGGTGCGGCCGACGAGGGATGCTGGCATCCAAAATCGTTTGATAAAGCCGTCGTCGTCATCATCGACGCTCTTCGGTACGACTTCACCGTTCCTTTCCATCCCACCGTCGAGGGAAAAGAAGCACAGCTGTTCCACCATAACATCCCCGTCCTCTACGAAACGTCCGTCCAAAAGCCTAACAATGCTTTCCTTCTTCCGTTCATTGCGGATCCGCCGACTACGACATTGCAACGCCTCAAGGGACTCACGACTGGAACACTGCCTACATTCATAGATGCGGGCTCGAACTTTGCTGGTACTGCGATCGACGAGGACAACATAGTGGCTCAGTTATGGAGCATGGGCAAACGAGTCGTGCAATTGGGCGATGATACGTGGCAGGCGCTGTTTCCTGGCTATTTTGAAACGAACCTTACACATGCCTACGACTCATTCAATGTTTGGGATCTGTTTACCGTTGACAACGGGGTGACGGAGCATATCTTCCCACTTTTGCAAGCTGAGAATGTGACAAAGTGGGACGTTATCTTTGGGCATTACCTTGGTGTTGACCACGCGGGGCATCGATATGGACCAGACCATGAAGCAATGGCCGCAAAATTGAAAGAGATGGACGGTGTGATACGACAGCTCATGGAAGACATTGACGATAATACTTTGCTCGTCGTTATGGGTGATCACGGAATGGATTCCAAAGGTGACCACGGCGGCGAATCTGATGACGAGGTGGAAGCAGCTCTGTGGATGTATTCCAAGAGGAAGCTTTTCGGTCGCACGAGCAGCAACTCTGTCGAACCCCCGAAAACCGCAAAGGAACGCCCCGTTCCCCAAATCGACTTGGTTCCCACTCTATCTTTGCTGCTCGGTCTACCAATCCCGTTTAACAATCTTGGATCACCGATCGAAGAGGCCTTCGCCGGGCCCGATGGTAAGGATTGGAGGAACTTAGTTGCTGTTAACAGGCTTGCTTCTGCTCAGATCGAACGGTATCAACATGAATACGCACTTGCACGCGGGTTGGACCAAAGCCATACATCAGGCCCATTATCCTTGTGGTATCAAGCCGAGGAAAGATGGAAGGCAACCAAGAATATCAAGGATTCAAACTCTGCTACACTTCGGGAAATCTACGATGGCTATCGTGAGTATCAGAAAGATACTCTCAATGTTTGTAAAGCTCTCTGGGCTAGGTTCAATGTCCCAAGCATGATCTTGGGAATTGGGATCTTGACTGCTGGTATCGCAATCTTGGTGTACTATGCTCGCGCCATTCGAGGAGATCGAACAGATATTACTTTCCCAACCCTGAAACGGATTGGTATCGCGACTGCAGTTGGTGTTTTGGGAGGCATAGGCTCGACAGTACTGTCTCTTTTGCAAATGCCGCTTATTGAAGGCGCGGCACTCGGAGCAGCAGTTGGAGGTCTTCTTGCCGCTTTCTCGACTGTGCTATGGGTGCCAAAGCGAATCCAGTCCCCGCTGCCGCAGTCTCTGTGGAGCTGGCTGGCCGTTATCTTCACAGTTGCTCAGTCTGCCGGCTTTGCTTCGAATTCGTACACCATTTGGGAGGATCAAATCCTTTTGTTCTTTCTCTCTACCTTTGGCGTATTGGCTGCTGTCTCTTCTCTCAGGCAGAAAATTAAAGAAAACGCAGTCCTCGGTTTGTATCACTCCCTCCTTTTTGTTGTCCTGGGCAGAATTGCTTCTCTCTCTCGACTTTGTCGGGAAGAGCAAATGCCTTATTGCAAGTCGACGTACTATGCTTCAGGTACATCATCGACGTCGGCACCATGGCAGCTCTTGATTCCTTTTGCCCTATCGCTTGTTCTTCCCTCCGTCATCCGGTCCTATTATCAAGGAACGAAATCATACGAGGGATCAGCCATCTTCTGGATAGGATTTGCTTTTCGCATGGGACTCCTTTTCTTGGCAATGTACTGGATGCTAAACGCAGCCGATGATGGGAATTGGCTTGTTTTACAGTCTGGTATGATTAAGACAACCAAGGTTGTTTTGGCCCAGATTGTGCTTGCTATTGCATTTGCCGCCGGGACGACGACCTTCGTTTGGGCCAAGCCTTGCGTTAGCATTGCAATGACGCCGAGGGTGCAGCCCAGCCCCAAAACGTCTGTGACAATCTTTGGGTACGCCAATATTTATGGAACCCGATTCTTTATTCTCGTGATCAACTTTGCACTCGCCATCATTCTCTTGCAGAAGCCAATGGGCGGTGGCACAATTGCGCTTCAGATATGGCAAATCCTTTCCCTCCTCGAAATCCTTGACACCAACGGTCTCACCACCAGCAACTCCTCCATTGGACCCATCGTTCTCGCCATCCTCGGCTCGTTTCACTTCTTTACAACTGGTCACCAGGCTACACTCAGCAGCATCCAGTGGGACAGTGCCTTTATCCCCCTCAACACCGTTCGATACCCTTGGTCCCCGATCCTAATCGTTCTTAATACTTTTGGCGCGCAAATCCTATCTGCTGTTGCTACTCCATTAACTACTCTATGGAAAAGACCTATCGATTCTCGCGGACCTGAAGGTGTAAAGGATGCTGATGATACCCCGGGAAAATCTACGAAACGCCTTGTAGCGGACGTTGCACAAGCAGCCGCGACGCATACCTTGTATTATGCGACTGTCAATCTGGCCACAACCATATGGGCTGGTTGGCTAAGAAGGCATCTTATGCTTTACCGGATCTTCTGCCCAAGGTTTATGATGGGCGCCGCAGTGCTTGTTGTCGTGGATATCGTTGTGCTTTGTTTCGCTGTTGGCGGAGTACGATGGAGCACTATTAGTGTAGGGGAAGTGTTTGGATGGGGGTGATATCTGCGCGATTGAACGCATTTTAAAGATTTAGGAAATATAGAAATGGAGCAATTCAGGTTTGTACTATATATTTGGATTTTGAAGGAACTAAAAGTCGGCCCTTTGAGGGCTAACGCTGGCCTTTGGTTAATGTTTAACTACAGATCTAGAAGATTGTAACTAATACATGTAAAGACTTTTACCTAGGTAGCTCTTGGATATGTCGGTGGCCTTTTCAATTTTGCGCTTAGCCAACCTCTCTTATGTGCTCAGCTCATTCCATATCTCTGCCAAGACCTAATATCATGTGACCTCAAGATGGCGCTAAATAGCCGCGGAAGCCACTTAAGTTTGTTATCGCGTCTATTTGTGAGCGCCAACTCCACGACTTCTCTTCTGCTTAAACAGTTGGGACCTCTAATCTGCTATTAATCCGGAGGAAGGGGACATCGATCGTCCAACTCCAAGTCTTGCTTTTGCTATACATGCGCAGTGGTTTTCCAGTTAACATCAACACCACTCAACAACCAACCAATCCTTTGGCCAATTCGTTGCCATGTCCATGAACGTCGGCCTCTCCACCCCGCGTGGAAGCGGAACATCCGGCTACGTCCAACGCAATCTTTCTCTCCTCAAGCCTCGCGACAGAAGCTATGGCGCCCCATTCCAATCAGACGCAAACGGCGACGACAGGCCGGCGTTTAAACAGCGGCAGCCCGACAAGCAAATCCTAGAGCACGATCGACGGAGGCAGATCGAAGTCCAGGTTCTCGAGGAGCAGGACCGGTTGGAAGAAGAGAATGAGAAGTTGGAAGAGCGCATCGCGGACGACAAAAAGGAAGATGGTGAGGAGAAAAAGTATAAATTGTCAGAAGAGGAGATTGAACAGAGGCTTGAGGAGCTGCGCACGCGGTTGACCAAAGAGCTGGAAGATGAGTTGGCGGGGAAATCCCGGTCGGACCCGAGGGATAGGGATTATCGTGGTGAGAAGAGGAAACAAGGTGATTCTGGTGGCGATGGCAGAGGGAAGAGGCAGTTTAAGACGTACCAGGTTCATGAGCTGGCGGAGGCCAAAATCGAGGAGAGTGATCGGTTTAGAAGGGCCTTGGGAATCAAGGCGGATGGCGAAGATTCTCCAAGAGCCATGGGTCGGAGGAGAGATTGGGATAGGCCTGATCGCCACGAGAGGGACGACAGGAGAGATACGAGGTACAGGGAAACTAGGGACGACAGAGCGGATGGATACAGAAGCAGGTATAGGAGGGACGACTCGAGGTGATCAAATGGCGATAAAGTGCATTTTCAGGCGTTGGCGGCGTTCAGTCATCTGCTGTGATGTGGGTGCTACTGGCAAGGCATGCGACAAATATGACTGGATTTTCAGCTCCATCCTGATGATATTTATTATGTCCAGCGCTGCAACTTGTGATTTTCGACATGATCGACTCGACGACGAAGTTTTTAATTAAATTCGAAATGATTTGCTAGTCCTGATTGAATGCAAGGACGGAATGTTATGCCAAACATGATCCTACACCAATGACTCCATATCTTCTCCATACATCCAAAATTCAACAACGATACGTTCCCCTAAACAAATTGCTCAATAACCCATCCTTCTTTCCTATCCTTCTTTTGGATCACCTTCTTCGCAGGGAGCGGCCATCCTGTGCTGCCAGGATCCCCAACCAATGAAGGGATAAGCCAGCATTCCCTTCGCTCGGGTGACCCTCCCAAGGACTCCGTCTTTCCAATGGGTTTTCCGTATTGGATCAATGGTGTTCCTTGTGCCAACGCAGATAGCTGCAAACCGCTGACTGGTGTCAAAGGAAACATACGCACTTTTGGGACATGCCCAATGTATGTCGCTGTGGATTGTTGCAAGTGTGAGTATACCAGGTATTGGGGAAGTTCACTTGGTGATAATTTGGCCAGATTGGATGATGGGTGGATGTAGACCGCTTTCTCGTCCAGTTCCCTCGCGTGTCCGTCTCGGGATGCGAAGAGGGTTAAGTATGGGACGTCAATAGCGCGCTTTGGTTTTCGTTCCATTGCTGGCGGCATGGGCGCAGCATCTGCACGGATAGCTATTTGGTCAATGAATCCGGCGGCGGTTATCTGCTTCAGTGCCCGGATCTGTTTGTCTGATGGCTCGCGTAGACGAGGCTCAAAAGAACCAAGTAGGCCTGGATTATTTACGCGCACCAAATCAGACAATTGGCGACGAAGCTGAGCGGCTTCTTTCATCGCGTTCGGACGAAGGAACATCTGCGAGCAGAAAGTCTCCCCGTTAGGGGCGAAAGCGTACGCGCACACTGCAGCCATAAACTTCAGTGTATCCGTTTTATCATCGTATTTGCTGAAAATTCGATGAGCTTTGTTGTATGCTTTTCTTCGTTGTTCTCTAGCAGTGTCCTCGAGCCGATCTGCATTAGAATACACTCCCCCCTCTTCGTCCTTCGACGGCGGAGACAAATCGAGTTGGCTTTCCTGAATGAATAAATCTGAAACGGCCAAGGCCGCGACCATAGCAATAACATAGGGCATACAGCCATGCTGGTGACCGATGTAGAGCATTTTTCCAAACCTCGGGCTCAACGGGTATAGGGACATATATCGCCCTATTTCTGTTACTTGATCATTCGCAGCCAGCGCGCCGAGGTACCTGAGCAGCTTTTCCGCCTTCGCGAGAGCAGCACGATTCGGGGGCGTTGGGAAAGGGAAGTTAATGACGTGATGCAATCCCATGTTTTTCATCTGCAGAACAACGCCTTCGATTGGCGTACGAAGTATTTCAGGCTCCGTATACTCTGGAAACGCTTCTTCATACACGGCGGAAGAATATAGCCTGTAGCAATGGCCAGGTCCGGTTCTACCAGCACGTCCAGAGCGCTGGCTAGCACTAGCTTTACTAATCCACCCAACTTGGAAGCTCTGCACGCCCGTGGAGACATCGTATTGTTTTTCTTTGGATCGGCCACAGTCGAATACATATCTGATGCCCGGGATAGTCAAACTAGTTTCAGCAACATTTGTTGCCAACACTATGAGTCTGGAGCCTTCTGGTACTGGGTCGAATATTTTGAGCTGCTCCTTGGTAGGCAGCTGGGAGTACAAAGGAAGGATATGGACTTTTGCCGTCGAGCCCATTGATCCCTCTTCTTCGTCAAACTCATCATCTTCCTCGTCGTCGTCCAATCCTTGAATCTCAATATCACTCTCATCATCCTCTTCACCTTGTAGTTTTAATTTCTCTTCGCCAAACTCAACGTCTTCAGCCTCTAGAGACGCTTCTGCAGGGGATATTTGGACTTTTGCCTCAAGATTATGGGATGCACCAGTGGGTTTGAGAGCCTGCTTCAATCTTTTGGCTAGGAGTTTTATTTCGTTCTGCCCGGTCAGGAACACGAGGAATCCGCCAGGGGGTAGCTTTCGGTGGCCTCTGCATACTTTGCGGTACGCTTCTTCAACATAATCGCGATGAGTGCGGCGTGAAAAGTGAACAGTGACAGGGTATTGACGGCCTTCAGCTTGAACTAAAGGCGGTGGACCCTGCTTGAAAAGATTTGGATTTCGGATGAAATCCGAAATCCGTAAGGTTGCAGACATAATAACCAGGCTCAGCGGCCGTATGGAAGGATTTTCTGCACTCATTGATTTCCTTAAATCCACGATACGGCTAACCATACCGATCAGGAGGTCAGTATTGACGCTTCTCTCATGTGCTTCATCGATGACTATGATAGAATATTTAGACAACGAGAAGTCCTGTGCAATCTCTCGTATCAAAACACCGTCGGTCATGAATTTAATGGCAGTTTTTGAGGACACCGTGCTGTCGAATCGGATTTGATACGATACTCGATCAGAAAATTGCACCAGTTCGTCACCGACTCGTTTGGCCATACTTACAGCCGCAACACGTCGCGGCTGAGTTATGCCAATCATGCCGGGATTGTCACTCTGCGGATTACCATAGCCTGCTTCAAACAGAAATTGTGGGAGTTGGGTAGTTTTACCACTGCCTGTTGCGCCCCATATCACAATACATGAGTTATTGTATATCGCCTCCATAATCTTCTGCTCTTCTCCAACAACAGGCAACTTAAGTCGAGCTTCTTGGATCTCATCGGGGCGATTGACCGGCACAGAAAAGGCCTTTCGACTAGGATCGCCATTCGTCGTTCGAAGCTCGGGCGGTAAAGGTTCCTCTTCCACCGGCGCTGACTTTGTTGCTTTCATTGCTTTCGATACTTCTTCAGAAACTGGAGCCGGGAGATGATCTGTTGGTTTAAAACCAGCAGCCTCGTTGATTTGCTGGATGGCCCAGCTTTTAAAAGCGGATTGCCGTGGAGCAACCTTTTTATTCGATATCTCTTCATCTTCATCTTCATCCTCTAATTCTGAGGATCCGATATCTTCATCGTCATCACTAGGCTCGGAATTGTTTTCCAACGCTTCCTCGTCCCCACTGCTCCCACTTCTATCTGAACTTGACATTTGACCTTCATCTGCGGATAGCTCTTCGGAATCGAATCCTTCCCATTCGGGTTCCTCAGCCGGTTCTTGAACCGGCTTAATCTTCGGGGCGCGTTTCTGGCGTTTCTTGAGGACGGGGTAGCCATCTGCACCAATCTCCAGAGGCCGCTTCAAACCACTTCCAGTCTGCGCTCCTTTGACAAGGCCTAGTGTAGGAATATCCTTTGAAACCTTCGAGGCGGATAAGATAGTTTCGTCTTCAGAATCAGTCTCGCCGGTG